CGCATTATTTCGCAGAAGCTACGCCTGCTTGCTAATATAAATCCAACTGCTCGGCTTGTTTTTTTTCCTCTCGCTTAGTTGCTTTATAATGCAACAGCGCATTTGCCTGCCTGGTGCTCTTCTGCATTACTGATCTTCAGTCAAGAGGCACTCTTCGATCCGTGAATGGACCTGGCATCGCACAAGCAGGAGCCACTCGTAGTACACCCGTGTTAGCGTAGAGTTGTAGAGATCAGCTAGCAAATACACACGAATGTATGATCAAAGCTCGAGGCATGCGAGAAACCGAGAAATGCGGAGGTCGGCTCTGTGTAATGCTCCACAAATGATCTACTTAAGGAAACACTGTCATTTGACTGGATACAAACTTGATGGAAAGTCACTGAGTGCTTTTTTCAAGCGGAAGTTCTTTTTTTCACTTCACGCGCTTCTTAAGGTTTGTGATATGAGGAACGAGTGAGAGCTAGAGTGCGTATAGATGTATTATCTTAGCAGTCCAAGCATTCAAAGCTGGTTGCATAGCGCATCTAGCGCACTTGCTTACAACCATGCATCTTGTTGTGTCGAGCTAACAGTACGCTGCAACAAATACGATAAATGATGGACAGCCAACTAGTCAATTGCTAACTAGCGCTTAGCTAGATAGAAATAGTATGCTAGAAAGTCTTACAGTCTAGGTTGTCCCGCTACCTCTTCCTCCACCGCCTCTTTTCTCCCGTTTCTAAACCCCCGCCCTCCGTTGTGAACCGTATGTCGAGACCACCTGCATGCACTACAGCAAATGGGCTCCGCTCTGTTGCCACTCCCCACTCACAAAGGAACCCCAAACCAGTGCATATTGGGAACTTGCATATGTGCATAAGCCGCTAACGTGAAAGCGGATGGAAGATAGATAGACATACTGCCTAAGTGCGAGTCAGACAACCACGATGGCGCGATGACTCGAAATCATCAGAGAGGTGCAATATGTGGGCCTCATGCAATGAGAAAACAGAAGGTATGCACAATGTGTGAACGGGGGTAACCGAGTCTAGTCCGCCAATGTCTTCGAACCTCACAGAGCAAGGCCTGCTTGCAAACTTAGCCGGTGCATGCAAAACTGCCAGCTTCCAATCCGTAAAAGAGGCACCAGCAAGTAAGTAGGACAACATGCCTGAGGCTGCCTAAGCATATACCTAGCTGTAGAGAACGCCTTAAAAATATTAACCGGCAACTTTTCAAAACTTATTCATGAGGCAAGGTGGCCATTTTGGCACAGCGTGCGCTGTGGAAGGACACTTACCAAGGAGGGCAAGGAATATTGTGCATGACGCCTACCTTTGTTTACCAAACGTGACCGCAAAATAATCCCGTAGGCAAAGAAGCCCGCAACTGCTCTTCCGTCAGACAGTGAGCCTACGGTCACTGAACTCATTTCACTCGGAATTCTGTCTTGCGTATTCTAGGTGTTTTAAAGGAAACTCGAGCACTTCTACGGCGCCATGTGGATCCTTCACCTCCACCCGAGTTACTTGCCTGTGCAGCTAAGTTCATGAATGATGAGGATTTTGAAAGTTTTTTGGGCAGCTCAAAATGATGGCTCTACTGCATATTTAACTTTGGGGAAAACTAATTATAGTAGGAGAGACCGCGGATTTGTGAGACGATTGCACATGGCCGTAACCCCCAAACAGCAAGCTTCTTTGTCTGGCTACCTGTTGGTGCACCTCGTAACGCCTGCCAATCCACCAAGAAGAATGCTCCAGGCTCACAAAGCTTAAAACGCCCAACTGCAGCGGTATTACGTTACACTTTGGCACTATTCCTTAACTAGCTATATCTAACTAAAAACTAGGAACGATCCTGACTGGGATGTTTCCCTGCTCGTGTAGTGTTTGTTGTGGAGTACTCTTTGCTTGGTTTACGAAGGAACAATATGTTGTGTACACGTTAAATGCTCTGTGCAGATACCTGGGAGTGCTCGGAGTGCTTAGGAGGTGCAGCTACGTACACTTTATATGCCTCTCTCTCTCCTCATAGCGGGAACACTGAGGGGCGCGAGCAGAGAAATGACGGGGTTCTTCGGCAATACAGTTGTTGACTTTAGGTTATTCAATCAAGTAGCACCATGTGGCATCCTTAGGTCGAACGCTAAAGAACGAATCTCCTCTCGCCACTGGCAGCTGCTTGCCTGACCAAACAATTTTTAGTTCCGATTCGGGGAATCTATTTGCTGACTGCCCAGTATTCTCGATATACGATGTAGTTTCCAGGCCTTTCCTCAGCTACTTTCTCAGTCCATGGGACGAGGAAAAATGTACTTCTTTCGATGCCCTTCAAACAGCATCAAGGCTACCGTGCAGTCCGCAGGCGAGGGTAAGAAACAAATGTGCAAGGAGAACTGCGATAGGCCAGAGGGATTATTCATGGGAGAACCGAGGGCAGAGTCCCCCTTGAGAAGCCCTTGCAGTAACAATTCATGCTTTAAAAGCACTGCAACTCCGCCTGCCCCAATTCTCCTGTTACAGTACCTATGACTGTCTGAAGCCTACCAAAGGATGTGACCGAGACTGACAATCTTGATAGATGCAGATCATTCGGACGCTGTGCGTTTCCTTGCCTCGGCTATTCTATCGCAAACCTCTTTGCCAAACACACCCAGCATGCAGTCTAGCCTGCGCGCCCCTCTGCGTATTAGTGTGCAAGTCTAATAAATCATTGATCAGCTGAAAATTGCGCCACACTAGAGGCACCCGCAGGTCGCAAGTGACAAACTGAGATACATACGTGTTATGGGCTACAGCCATGTGGCAAAGAGGCATGAGACCACGGTATTAAGAAGCACCTGGTATATTGCGTCTACATTTGTGTGCATTCTTATTGCTATCCATAAGGTATTAGAGCCTACGGTAGCCTCTCCATTTGCCCCAGGTATGTACAAAAGGGCAAGAGCCAATCCCACAAAAATCGGCATGTGCCCTGCTTCACCTGCCAGGCTTAGAGTAGCAGGATTTGTTTTTTAGGTGCATAAGGCCCCAACGTGTCGCAGGATCCAGGGGTGCCGCAGCACTTCACTTGCCGTTATTCGTTCATCGGGGTCCTCAGTACACATCTGCAAGCAGCAGGAGGAGGAAGCAACGAAGAAATCAGATAGGTCATACTCCTTAGGTCACCAGTTTTTGCCGGAAAAGATCCAAAAAGGAACCACATTATTCAGGGGCACCTCGCGCTGGATGCACTATGGACTGGGTGCCGCAGAATAAGCGCGTGGCAGCGGCCCATGCGTGGCAAGTCACCGCAAGTGCAGAGGCACTCAAGAAAAACTCAGCAGGAATACTCACCTTGGTAATAAGGTCCCTGGCATCGGACGAGAAGTAGGCCTCAAAGACGAACTTCAGAGGCGGCTGCTGCCGATTCTCTTGCGGCTGTAGTTGGGACTGCGGGGCATTGATCGGGTGAGAACCCTTAAGGCCTTCCCAAAGACACAAACCCAAGCTGTATACATCTGCGCTTCTCTCGTGGCATTCCCTAAACATCTCCGGCGCGAGATCTAGAGTCCACACAGATGCAGGGACAAGGGGGGGCAGCGAAGTCATATTACGCACAGGCAGCACTCGCTACCCTCTTGTGAGGCATTATGACAGGAGAATACGCACGTAAGTGCTGGGGAAGGTGCAGACTGGAGCCCTAGATCCCACATTACACCACCCGCAGCGTACAGGATACAGTTCCGCAGAAGGTCTGTCGCTTCTCCCTCCCACCCACAGAAGAGCAAAATCCAAAGTCGCCGAGGACGGCATCCAGTTCTCCTGATGGCGCAGCCACCGAAAAGAAATCATTCGCAGCAGACACACTTCTACCAGATAATTCTGGCAGCCTCTTTCGGCGAAAGAAGGGGGTTCAGGATTTTATATAAGGCGCCACCCTGACTCACCTGATAAGCGCTGCTTGTGCACCAGGATGTTCTCTGGCTTCACATCTGGAAAGACGCATCACCACGCATGCAAGCTAAGAGCCAAACCCGGAGTCATACCGCCGCTGCTGCCGCCGCTTCCCCTCTGCCCCGCTCTATGAATGATTGCACTACGAACACAGGGCCTAGGGAGTGAGGGCTTCGAGATAGATACCGCGATGTATGATGTTATTTGCGTGGAGGTGTGCTAGCGCAGAGGCAACCTGTGCCGTGTACTGCAAGCAAGCGTAGCAAGTCTCAAATCCTACACAACTACTCGTTCTAATGTTAAAATTGCGCCATATTGAGGGGCTATGTTACGCGTGGTTCATGGGAATAAAAGACCTTCTGGGAGGGAGGGAAAGCAAAAAAAGACAGACCCGTGCCATTTCCTCTTCAGGTAGATGGCCCCCCGCCTCCCTAGAGCCGCAGCAAGCAGGAAATTCAAACACTTCAGTCCTGGACGGCGGTGCCGCCATACACAGGTCATACAAAATTCGCAAGAATTAGCACAAAGACGAAGCGCTGGGGGCCTCACCGCATACGATGCCGCAGCGTGCCCCTGTTCGCGTACTGGAGGACGAAAACTAGATGACCCGGATCTTCGAAAGAGCCAAAGAAACGGAGGATATTTGGGTGTCTGCACATACACAGAAAAGCGTGTCTATAATACATATATGCCGCGCCAAGGAAGCCATTGCGGATTCGACTGATAGCCAAAATCATACGTCACAGCACACGGGGCCTTCGCTGCGCACCTCCAGGGAGGGACGAGGGTGGACTATACTACCGGTGCACGTAGCTGCCTCACTGTACAGATGCATGCAAAGCCCTTTCCCTTCGCACTTGCTCCCGCATGCCCAAACGAGAGATGACGGCCTTAGGGAGCACCTTAAGGGCCACAAGAGGATCTGGAGGTGGTGCCTCGTGGGGTTGCACCCCTCCTCCCTCCCCTACAAGTTGCTCATACAGGGGGCCGCGAACACAACGCGCCAACACGACTTGACTGGTTCTGCAATAAAAAAAAGATGCAACAACAAGTGCCAGTGCACGCTTGCTTTCCTCTCGCCTAGTCCGTCGCGCAGGCCACATGGGCGCCTTTAACTCGCGTCGCATGCATTGCCCTTCTTGCAATGCTCCCGGTCCCCTTTATGCGCGCCTTGGCTAAGGCCCTGCATGTGCCTTTGTGCACTCCCTGTTACGCCTATGCGAGTTTTACAGCCGTTCACCGGATACGGGGGGAAGTAAGGGGGAGAAGGGGGGTTGGGGCCTTAGAGCTGCTGGATATGTTTCCGCGTGTTTCTTACCGGCCGTATCCTAGAGTGACGTCGCAGAGCACAAAGTCCCCTGCTTCCAGGTGGGTTCGAGGCTGCAGCATCGCACTCAGAACCACAGTCAGTCTTTGCCTCAGCGCTAAAGGCTGAGAGGTTACCCCGTGAGATGGGGGGAAGAAAAAACGCATCCCTGGGGAGACAGAGGGCCCGCAGAAGTTAGAAGCCATTAGCACAACAGACGACCAGCTACTGCAGCCTCAGGATGCGAGCAACATACACACATACATATATATATATATAACCAGAGCGCGCGGAAGGCATCGATAGGGGTGTGGCCTGAAAAACGACAGCTGTATAAGTGCATGAAGCAGATATGTATCAAGCACTGAGACAAACGCACAGCTGAATGCACATGATATTTTCCCGAATCGCCTTGATCGATCCTTTGATTTTTTTTTGGCTCGTAGTTTTCTGCGTCTTCTACTGCACTTTCATAGGCATCCACCGTTCCGTCCCCCTCGGCCGTCGTGAGAGCAGTCAAACACCTGCTGCCACTGCTGCTGCCATGCTGCTCCTGTTGCTCGACCTGCTGCAGCCACTTGAAGAAAGAGACTGGACGGGAGGCCCCCACGACAGGGCCCCCTGCACCACCTGGTAGGCCCCCTCTGACGCTCTCTTGAGTCGGGAGTGCCCCCCCCCCCAATCGAGAAGGCCCCGCATCACCACCAGGACGGCGAGCTGATCGGTCCCTCACAGCCATTCCCTGAAACACACAGAATTCAAACGGCAGCAGCTGCTGCTAGCGCTGCCGCAGAGTGCAGCTACGATAAAAGACGAGGCCGCCAGCCCGCCGGCACGCACAGCGTGGCCGCTTTGCTGCTGCTTCGACTGGTAAATGCTGCGAAGACACTGCTGCTGCTACAAGGATCGACAGAAGCTGTTTTCGCAGGGGCAGGCAGTCTGGCTGGCTGCGTTCGGAGAGCTCCTTCAGGGAGTGAGAATTCACTCTCGAAGTGCAGGCATGCACCGACGCACGCAACTTTGGCTCACCTGCCTCGCTCTGTAGGAAGACACGCTTCCGTCTTCTGCTTTGCAATGAAATCCTGAGGCGGCTTCATGGCTTCCTTCAGCGTCAGAAGGCCTTGCAGTGGGGGGCCCCTTCGAAAGATGCCCTGATGACGGGCGCCGGTAAGACGCAGACGGTTGCTGGGTTGCCCGCCTTGCTCCCCTAGATGGAGTCGCTCCTGCTGCTCCTGCTCCTGCTCCTGCTGTTGCTCCTGCTGTTGCTGTTGCTCCTGCTGCTGCTCCTGCTGCTGCTCTTGCTGTTGCTGTTGCTGTTGCTGTTGTCGTGCCTCCTGCTGTTGTTGCTGCTGCTGGCATTGCAGTAGAGCCCCTTCTGGTGGAGGGCGTTCCTCCAGTGGCAGCGCCTGGGAGTCCTGCAGGTAGAGCGGCTCCTGATGCGGCTGTTGGGAGCTGCTGCTGCTGCTGCTGCTGCTGCTTCTGCTGCTGCTGGCTCTGGTGAGAAGCGCTGGAGGTGCTCGGTCGTCTCAAGGGAGGCAGAGGAATCCGTGACACGAAGCGAACCTCGTCCACGGCCTCTAGTGGGTGTGCTTCGTGCTGTAAGGCACGTTCGCTTCTCTGCAGCAAGTGCAGCAGCTGCTGCTGCACTTGCTGCGTGTGTCGCTGGTCCTGCTGGAGGCCGACTTCCTGCTGCTTTTGTGCGCCCTGCTGTTGCACTTGCTGCTGCTGCAATTGCTGCTGCACGGAAGCCGCCGATTCGCCTGTCCCCTGGCTGCTTGGCTGGGGCCTGCATGCGTCTTCACTGCTTTCTCCAGCCCGTAGTCTCGAAACCTCCGCAGAGGAGGCCTCGACGGAGGGGCCCCCCTTACACAGCCGGCGGATTAAAGCGCCGCCCCATTCAGAAGTGCCAGTGGCCCTTATGGCTCGGCCCACAGAAACGGGTGGCTCTTCCTGTGGGGGGCCCCCAAAGGAGGAATCCCACGAATCATCTGGCTGCAAGGTGTATGCATCGTGGGGAGCATCCGAGAGGGGGTAAGACGGCCAAGTCTCCTCTCTCGATCCGCGCTGACTGGGGTTTCTAATGCCCCAGTCGACACGGCTCTCACCCGTCTGCATCGTCCCACGCGTTCCACCAACGGGGGGTAGAGGAGGCAGCCGCTGGTGTTGCAGGGGCCGGGCTGGGAGCATCCGGAGAGCAATTTCCTGTTCCTTCCACAGCTCGCAATGCCTCAAGTGCGTCTCTTGCAGTTGGTGTTGCTGTTGTTTCTGCGTCTCTTGCAGTTGGTGTTGTTGTTGTTTCTGCGTCTCTTGCATTTGGTGTTGTTGTTGCGGCTGATCCTGCTGCGGAATCCCCTCTTCGGAGCATGTGCTGCTAACCACGAAATGCCGCCGACCAGACGCCGTTGGCTCTTGCTGCTGTTTCTCAGCGGCGAACTCAGAGCCGACCGGATGCTGTCGCGCATGCTGGCGAGGCGAGCGCTGCTCAGGTCCAGCGCTTGTTAACACTGCAGCGGCGGCATCCTCTGAATTCGGAGCAGTGCTTGCAAATGCAGCCGGCTGTCGTCCAGATGAGGAGGCTGGCCAGTTCGCCGAGTTCCCCCTACCCCTCGCTTGCGCATGAGTGCCCCGACATTCGCGACTGGCACTTCCAAGAGCAGATCTCGACAGAGAGGCTTTCCTACAGGCGGAAAGCCCTGTGCTCCCGAGCCGCTTCTGCGGCAGCAGACCACCATCTGCTGCTGCTGCAGAGGCACGCGACGCCGGCCTTGTGCTGGTGCTGCTGCTGATCTTGGGAGGAGCCTCTGGACGCGAGCCGCTGTTTTTGTTGCTGCCGTTGCACTGGGGCATCGTGGCTCTCTGAGGGGTGTGGCAGGCTCTGGAAAGCCCTAATGTATGAGCTTTACTGGTAAGCCCCCCTGTGGAAGTACTGCGCTGCTTGCAAGCGTTGATGGGGGGAGTCCTCCCCAGCGCAGCTGGAGCACTGCCAGCTGCTACTCCCGCTGCGGCTGTCGATACGGCGCTGGCGCTTCGTCTTGCGGCAGTCGTCGCTCGTGCTGCCCCCCCCTTTGTTGTCTGCCAGGTCCTGGATGTCGCCTCCCTGGGGCCCCCAGCAGCTGACAATGGTGGTAGTGGTGACGCTGCTACTACTTCCTTGCTAGCAGCAAGGATCTTCTCGCCTGTAGCGGGAGTCGCCCCTCGCTGCTGCTGCTGAGTAGGCCTTCGCGACAACACCCCCACCGAAGAAGACCGACTCGACTCTTGCGGGAAGCTCAGCCCCTGCCGCTGGGGAGGGAGAGGCTTTGGCTGTCTCCTTAGCGTCTGGTGCCTCGAGAACTCCTGTGCCTGGTGCCTCGAGAACTCCTGTGCCTGGCGATACTGCTGCTGCCTGAGAGCACTCATGCTGCTGACGTCTGCGCAGCTAGACGCCATGCTAACGGAGCGTGGTAGAGGCGTGCAGGGCTCCTCGCGTCTCTCGAGCAGCCGCTTCTGGTGGGCCGCCTCATACCGTAGATGTTCCTGCAGCTGCAGCTGCTGCTGGTGCTGCTGCAGGCGGTCAGCAACTTCATGCAGCCACAGTTCATCGCTCGCTGCGTGCCTTCGGGCAGTGTTTTGAATCAAAGGACCGGAACTCAGTTGCCGCGGGTGCTGCTGCTCGGGGTAAGGCGGGCAGTAATCTCGACGCTGCCTGCAAGACAAGGCGGCAGAGGATGCATGCTGAGGCTGCAGCATCCCCTGCTCTCGTCCCTGATGTTGGCGCTGGTCGTGGCCTAAGCCTCCCTCCCCAACGCTGTGCTCATTTAGAGGACTGCTGGATCGTGGGGAAAAAAACTCCTGGGGTGTCTCTGCTGCCGACTCGAGCTGCTGAAACTCTTCCAGCTCAAGCTGATGCATATCTACTTCCTCATATGCAAAGCCCTCCCGAGCCGTAAGAAGGGGGGCTTCATCGTGCTCTGTACAGGGAATTTCCTCCCCGTTCGAACACCCGGACAGCCACGAGAGCATGGTACAAAGCAGCCCGCCTGCTGCTTGCGCGGCACTAGCAGCGGCAGCCACAGCTGTAGACGTTCGTGGAGCTGAGGCCGCTTCTATGTGCCTCTGCGTTCGCGTTTGCTGTGGCTGGGAAGTAGCGGGAAGGACCCCTGCTCTGGGTAGAGGGCTCCAGTCTCTGAGACTTGCGGCGTGTCCTTCCCTGTACTGGAGAGCCGTGGGCCGGTAGTTGATGCTGCTGCAGCTAGTGGGCCCACTGGTGCAGCTGCTGGTGATCTCACGGCTTCTGCTGCGTTTTCTGGCGGCCTGACTTGGGGGGCGGTGCAGTTGACGGGGGGCGAACATGTGCCTGGAGCCCCTTAGGGCAGATAATGACCATCCGCTTGCCTCAGCACAGTCTTCTTTCATGAAAAATTGGCAATCACTAGAAGAAATCACCTTCTCGTGCAGTTTTCTTAGGGAGGGGGGAGTGCCGTGGCGAAGTGTATGACGGGAGGGAGGGGGTGAACAGCTTGCCCGAGAGCCTCAATGAGAAGGAAAGGTAAAGCGATCCAGAGTTGACAGCCATAATTTCAAGGGATATATCCGAAAGATGGTATGGGGAGGCCCTTTCAATCTTCGCCTCCAGCTCAGCGGCCGCCAGGGGTGGGGTCGTTGTTCTTCAAAGCATGCAGCGAAAAACATTCAACACCGCGAAATTTTCCCCGCCATCTAACAGACATTAGAAACTTGATTGCTCAGACTCTACTTCAAAGTGGAAAATGAGGTTATAAGGCTTACTTGGACTTTGCCTCCTACAAGGCACGGTAGACTATCTGGAAAATTCCTCGTGCTGATACGCACAACACTTGTTTTCAGTACGTCCTGAGCTTCACGTGTGCCCAGCTGGAAACGGAGAAGAAAACTTGTGGCAGGGCGCATTCTGCGGGTGCAAACGATAACCGCATTTAGAGGGGTAAAGGGGGGAGATGGGGACTGTGCTAGCAAGCAGTGGCTATAGGGGTTTGTCGAAGTGGGTGAACATGTAAAGGTAAAGCCACTGCACTCTTGGAAATGTGTGCTTGCGGCCTAGAACAGCAATGGGCTCTACTTACTATAGGACTATTCGGAGAAACAGTTCAGGAAGTCTAGGGTGCAAAAGACTGAAACGCCAGACGAAGGGGACCGTAGGCTTTCATCAAGGCCTCCGTGAGTAGTTCGTAGTACCAGCCGCATATACGACCGTACTAGACAGTTTTTGTTTCTCTGATCTCCATTTCTCTAGCGGCGTAAGCAAAATCAAACACTTTCTCCTACACTAGATATTTTAGCCAAGGATTTGCAAGGAATTCACTGTTAGTTTTGTCTGTTAATGCATCTCATATATTGCAGGATCTTATGAGCTCGCTAAAAGAAGACTCAATTTTGTGTGTACATGCGCTAGATGTAGCGTTCCATCAATGGTATCGGTCGAGACACCTGTTTCCCAACTCGATGCGAACTTCCTAGAAAGTTGATAAGTATTTTCCAAAAGACCTTCCGCCTTACCCAGAGCGCAATCCTCAGTGCTTCCTGCTTTATAGAGGCGGAACAGTTAGGCTGAGCATAGCTACACCTCCTGAGCACGCCAAGCATCCACAGCCAGTTGCAAATAGTAGTAGGTACACACGCACAGAACACTGAGTTTTCTTGCAAAAAGCTTGCAACACGCTGCGGCAAACCCGATTAATGAACAAACAAATGAAACGGGCAATTCGCTACTGATTCTTAGCGAAATGTAACTGGTACAGTACACAATATTTAAGTATAACTTAGTCCCCTACAATAGATGCTAGGTGCAGCTAGCTGTGAATGCTGACAGGGCTTCTTGTAAGCAGCTATGCGCACCCCAGCTTGCCATAATTCTTTATGTGGAAACCTCTACAAAGCGCAAGCAGGCAAAGGCGGGAATTCCTCTTAAAAAGACCCAATAAATTTACAGTAAACTTGTATTGTGTCTGGATTGAAGGCCCCTCACGGAGACCTCAGGTGGAGTGCTACAGAGGGTATCAAACATGGTCCAATGCACATGTTCCCCGCTCACCCACTGGCTTTAAACGCACTGCGAGGTCAAAGTTTCGGTAGCGCAGTTGGTTTCGGACGAAGTCATATTGTGACTCTCACCGATGAAAGTTTGCTGTGGCAAATACTTTTGGGGGGACAGAGGCCGGCCGGCAAGCTGAGCTAAACGCAGTAGCTCCACAGCTAAAAAAATGCACATATTGCCAGCCAGCAAAGTGTTGATGAATAGGTCAGTGAGGTTACGCTGACCAGAAAACTACGACGGGTGTAAGGATGGACACAAATGCGAACATCTAGTACGGTGGCTCAGATGTACGAAATAAGCGTTTCGAGGTATCATTCAGGGAGGACGCAGTTGTATGGTAAGTGCATTTAAGAAGAAAAGCCATCTGATCGCATGGAATTCTATTTAAGCATTCACACAGGCTCTGACCCATCTGTCGCTGCGGAGCTAGGCTCCAACCCAGGCTTTGAAAGTGTTGAGAACGCTGACGCAGGGAATTCTGTTGATACATTGGTATATCAAGGAATGTAAAGCCTTGAACTCAAAAAGCCACAGGGTAGACGAGTAGCTCCTTTAGCAGTGGTCTATATCAAGCCTCTCGAAAGTGGAAAATCAGGTGGTCGGAAGATGGGCAGCGACTCAGCAATAAGACAACGTACCTGTGACGCTTCCACAAATGAGGGACTAGTTGGCGTTCTAGTAGCAATTGAGTACTGGCATTGCATATCTGGCTGATTAGGAAGGGCCGAATCGGGTTTTTTTGCCTAGAGACCTCGGTGCCGTGTCAGCCAACTCCAGCATGCAGTCCAAGGCGAACCATAAACGAAAGTAAGAGGAAACCCCGCGCCTCAGCACCACCAGACAGCTCCCCAACAGCGCATCCTCTTCTGTTGTAAGAAATAGAACTACGTTATCATTACTGGACAAGAAATGCTGTGTTCCTTGACATGAATGTGAGGTGGATCTGTTATCCGAGGAAACAAGGCAGGGGGCAATTTGCCTGGTCACTTGCTAGCGCAGTTCCAGGCAGGAATGGGCGGATTCAAGGAGGTCACAGACGTGCAAAATAATGACGAGCTGCCAGCAGGCTGGCCACACGTTGATCGTCCAGCGCACCGAATTGAGCTAAATTCCGGGTCAGCACCAGGCCGTGTTACGCGGCATCGAAAGCTCACATCATGAATAGGAGATTGAGTGGAGGCTAATGATGTATTTAAAAAAATGGCAACTGCAGGATTAGGCCAGCGCTTTGTGCCGAAACCCGGTGTTGATGCCATAAAAGTACAAAGGCTGTGGCAAGTGTACATTTGATTTAAGCCCCTCAACAGGATTACTGTGAATCAGAAGCTCCTGCTGCCTCACCATGGTGAATCACTTGCCAAGCTACACGATTTAAGTGTCCACTCGACATCTGACTTTATCAGCTCCCTTTACATATTCCTATTCACCCTGACAATGGGCACCGACCAGCGTTTCACACCTGCACTCGCAAACTAGAGTCTACCTGAATGCAGTTTGGAGTTGCTGACTCCCGATCCGAGCTGCAACGGCAAGTCATCAGGATTAAATAAGCGTTTCGCCGATAGCTGGACGGCTGTCTGCTTGGACGCTGTCCTAGTCTACAGAGAAATCCTTCAAGAGCGCCTACCGCACCTACGGGGCTACCTAGCAACACATGGCTCCCTGATGTTAGCATAAGTTAAAGTGTAGACTTTTACATGAGGAACAGGCATTGTCTCATTACTGACAGCGGCATCAATACTTCCATAATGAGAGGGGAGCCTAAAGGATGGAAGAAACCACTTCGGGCTGCCTTACATGGAACAAACGGATATTTAGAAGAACTAAAAAACGCAGAAATTAAACAAGGTGCGTTCCCTGTGTTGCACTCTGAGGTCGAATAGAAATCCCCCCTAATAAGCAGTTTTCCCAGATCCTACTCCAGGCAGACAGAAAACAACAGCAAGGAACAAACAAAGTAAGAATTCCGAAGTTAATCTAAACCCCACGGATTTGATCCGCATCATAGAAAATTGGTAGTTTAAAATTCAGCTCACGCTTCGCCAACACTAAGATGTCATATTCCCTCAAGATGAGCATGTCTTTTTAAAGATGGCTCCGTTGGCAATACCACAGAGCTTCTGCTGTGTGGTGACATCACTGAAGCCATCAAATAGCTGTCTGCACAGAGTCGCACTGTTGAGGGTTCGGCGCTCGTTGTGAGGGCTAATTATGGCCCCTCACGTGCAGCAAAACCTTGAACCCTACAGCCACTCGCAGAAAAAGGAGAAACAGTAGTGTTGGCAGCCGACGCTAGCTTCGTTTGGCTCCGAATTGTTTACGTGCATAAAACAGGTCAGTTTTGGCGCTGCCCAAGTTCACGATCTTCGGGCACCCGTCTCTCTGCAAATGCGCAAACAGCGGAATTACACTTCAAGCCATTGCCTTAGATTGAGTAAGTATTTAAAATTTTCAATATTAACGGGGTGGGTCACACACAAACGATTGAGTAACCATATCATAGCACAGCATTCGCCAGCCATGGAAGAACCCTCTAAAGCAACATCTTAGTACAGTAGTCATTCAAAATGCCGAGCTCCTCACCACTGATATGGGTATATTGATATGAATGCGCCAACCAAATTAAGTGCGAGTTTATGCGGAAAAGACGTAAACCTTTTCTAGGCTGGTCCTGAAGTTAAGGCAATCATTGCGAATTCTACTGGCAAGTAAGGTAGTCAGCCTTACATCCTTTTCCATCTGGCAGCATTCCTTGCAGTAGAAAGCATCCGAAATCCCCTGGCCACCGCAGATGACACATCTTCCTTGGAATGATCCATAGTTGCACTCGTCGCATATCCGTACCAGCGTATGGGGCCGCACGTAACTGTCGCAGATAGGGCATTTGCCGTCGCAGCGTTCGCACAGCCTGCCAATTGCTGAAGGTATGTATATATGAAAACAGTAACACGCAAAAAACAGGAATATAGCCTCAAAAATTGTGAAAGGGGCCTAAAGAGACTACCAGATGGTTGTGTGGTGTGCAAAACCCGCAGGAAATCCTCTTCAAAAAAGCATCAAGCTCCCTTAGTACCTCCACATAGTTGAGTGAAAGCCCTCTTAATCAGCATTTCTGTGTGTTTCCTAGTTCAAGTAGGCTCACCGATACCCGGCTGCTTGCGGCACATAATCAAGTCGGGATCTGCAGCAACGAACACCATCAGGGAAACAATTAACGACACGCAGCCACAAAGACTTAGATGTAAGGCTACGATGTCTGCTCTCCGGGTACACGTGCAGCTGCTTACGGTGTTTAGCTGCCATTTTGGTGACTGATTTCTTAACTTGAGGTCAATCACGGGGGGCCGGGGTGGTGCGGGGAGGAAAACTGTAATGCTTTTGAATCTTCTTAGGGCCTCCCTAGGACGTCAAAATAGTAGACAGGCCCTCAGAAGACCCCTGAAAGAATGGTAGCTGAATTCAAGTCAAGAGAAACACGATGCTGCGGCCCATCTGGAGCGCTTTCGCACTCTACGTTTGTTGGCACTGCTAGAGAGGAGCAAAGAAGGGAAAGAAGACGCACTGGACGTGGAGGGAGGCGGCAGAGGGTACGAAACGCTTTTCATTTAGCGTTTAAAATATGAATCAGCAGGTACTTGACTTGGCTCGCATAAGAATTGGGCTGGAGGGCGGATCACCGCCGGTGATGCATGCGACACTAAGGAGAAGTCCCGCAACAGTTTACTGGAGTCAACAATGAAACACGAAAGAAAAGAATGTTTTCCCACTTCTACGCTACTAACTTATCAAGGGCCACACACCGCCTAATAAGTAACGCCTCGCTGGTAGTCTTGAAATAGCGTCATAAAGTGAGCCCAGAGCGACTCGAACGCCCAGCCTTCTGATCTGGAGTCAGACGCGCTACCATTGCGCCATAGGCCCGCCCCGGTGTAACAATTGTACTTCAATGTTAGCCGTCACATTAAAGCCCCCTTTTTAACATGTTTTTCTGCTCGTAATTATCTATATTACGCTAACAAACAAAAGACTCTCCTCTACGCAAAGCGGAAATTTCCCCGAGTTTCCAGTATCACTCGACATATTCCTTTGGGTGACTAGGATTCCCCAGGGGCAAGCTGGTGATGTCTTCATTGTTACACTCTCATGGAGTTATTTGTGTGGCCTGTTTGGCTCCCCACCCGTAACAACAGGGGCTCGGTTGGGGTCCTCCCTGTGCCTAGGGCCCTCCTGGCGTACCACTGCCTGCCACTGCCTAAAGTCATTCGTCAACCCCTTATGTGCATTTCAGACCCTCAAGATGGCGTTCCTGTATTGGGTTGAGGCGACAGCAGTGTGGCCGTTCTGAATGCCGCTCTGCCTTTCCCCTCCGCAGTGAGGGGCCCCTGAAGAGCCGTAATAAGGAGGGATCGCTGCTGCGTTTACAGGGCAGAAGGCATTGCCATCAGAACCACTCATGGAAATCTGAGGGCAGCAAAACCCCAATGTCGTACAAAGGATGGTGGCTCCCGGGAAAGACAGCAAACGGGCCTTTGCTCAGACATTCCCCATACCGTTGCCTCCTTCTTTCATCGCCGCATTTGCTATGCCCGTTAGATCCTCGGACGCCCCCCTTCGATGTCATGCTTCCCCCAGTTCTGCTGAACCTGGAAGTTCGCCAGGCCAAATCCAACCCTGTGACGATTCAGCAATCCCGCAGTCCAAACGGCAGCGAACCGAGGTCCATGAGAGGCCTTCTGTGGATGCAGTGAGTCGCGCAACCCCTCTGCATGAAGCTACTGCAGAGCAAGAGGAGGAAGAAGAGGATGCTCAGCCCGGAGGCAAGAAGGCGCATCAAGGGACTTCAGTTGAAACCCCCAGTTTTGTCACGCGGGGGCAGCGGCGGCGTGCAGCTAGCCTGTGCAGCTCTCGCTTAAAGGAAGATGAGCTCCCGCAAGAGCCACCAAAAGACAAACGACCCCATGAACAGCCCCCTCAGAAGGAAGAGCAGAAGCAGCATGTCCAGCGACAGGACACAAAGCCGAATCCGCAGCAGTTCGCGGTTGCTGTTGCTCTGCTGCAGTCGTTGCCTATTTGGAAGAGGCATCCAGAGTCCATCCCCGCACTGGTGAAGGCTGCAGCCGCTGTAGCGGCGGAAAGGCAGCGGGGAGACGGGCGAGGTTCTCCCTCTACGTTTGACAGCATGCTAGATGGCCCCCCCTTCATTTCCGCCACGATCCACTGGGAAGCTAAGCGGCAGTCCGTCTGCGTGAAGGCATTCAAAGATACAGGATTCCACTGCTCGTGCCGCTACTTCCCTCTGCGTCTGTTGGAACCAGCCGAGGGGACGAGACTCGTCCCACAGCTTCTCAAAAAAAGCTCAGCTCTCCAGGCAGGAGAGCAACGCAAGCACGTAACCGAGTGCCCGAAGAGACTCTTGTTTGTTGCCTATGTATTCTTCCTGCAGCTCCCTCTGAGGAGAGCAGAGAGCTTGGCGCAAGGAGGTCCACGAGCTCGCCAACTGCCCTTGCTTGGTCGTTCGCTTCTCCGGGGGTGTCCACGCGAAGGCACGGGGGAGTCTGTGCGCGGATTTAGTTCCTCCGAAGGAGGGCAACCCCAGTCGGAGTCTTGCAGGCGGGGGGTAGGCGCTCTTGGCGGAAGACACAAATCTTCTTCTCAGGACGTCAGAAGCTCTAGAATTGCTGCGCAGGCTCTTGCAGCTGCTGCCGTCGCGAGTGGATGCCTCTATGCCGCTACGACCACCCAGCAGCAGCAGCAACAACAGCGCATGCAACATGACTCACGCTTAGCAGCTGTTATTCTTCTCTCTTGGTCTTTCGAACGCCTCCTCCAGAGCAAGGGAGCTCCTTTAAAAGAGGCGTTCAACGCAAGCAGCCTCCAGGAACCGCCACAAAGCGGAGTGTCTCAGCAGCAGCAGCAACAGCAAACCGCAACACAACCGCCTGGGCTGTGCGAGAAGGAACCCCTTCAGCTCGAAGAGGCAGCAGCGCTTGCGAATATATCACCTTCATCCGCAAGAAAAGGCAGCGGCACAGATTCGCTAACTTGCAGGTGCGTGGGCTGCTCTGTCTCTCTCTGTCTGTTGCGCTGTCTGCTTCGTTTCTGCTTTTGTCACGGTTTCGCGTGTATCTCGTTCAGAGCACCGTTTGCTGCTCCACTTGAGGCTGCTGCCCGCAATACTGCTTTGTGGAAAGCGTGGCTGCTGCGGGATACCTGTGAAGGCGCCTTTGGCTAAGTCCTTACATGAAAGAGGACCTTGGGTGGCTTTCGTAGGAGGGGGGAGACGTAGCCGGCAGCTCTGCCAGCAATGAGTTCTTTGAGGACTGTGAGCCAATAGCGCCCCTCTCCTTGCGTTAAGGGGCCTACTAGCGCAGTTTGCACGGAGGTCGTGCATATATAGGCATTTTGCATTCAAGGCTCTGTGAGCTTTTTTCGTTTTTGCGTTTTGTGCAAAAATTTCGTTCCAGGCTGTGCGGATATCAGAGCCATAGGAATTCTGTGGAGATGTCCCTATTTGAGGCGCATTGCCTTCACCTTCGGCAGTGTCATGAGGCTCTAACTCCCCTTGTTACCCTGGTCCTCACTCTCATCCATCCTCAGCAGGAAGCATCAGCATCGGCTGCTGCTGCCTCTGCTGTTTCTGCTGCTGGCGAGCCACTGGATGCTTCTGCAACTTCTGCCGTCGCCTCCAGCAGGCCTTCCTGTAAGGACCTCGCATGCGCCATCAGACGCTTGAATCGCGAGGCACTCGCTGTGGGTAGCACTCCCCAGCTTGAGGCTCAGCAGCTCCAGCAGGTGCCACTGCTGGATCATGCATTTGTTACCGCTTGCACGAAAGAAACGTCGCGGCTTCTGCTGCAGCTGGAAGGTCTCATCCCCATACACTCCAAAGTGCCGGTATCAGAACAAAGGAAGCTGCTGCTTGCTCTCGCTGCCGAGGAGCCTGCTAAATGTTTTCAAGAAGCCCCCACTGCAGATATCAGCACTCCAAAGCAGCACACACCCGGAACGCCTCAGGGGCACCAGGGGCAGCAACAGCAGCAGCCATCGCCCCCTGCGACTGCCGCACGGGGAGAGGTAACATCAACTCGGCTACTGCACGAACAAGAAGTGGTGAGACTTCTTGATTACGTCTCTGCTCTGCTGCTGAACGAATGCACGAATTGCTCCTGTTTTCGCCGACATGTGCATTTTCGTCTAAAAGTGCTGCCACTCCACTCGAAACCTTTAATCGCGGAAGTTCGCTGGCTTTCTCTTTGCTGCTCACTGTGAATGCTTGCCTTTTAAAAGCTTAAAATCCCGCTGCCAGTTCCGCTTGCTCCTTGCGTGTGTATACACTTGCATGTATAAACATATACACATATGTGTATGTATATATCTACATATATGTATGTGTGTGTATATATACGGGTTTGTGCATATATGTCTATGTGTGTGGTTGTGTGTGTATGTATATATATATATATATGTATGTGTATGTATATATACATATATGTATATTTATGTGTGTATATATATACGTGTTTGTGTGTGTGCGTTTGTTGTGTGTTGTGTTTGGAGTCAGTCCCTTCAGCGGCTGCTGGAAACGCAGCTGCTGCAGCAGCCACCTAGGGCGTCTTATGTCCCAGTGTTAAGGTGCCTGGGGGCAGTTCGGAGTCCACTGGCCTTATGCCATGCCGCAGCACCGACAGAGGAGGCCACTGCGTTTCTGGTGAGTCACCTCAAGGCGGCTGTAGAAAGCAAATTGCTCATCCCGTCGGTCTGCAAGACGCTGGCTGCAGCGCAGCTGTGGGCCCCCCCCCCTGACAAAGCAGCAGCAGCAGCAGCAGCACCGCGGCCTCCTGCTACCTGTACGCTTGTGCCTGTGGGAGGTCATGCGTTTTGCTGTTACTGCGGGGAACCGAAGTGCTCGCCTAGAGCGATCCAGCAGCACCAAGAGAGAGCCCCCTTGCTGCGGCGTCTGCTTGGCGAGGAGTGCATGCACTGCACGACCAGCGGCAGCCTCTGCACCTGCAGCTCATCGTTTTTTCGACAGCGGACGCGCTGTGGACTTAGAAATACCTCCTCGGAGGTTCCTGTTTCTCTGAGCGACACGCGCACGAGGTCGCCGTTTCAAGCGGCCATGCGGCGGTTGAGCTGGTATGAGGCTCTTTGCCTCGTGCCTCAACGGCTGTGCAGCCTCCCCATAGAAGACTGTTCTCTTGCTGCTGCCGCGTCAGCACGTCAAGCAGCAAACCACGAGGGATCATTTCCGCAGGAGGAGGTCTTGCATCTCCTTGCCCTGGTGCTGCCTCCCATGGGGGGAAGCCTCTTGCCAGCGGATCGGCTGGAAAGGGTGGTCCTCGGGCCGAAGAGTGACTCTGCTCATCCTCATATCTCTCGCCTTCTGGGGTTTGCATGCCGCGCAATGCCCCGGAGTCTCAATACTCTGACGCTGGCGCTGCAGCAGCCACCGGCTGCGGCTTGGAAGCTGCGGGAGTTCCTCACAGTCCATACAAGGCCGCTGGTGCTGGATCTTCTCCTCCCCAAGTTCAGTGTCACCAATGAAGCGGAGGAGGCAGCAATGGAAGAAGCAGCCCGAGTGGCAGATCCCTTTCTGGCTGCCGCAGCTCGCGCTGCAGCTGCCTGCTTCAGACGCAGCCTGCAGCTTCTAGAATTCGCAGTAGAAGTCATTGGCTGCAGACATGCACAGGGGGGGGAGGGGCGCCGCCTCTCCTCTGAGGTGCGTGCCTTGTTGGAGTACATATCGCACCGCATTGAGTGCACCAACTGTGGTGTAAATGGCAGCTTTGTTTCTCCGTGCAGCCAATGTGCTGCAGCGCTGCTGCACGCTGCTGCTGCTGCTGCACCCCCTGAAGTGTCATCGCGCGCGGAGTGCGCAGGGGGTAATCCGGTTTGTGGTGGATTACAAACGCCTGCCAGGACAGAGAGGTCGGAGGCAATCACAGAGTGGATGCTGCAGTATCGCGTTTTTGAATTTCTCTCTACGGCTTTGCTGGAATTCCTCAAGGCGTGGGAAGAGGTTGAAGTATCCGTGCCAGACGACGGGCAAGCACACCACGAGACAGTAGAGGACCGCGTTGGGGAGGCGATACCTTTGGAGTCTGCTGCGGGTGGGGAGGCCGACGTCGACGCTGGTCTGTTAGCGGCTGTCTGCATGAAGCATCCCTCAGTGCTGCGCGAGTGCCTCGCCTTTGGAGGCCTCCCTCGAGGGTGCGACGATACGCAAACCGGTGAGCTCCTCAGCCTCTCTGTGCTGTCGCTTCACCCTTCGCTGCTGTGCTCTCTCTTTGAGACTTGCCTGCTAGCGCACTGTGCCTTCTCCTTCCTACGCGTTTCTCATTCCCACCACCCCGCATCTTCACACGGAGCCGATCGGCCTGCATCCGGGGCAGCCACCGCCGTCAGGTGCTACTGTCCAATCTGCGCCTCCTCCTCGTAACTTTGCATGCAGGCCTTACTGTGCAGGCTACCCCGTTTGGAGCGCATGTCTTTCGGGGGACCCCCCTGATGGCTCGCCACCAACTCCACCAGCTCGCGGCGGCCTTCTCGGAGAACTCCAATGCGGCATCGGACAGCAGAGGAGGCGCTTCTCCCGCTGCATCAGGCAGCAGCGGCAGGAGGATCACCAGCACGAGCTGCGCAGCTGCAGAAGGCCCCGCAGTCGGCGTGCCTGCGCAGGCAACGTCGACCTTAACCGCCCCGTCAGGAGCCACCTATTTCGCGGGGACTCATTCAAACGCCACCGCTCCGGAGAATTCTAAAAAAAGCCTCACATTGGCTGCAGCCTTTGCGGGCCTTGCAGGAGGAGGCGCGTCGGATCCGGGATCGTCGAGGGGCCGTGTGCGAGGCTCTGCGGCGGAAGAAGAGCCTGTTCCTTGGCGTAGCGTTGATCTTTTCGCGTGGAGTCTTCTCGATGAAAATGGTGAGGGCTGCTGCCGTCGTCGTGCGCTCCCTCCTCTTCCTTGGGGAGGACTTCTTCGTAGGCAGCTGCCGTCCCGTCCAACAGAGAGAGCAAGCCTCTCCATCCACCCCCCAGGCGTCGCGATTGTGCACCGCTCCTCGTTGTCTCTGCAGGGGCCTCCGCAGAGGTGTCACTCGAGCAGCGTCTCTCTAAGACATCCGCGCGCAAGAAAGCGGCACCGAGAGCAACGTCACCCGCAGATTCGCCTGTCTCACGAGGAACGAATGTAGGCCTTCCTGCCACCACCAAGCACACAGCAGCACCATCGGAGGTAACGAGCGCAGCAGGAACTACAGCAGCAGCAGCAGCTGCTGCAGCAGCAGCCACAGCAGCAGGTTCAACCGTTGTTGCAGCAGCTACTGTTGGTGCGCCAACGAAGCCTGAAGCAGCCACTGGGGTGCTCCACCCTAGTGGAGCAGTAGGCAACGACTTCACAGGTCCTCCCTTACATGGTGACAGCAGCAGCAGAGTACTGGCTGCTATGTGGCAGGCAGCGAGCTGCCCTGTTCTGGATGTGGCTGCTGGAGAGGCACAGCACCGCCGTATTTCCCCCTTCTTCGGCTTGGTGTTGGAGGTAAGGCCGCTAATGTCTGTGTGTGGGCGCGCTACCCACACGCAGTCCGACTCGTAAAACTTGTTTGTTTCTCTTCCCTCGCTGTGCTGCGAGACCTGCAGCAAAGCCATCACCATGAGCCACAGATTTCAACAGTGGCGTCATTTAAGTGGGATTCTCTCATCCAATGCCGCGTGTATGTGTGTGTGTGTTTGTGTTTGTGTATATTTGTCTGTGTGCACATGTGTGTTTTTGTCTCTCTGTGTATGTGTACGTGTCCTGCCTGGTAAACCTCTGTCTCTGCTTCCGCCTCTTTGATTGTAGGAAAGCGGCTGTTTGCCAGAGCCAGCGGATCTTCAGCAGCGCCGAAACGAACTGTTTTTTCTTTTCGATGCCATGGACCGCCTAAGTAATTGTTGCCCTCAGCTGCCCCATTATCGGCACTCCCCGCAGCCTTAACGATTGCCTTGGTGAGTTAGGCATGTTGGTTCGAGGCTGCGTGTATGTGTGGGGTTTCTGTGGCTTAGAAACGGCCCAAATCCATGAAAGTTCTCTCAAAGCTACCCAGCTTGCGGCGCGGCAGAAGCAGCTGCGGATAGCCAAGTCGGCAGTCCACGGGTAAGATATTTATGCTGCTGCAGCGCTAGCGGGTACTGCGGCGGCAGCAAGAGCTCTGTGCATGCAGACAGACGGAGTCCTTCAGCCGTGCTCCAGTCTACTTTTAATGAGCTTTTTGCCTGGCTTTGTATACCTGGGACAGCTGCCTGTGCTCCTGCCTCTGCTGCCTCAGGTGGGGCGTCTTTGCAGCAGAAACTATAAGACGGGGGGAGTTCATTGTGGAGTACGCAGGGAATGCTGTCTCAGAGGCGAAGGCAAACTTCCTGTGAGGGCTCCGAATGCGCGCTGTTGCCTGCCCCCTCTCATAAGTGCTGCATCCAGAAATCTTTGGCGGATTTCTGCTGAAGCTGGCGGTGCTGCGAGAAAATCGCTGTCCTAAATAATGGCAGGGCACCGCGTGCATTGCAGCAGGAAGGGGAGCGTCAGCTGGTGGGTGTTGCCTGTGTGCGTGGTGGCTTGGTGTTTACGGGAAGGATGCTGTGGGGCCGTGTGAATACTTCGTGTAGGGAAGCCCAGTACGTACAAAGCATGGGGGGAAGTACCTACTTCTTTAAGCTTCGAGACGGCTCCATTGTGGACGCCACGACTTGTGGGAGCGTCACGCGCTTCATTAATCATTCGTGTGCTCCGAACTGCTGCACTGTTGACATTCTGGTAAGGGCCTTCACGGTGTCTCCCGCATGGCTTCGCTCTGCTGTTAACGGCATTAAGCGTTGTCTTCTTACTGGGGTGCAAGGAGCTTTCTCCCGTTCCTCTCAGCTTCGCTGTACTGCAGTGGAGAAATGTTTTCGGTTGCGCTGTTGCTAAAAGTGCTAATAAAAGAGTCCAGCTTTTTTGTGACGGCCCGTTGCTTTGCCGATGCATGGAAAACGGGGTGATAGAGAAGCAGCAGTAGAGAAAGAGCTGCAGTCTCGAACACCGTCTGAGAGGGCTGAGGGGGAGTCTGCATCTTGCAGCCATCAGGGACCGGTGTACTGTGCCACGTGCGTTCGCCTGCTCTTGCAAGGACGAGGACGAAGAAGACGGAGGAAGCCACGTGGGGCTCATCGCGTTAAGGGACATTGCCATCGGCGAGGAGCTTTCGTACAACTATAGGTAGCTTCCAGCTCCTCGTGGGGGGGATTTACGGAGGATTCGAGGCCTTGAGCAGTTAGTAGGGGCATATGGTCCAAACAAATGTGGATTTTTACATTTGTGGCTGTATACAACTCACGGATCCTGTGTCTTGTTGTGCTGTATATGTCTCACAGTTTGTCAGAAAGTTCTCTGGGTCACGAGGTATGCTGTTGTGGAGCGCCAAACTGCCGCGGGGTGATGTGAGGCCCTAAAGGCCCTGGAGCCCGCAAGAGCAACGGCAGCTGCTGCCTTTGAATGGTTTTTAATTCTGGTGTGTCTTTTAAGACAACCCGAAGTGGGTCACTTGTATCACACCACCGATGAGTGCAGCCATATTTATACATATATATTGCTTGCTCCGCAAGCAACCCAACACAAGCGCACCCCTATTATGCTGGCTGCTCATTCCAAATGTATTTCCCCATCTATGAAGCTCTCTTGCTTTTTGTGAAGTCCGCCAAGGGGTATTCGGTTATCTGGTTCCCTGGGTTTAGCGTGGCGGGCCCTCCGCCCCTGGGTGCAACCGCAAGCAAAGGGCCTTCTCGGTTGGGTGCAGGGGTTCAACCAATTTTACTGGGTATAGAACAGTGCTCTGTAAGGGAACAGCAGATAACACATGCGCTACGCTGTATGGCGAACGGTTGATGCATTATTGGCCTCAAGAATCCGGAGGCCGTAGGGCGGCTGGAGGCCGCTTCATGGTGACTGTGCTACACATGACACTGCAGATGGGACTGGGCATGGCATACACACCTGTGCCGCATGTGCGGTCTCAAGTCGCATTGAATAAGCATCTTTACATAATGTTCTATGCGCTTAGGGCACTGTAGGGCGTTTCCGTTTAAGCCCGTTCCTTGGGACTCATTGGGACACGATAGGGAAGGAAAGTTAGATCAAGGCTACAAGACGCCTTCAGTAGCCTCGTGCCACCCTTAAATCTGAAACTTTCAACACCTGTGCACTCTGAAAGTGCTTTAGACGCTGAATCGGAGGATGCATACTAAGTGTACTAGGGTGAAAGGAAACCCGCTGTCGGGGCATTTAAATGGTGTAAACATTCCTTAGGCGCTCGGCAACGAATATTGGGAGTCATAACATTGCATTGAAACTTCAATTGCAGCAGTGTCTAAAGGCCGAATGGCGCGGAACAGCCGAGGGTAAAGGCGTCTAAAGGCTATCAGAAAGCAAGCCATATTGATAGGCAGAGAAAAGGCCTTAACGTCTGTAGCTGATTCCTGAGGACGTAGGCAAAGGGGCCAACTGTCTCCGTTGCGGTGGCTGCAGCCCTGTGTGCCCTAGGTCCCGTGGTATGACGCCTCCTCCCCGCCAGGAGAGTGGACTTAGAGAAAGGGGAGGCCTCCACATAGAGGAGGAGGCCGGAGTGGCCTTCGAAGTGGGTAGCCCTGCCACGTTCGGCGTAGTTGCGTCCAGGGGGGCCCCCGTAGTGGTGTGGGGGCTGACTGTAGCACGAGGATTTACCGTGTAGGACGTTGAATTTTCAGAGCGGAGGCCCCCAAGGATACCTTCAGTTGTAGTCATGGTGTGGGTTCTCCTTGAGATGCCCAAAACAGAGAGGTCACCCCAATGAACTCCGGAAGGAAGTCGGCGAAAGATCTCTGATGGACTTGAGCGCAGCCGTTCCGGAAGTCCTTCTGGGGCTGTGGAAGCACTCACACCTTCCTCCGGAAGGAATGTTCCTACGAGTGGCTTCCAATCGATGGGGTGCCTCGAAGGCTGCTGGTGCTGTTGCGTCAGGAGTGCAGCACCCACGTGACCTTCTGGTGTAATTTCGGTGCCAATGCCATCCCATGCACCGTGAGAAGCTTCTTCAGTTGCAGTTGCAAGAACACCGGGTCTTGGGGAGAGCCCTTGAGCGAAGGTGCACTGGAGAGTTTGAGTGGACACCCCGACGCCAAGCGAGGTAAGGTCTCTACCGCCGTTGAGTACAGACTGACTGGCTTCGGCAGCAGTGGCATCTCGAAGAGGTTGGGAGGACAGCGTACTGCCACCAGGGAGACCAGAGCCAACGGTAACGGCCTGCAGCATCCGAGTGGAGCCATGGGCGGCTAGGAATGCAGCGCGTTTTGTTAATACGGCCAGGGCAAGACGGACGCACCTGCATATGTACGAGCAAGTCGCATTCAGTAGTAAGTGCGTTCACACAGGAAAGGCAACGGCCTTTGCGGGCCTCGTATGACCTCAGGCGTAGCGGTGCAAGGGGTGTTGCTAACCACGTGTACCTCGCAGCAGCATTCCATGCCTTCAGCTTCACCCCAATAATTCTTCGCTGCCCTTCTTGGGAGATGGCATTTGCCACTAACGAAGCTGCAGATGGGGCAGCGGATGTGACAGTAGCTGCTTCACCATTAAGAGCTCTCGATGGTACTGCGGATTCCTGCCCGGCGGCTGCCCGCCTAAGCAGCTCGCCTTCAGTCTCCAATGGTTTTCTGAGAATCACTAGGTGCCTCTTTCGTTCATTAAGATGCGCAAGACACAAGATCACCAGCTGCTGCTCCAGTTCGCGCACCTCCTGCATCGTAACATCATCTTTCACCTCCAGGGAAACAAGGAAGCCAAAGACAGGCTGAGATCCGTCGGTGTCTGCTGAAATTTCACCACAGGTCGCGCCCACTTTTACTTTTGTAGTGGCTGCCGAAGCTTCAGAAAGCGCAACTTCACACGCACTATAAATCCCGAGGATAGGCGCACTGCACTAACTTCGTTTCCGAATTGTACCCACAATGAGCAGCACTGACTCTTTCTGCTAGACTAGGGGAATATGCAGCCCACTCCCTTGTTCTTACTACCGCCCTGCGCCGCTGTCAAGACCGTATGTCTCACCCTGTGCTTGCTTCTCACTCATTTCCTTTTCCATCTCCTCCAGCCTACACTTTTGCTGCCTGTATTCCTCAGCGACCTTTTGTTGACTTTCCTCCTGTTGTCGCAAAAACAAAGCCTTCGCCTGCTGCTCCTCTTTGAGTTGTTGCAGCTTCAGCTCCCGTTGTCGTAAGTGCTCAACCTGCTGCTGCAGTTGCTGCTCGCGCTGCCACATCTCCTTCTTCTGCTGTTGCTGCTGCTGGTCGTGTGCGCGCAGCTGCTCAATCTGCTGCTGCGTCTGCTGCTGCAGCAGTTCCAGATGCCGCTTCTGCTCGCTTGATTGTTTTTCGAAATTCGCCACAACTTGCTGATGTTGCAGCAGCTGCTGCTCAAGAAGTTGCTGCCTCATCTGCATGAGTATTTCTTCCTGATGTAGTTGCTGCTGTTGTTGATGATTCTGCGTAAGTTGCTGATGGTGCTGCTGTTGCTGGTGTAATTCCCGCATATGCAATTCATGTTGCAGTCGGCTTTGCAACTCTCGTTGCATGTCGAGCTGTTCCCGCTGCTGGTCAAGGCTTTCCGCTCGTTTCTTCATCACTGCCAATAGCTCTTGGCCTTCTTTCTGCTGTCTCAAAGCCGCCTGGATCTCCTGGTGCGCCTGCAGCTTCTGCTCCATGACTTCACGCTGCAGCTGCTGCAGCATCCGCTGCTGCCCGTAAATATCTATGCCCTGTGCAGCGAGTTCATCCGAGTCTCGCTTGATATCCATGGTTCCTTGTTGGTTTTGGTACTGCTGCTTCTGGTCCACCTGAGTGCCGCTCATTTGGGCCTTCTGCTCGCTCTCCCGGCCGCTTATAGCTCCTTGACGCGAAAGGGGAACCGATTCTTGAATCGGCGGATCTATTAGCTGCGTTGTCGCCTCTTTGGTTTCTTGCATACATTTCTCGCACAAATTGGCCACCTTTAAAACAGATACTCCTCCTACACCGCCTAGGCGACTAGCATGCGTACTCTTGAGGCCTTCAAGATCCTGAGGAATCGTAACTCCTTGAAGGCAGCTTTGTGGAAGCCAATGTCTAATCCGTTCATCCAGCATCGTCTGACGAAGCAATGCAGGACCTCCTTGGAGAGACTGCATGCAGCCTGCCACAGCCACTCCTGCAGCTTGAATGGCACAAGTCGAGAAGTACCGAGCAGCAGCTAGTGCGGAGTCTCTGTCTACTTCACCTTCCTCAGGATCAGAAATATCGGAGGGGAGAGCTAGGGCAACTGGGCAGAGAGTGGGTGCTGTGGGTGCTGTTGATACGCCATATGTTACCCCACCGCTGCTTTTAAGAGCTTGGTGGCAGGATCCGAAGGGCTGAACAGATCGCGAGGCTCCGCTAAATGTCTCTGGAAGCAGGCGCACAGCAGGGGAGAGCCTCTGGCTCTTCGGTGCTTCGGTCCTTGGTGCAGGCTGCTCTCCCTCCTCGAGCTGCGCTGCGCGGTTTGCTGCCATCTCCGCTGCAAAGGCAAATTCAGCCGCTCGCTGCGCAGCTTCCATTGGTGTAAGAAACTCCCCTTCCTCTCCCAATGCCCCCCCTGGCAGTTGAAGGGCTCCCCAAGTTGTCGTCACTTCATTAAGTCCCGTGCTAGGAAAGCGGATGGCTGAGTCTGGTGGAGGCGATAGCTGCAACGTCTCAGTATGCAGCTGTGCATCTGATGTTTTTGATCCCGACGCCTTTGCTGCTTCTTTAGGCGTAGTCTCCTCGTAAGGAGCCTCAGCATGGGGTTTATCTAGACCCCACAGGTTCCTGACATTTTCAGATGGCTGCATTACGTGCCGTGGCGCAGCCGATGAGCTTCCACACTGTCCTAATTGAAGTCTTTTGGATTGAAGCTGCTGTAACCTCTCTTGATCCTGCCCTTCTTCCTCCTCCCTGTTCTGTTGCTCTTGCTTGTACTGGTTTTGTTCATATTGCTGCTGCATATGATCTTGCTGCTGTACCTGATGCTTTTTATGATTTTCTTCTCGTTGATGGATGTGGTGCTGCTGCTCCATAAGGCTCCTCTGCTGTTGTATTGACTGGCTCTCCACGATGTACCCGTCGTCGCTGCCTAGGTGGTAAGGGGATCCCTCGCTATACTTGCTGCATGCAGAAGGTGGACGGCAATCCTGCGAATCCGGGGCAATGAACTCAATTTCGCTACCTGTAGTGCCTGCGACTCCTAAAGAGTGTGCCATCTCCATCTCGCCCGGCCGAGCTAGGCCTGGTTCAACCTCATACTCAGACGCATCTGCTGAGGATTGGACAGACAGTGCTGCATTGGTGTCTTCTATGAGACTCGAGGACCCCTTTGCTGCAGATTTATCAAGGCATGCTGCCACTCGCCTCATGCTGGCTACAGGCTCCCATATGCTTTCTAATTTGGCAGCGCTGTTGCTGTTATCCTCCACCTGAAGTTGGTTGTCCGTCCAAATAGCGGTCTCCCAGCAGCCGCTCAGCTCCTTGTACATTATTTCTTCAGGGTTTTGCTCGCCTGGCGAGAACGTTTGCTCGTGTTCATTTTCCATATTGTTGTAAGGTGGAATCACTTACACAGTAAGCATCACTCCAAGAACAACCATATCAGGCACTTCATCGGTTAAGGAACACCCGGCATTTGCTGCCAAGAGCACCAACTCGGTTGCTTTCAAAGAGCAAGCGAACATAATATCCCACACCAAGCGGAAGCGCACATTGGTGCAGTGGTGTTCGTCAGTTCACTAGGAATAGAGTGTATTGTATAAGATTAGTACTTCTAGTATGAAAATATGCTTGTAGTGTTCTGTTTCCCCTCAAGCATTAGTACACGAGTGCCACAGTGCGCTAAACAACGAGAAAACAGCAGGAGAAAAGGGGTGACTTTCTCCATCACACGGCATGCTATTGCCAACTACGTGAATACTCTGTGCTGGCTAATGCCTTTCCCAGTGGAACTTTACGTTAAGCTCTCCGCTTGAAAACATGTAACCTGACAGCACACAATAAGTTGATGGCAGGCGTAGCACTATTAACTACTCAGTTGTGGGTAAAGTGGGTAACCTGTACAAGTAGGTTTGTCGTCTGTCAGGGGAAGAGACCCTTAGTCCAGCAATCATCAGGTTCTTCTGCCCCCGCTGGCTACGACATACGGATTTCCGAATCTACCTAGTGTGGCTGGGGGCACTCGGACCTTGACTGTTCAACCTGAGTACAAAGGCTAACGCCAGTCTACCCTGTTGTCGCTGCACCACCTTATGGAGTTTTACGAGACCTTGCAGCCTTTCGGATTCAAGAGGCCTTCTGCTGATTTGCTGGAAGGTAAGTAATGGATGACGAGGCCCTGTTTACGCAGGTGCACAGGCGGGAGGCCGAGGGAGGGCCCAACAAGCATAAAATCGGAATTAGTATCCGAAAAATATTATTTTATGAAGAGCTGTAGCCAGAAACTTTAGGATTGATTCAGAGTATCGAAATGGGTCTTAGTTTTCGGTGGAGACAAGCAAACGCAAAGGTTACCTGCGTACGTGCGGTAGTGCTGTTATCTACACGAGCCTCTCCTCATGGAAATAAAACTATCGCATTCATGAAATTTTATTTAATTTTATCATAATTAAAGCACAGGGCCCAATCTGCTTAGCAGAGAGGGCACGATATGGCGGTCGGCAGCAGCCGCTGCAGCAGCCGCGTATGCTGCTGCTGCAGCAGAGGCAACGACGGGGCTGGTGAAAAAGCTGATATCGTTACTGCTTAGTGTTCTCCTCATTGAAGGATTTCTGTTTCTTAGCTCGGTGGAGGCATTCTTGAAGAACCACGAATTGAAGATACTTTCTTCATTCTGTCTTTCCAGCACACAACACGATGGTGGTAAGCACGGGACGCTGATCATTATGGCTTGCTGCTGCTGCTGTTCTCGTTCCTTAACATGTTTATCTGTCGTCTATGGTATTTCTGCCGTCACTAGAGAGCATCCAGGCACTTTTTCTTTCCTGCTCTTTCATCGCATTCCCGTTCCATGGCCACATGGGCACTTCCATAGTGCGAGACACGGGCGCTGGCCTGCTGGACAAATACGTTCCCTGTTCAGCCGCGCATCACTCCTTTGTTGAGCAAAACTCTTCTTCTCCACGTAAAGCTGTCAAAAGTAGCAGGACATGTCGTGGCAGAAACTGTTGCCTTTTTGAGCGTGTGACTCCTTTGGGGGTGTGAGACGGTTTTGCTCGTGGATCCCAGTGCCCTGCCCCTGTTTCCTTAAAAGAGTGTCGCAAATGCCTCCTATGGCAACTTGGCGAAATGTATATGAATCATGCAAGCATTCTGTGTGGGGGACAACAGGCACGACCGTGCTGCTTGAATGGCGCTCAATGATTTGCCATTATCCCTAAGTGCTCAGTTCAGTCGCGCAGAGGATTTATTTTACCCGATAAAGCATATGCAGCTACTCCTACCATTGGTTGTTGCGTGTGCAACTGGATTCCGCGAAACGTCCGTGTCTGAGTTTTGCGTCTGCAGGGCACAAATTCCTTCAGTGCTCAGTCCTCCCAGACAAACGTCGGCGGCTCTCGTGTGGCTGCTGCTCGGTGAGGCGCGTCCTGAGACCTGTGGTGACACAGACTAGCCTATGTGTTGTGATACCTTAATTTAGCTGTCCTTGCCTTGATACATTTAGAGCATTAGTCATAGTGTACACCCTGCTGGTGCCAGGAGCTCAGCACATTTGAGTCTTGGCGTTTGCATGCCCTTGTTGAATCCCTTTATTTTATCGGCACCTCTCTGCACGCTTGGGTGTGCAGCAAGCGGGTCACTTCTAAGAGTGCATCGTCCAGCGCTAGCAGCGCAGCAGCGAGCCGCCCTCGTGCGCATGCCGCAGCAGCGAATCAGGGCATCTTGAAGTTTTATACAGAGGATGCTCCAGGATTGCGCATGTACGCACAGGTGGACGCTTGACGCTTTAGCTGAAGCTGCGCCGCTTTCCGGAGCGTTTGTGTTGAATCAGTTACTAAGCCGGTAGCTTGAGCACCTCAAATCTTCAAGCAATAAATTTTCTGGATAGTTATTCGCGCTTGAGTATGTCTTTTTGTATTTTTGCGCTCAGTGGACCACAGGCCGTGCTGATCATGGCCTTGGTGTTCATGGGAGTGGTGGTAATGCTTCACATCGTGGGGAAGATTCGTCAGAGCTTTGGCAGCGGCTAATCGCCTGCAGTTCTTGTCGCAACGTACCACTGCCTGTGCAGGCGATGCACGCCTGGGGGAGGCTTAAAGATCGAGTGCCGAATGGTTTCGAGGTCTGACGATTTGTTTTGATGGGTGGAGGAAATGTTGCGCATGGAAAGTGGTTTATTGTCCTGGCCCCGCTTACGCACTATATGTGAAGTTCACCCGTGCGAATCACCTGGTCCTCGCCGGAAAAGCCCTGAATATGAAGAGCTGTAGTCCTGACATCAGACCAGTGCAGACAGCAGGAATATTCGATGTATTTTTTTGGCGAGGCGAGCCACAGCATGCTTGCTACGTATTTGTGGAACTTCTCAAAAAGATGTGCCCCTGTGGTGGAGAAGGCGAAGCGTAGTATGAATACGCAACCGTCTACGACGCTTGGGTGCAGCCTGACGGTGCGACACTATCTAGTGCTGCCATATTAGGGTGTATTTCCTCTACTGAGCGAACAAGCAGTACGTCAGAATAATCTTTATATTCTGTTTTACTCCTTAATCATTTAACTAATGCCTAGCTGCTCTTTCAGCAGAGTATTTTCAGAGGCCGAACTACGTTGAAGCTCTCGATGGTACAAGGAAGACTACAGGGATCTGCGCATGCCGCAGTGGGCAAAGGAGGGGTAGGAATGCAGATGACAGTCCTTAAGGTTCTGTGTAAGTGTCGACACCCGCGAAAGGGTCATAGATGCCCGCCAGTTCGCTGTGGAGGGCGGTGCTGCAAAAGTATATTCGTTGCCGGCCAGTGGCATGTGGTGAACATTGAGCCGCTGGGCGATGGAGGACCGGCACTATTCCCTTTGCTGCAGAGCCTATTTGCTCATTTGCAGATTCGTGAAATTCTTTTAGCCCGGCTGTGCCCAACTCAGTAGCGCCTAGTGGGTTGCCAATATCAAGCTATCTTAGCGCTCGTTACGGCTCTTTCGTCCCTGCAACAAGAACAATGCTGCCGCAGCAAAATCAATAAGAGACACTAGCTTGCAGTGCTGTTGTCTAGGTTACCATAAAGACTGTCAAGCTCTTATGTTCGGCTGAGGTAGCGGACGCACCGGATTGTTGCTGAACGGCGTCAGGCAGACGACTGTACCACGGACCACTTGGTGCTTCGAAACGCTGGACAGGAGCTGAGGAGAACGCCGGGGTTCCAAAAGTAAGCGCGAAATTTTTAAGGGGACAGACAACCATATAAAGGTTTTTTGCTGCTGCAGGAAGAGCTATGGGAAAGAGAGGAGCTACGTCGAGAGTTACTTACGTTCGGTGGATCCTTTGAACATAAGGGCTCGTGGGGTGGCCCAGCATTGCCTATTTTCGTTGTAACACAAAATCGCGTTAGCCTCTGCCCAAATAACGCAATTTAATTGCAGTCAGAGAATGTAAAAGTGTTTACCTCTTAGCATGCCTCAAGCGAGAAATAATCTTTTACGCACAGCTCAGTTCGCGGTGTATTCGAGGAAGGTACAGGCCCGCGATATGGCTTGGCTGTACCTGCTGCTGGACTTGAACTTCCGAAAATGAACTGCCCATGTTGAAAGTCTATGGGGTTCTTGTGTCCCGGTGTATTTCCTGTGGCGAATCAGGTAGCACTCTCCATTACAGCTTTGCTTGCTTGCCAGTAAAATGCAAAAATTTCAGTTTAAAGGCATTGGAAGTCTTTGCAAGAGACGGCGGAAGACTTTTTTCGGCTCACCGCAGCTCATTTCTTCGGGACGGAAGGTCAATGTATGTTCGAAACGCTGTCTAACAGGATCCCATAATCCCGTACCCGCGTGTATCACTGCCCATTCATTGTTGGCGACTAATCCTGGTCGATTCTTCCTCCTCCATGTAAATTTCTTTGAAAACCAATTTTTAATGGCCCGCAGCTTGCCAGCTACACGCTGGAAGGCGCTCATGCGCGCTACACAACAGTTCATGCTCCACAATACAAAATGCAAGGGATTAGTGGATCCAAGGATATGGATGCAATCACCATGGGACACTGCCTCTTGCTGCTGTGTTCCGTTTACCAGGGCACAAGGGACATTCGGATGGTTCTCCGGCGATACAATATGAAGCACAAATCAGTAATCATCACGATCTGGTAGGGGGACTTACATAATGCATACTGCAACATCTCGTGCCTCGCACTCTGCCTCAGTTGTGGGTCAACAAAGTCCCGCATAAATGGGCACTTGAGATTAATCACCCAAGATGTCTTCACTGATCCTGGCACTAGCACGATCTCGGATGTTTTGTCCAGCACCCCGTCCAAGAATAGCACGAGCTTGTTGCTGTCAGTTGTCTTAGGAACTGAAGCTAATTCCCTCATGACGTAATCTGCAGAAAACGCTAGAGAATTCCAATTCATGGTTTAATCATATCAATTGGCTTTTCGTGAAGCAGAGCTTTAAATGTTGGGTTGAGACTGCCTACTCACCTCTGTACTTCAAACACCAAGAATCAAGTACGAACTTTGAGGTGAGCATCTGTACAACTCTCTCATCGTCTGGATTTCCTTTAGGTGGCTTTTTGAACTGCAAAAAGGCATAAATGCAATGTATTGTGCTTTGTACTTCAGTCACTCAGAAGATTCAATACTGATAAAGGTATCGTTAGGACACGATAAGTAGTCATGAGCCGTTGAGTGTGTAGCTCGTTTCACGCATGCATACTGTAACTTGGGGAAGCTTCCGTTTTTCCTTTGTCTCTTCTTGTGGTGGAGGTTCGTCCGAGGCAAGGGCCGAGCTCTGTGCACTGCAGCGAGTTGCGAGGTCTTGTGCTGTTCGAATGAGGTCGAGCGGATCGACATACGTAGACAGCAGGATGTTTAAATGGTGTTCTAGCTCAGAGCGTCTGAGTGAAACGTTTCTATGCTTCAATATCGTATTTCCGGCGTTTTGACGCTTCCCTGACGCTTCCACTGTAGCCTTAACTCTACCCATATCGATTTTTTTCAGGTCTGCATGTCACGCACACAGAATTACAAGACAGCTTCTTTGGCCACCTTAGACTTTGTTAACACACACCAGGGTGTAATAACACACTCTATGGGAGTGAGATCGTAAAGCTCTCCGTACCTTTGCAGCTGTTCGTGATGATTCCTGCGGCCACATGCGTCAAGCCTTTGGCTGTGAGCAGCGCACATAGCTGTAAAATTTACGAGATGTTCAACTTTTTGACAAACAAAGTACGTAGCATGCACCACATCTTCTCTGGTGGTGTAGTGTCTACTAGTGTCGCATAAACCCAGTGACTGAATAGCTCAACAAAAACGACCTTGATGCCATCCGTGGGGCTCCGAGTAGCTGCTAAGCCAAGCGGCCTATGTAAAGAGCAGGCATTAATAATACGGATGCTTTCTAATAAACATACGATGCACGAAAACGTTGTGGTAGAAAAGCTTCTTGGCCTTTGAGATCGTGGGATCCTTCATGTTCAGCTTTTCTCCAAATGGAACCATCCACTGGGCCACAAGAGCATGTATAAAGGAGATATACGCGGGCAAAAGTGGATGGGGTTCACTTGCCGTGATAGCAGGCTCCAAGAATCTCTTATGGAACATCTTCGCAAGCTGGTTTATTGCACTCAGAGCACCTTGGAAGCCCTCTGCATCTGTCCGCTGCCGCGCATGCGCCCTCGACTGGATTTGACCCCAAGACGACGGAGCCTTCATCTTTTTGTTTTTCCGGAAGATACCCGCGAAGAACGATTTAACTGCTGCTCCCATGCGCCTCCAAATGCTGTTCTTGAACCCTTCAACAACGCTATGCAGGAAGAAAGCTGCGCATGAGTCACACAGAGTATGACATCCGGATACTTCTTTGCTGAGGGGCGTTGTGGAGGGCCAAGTGCGCATTACAGCTTTCAACACAAACTCATACTTTTAATCGTTGGCTGCAAAGATATATTTGGGCGTCTGTTATCTTATGAAACGGAGTTGGTCGCAATAAAATAAAACACAATCATTAAAATGGGGACTCACCAACTTGGAGCGTCACAGAAGCTAGCATTGCAGGAAAGGGCTTGAGAACAGAATGCGCTGGTTGTCGGATACCAAGGTCCATCTCGTACCAAAGCTTGGCGAAAATGGCAGCTAGTTGTTTGTTCCTTTTAGATATCGTATCCCCCTTGCCAGGCAGGTAGCCCTCTGCCGCGTTATAAATGCCACGCATTTGCACCCACGAATGTGCTGCAAGACTGAATAGCCCTTGCGTTTCGGAGTGCTCAAGGAGGATGTTTACGTATCGTTCCAGTCCTAGTGCATAGGTTTCGATTTCTGAAGTTATGCCCGCCGATAGCTCCTTGACTTTTTTGCCTTTGTCCATCCAGGAATTCAAAACTGATAAGTGAGCCACTCGGTACTTTTCGTTTTGCTCCGCGTGGCCCTGCACGACAGCCGAGCACAGAAATATGCATTTTTCAATTGAGTAAATTTACTTCTTAAGGATATTGTGCCCATTTCGTCCTTTAACATCTGTGAAAGACATACTGAAAGGGTAGTGCATTGGAGGCCACCAAAGAAAGCGGCGCCGAGTGTGAGACCACGGAAGGCCATGCTATTAAGCTTTGTCAAGGTGTAGTCCATTGAGTAGATGGAACTAGCCATCACTGAATATTGCAGCATCATCCCACATATAAAAGTAAGTAGATTTTATGATGACTGATCGTTGCGAGTTGGCGTGGCTGTTGTGCCGCAGCTGGTCGTGGTTACCTCAATTAAATATTCCGGTGATTGAAGGAACTAGTCTACTGATGTAAAGAAAAAAGCGTGGAACTGCTAGCGGCAGCAAACTCGGCATGAAGCAGCTGAAAAGGGCTACTGCAGGGAGAAGGCCATAGATAGCTTTTGGCTTACCATCTCCCCGTTTAGACTTTGGCTTGTTATAGCAGTCTTTTCCGCAGACGTCCAGGAATCCATATTTTACAGCTGAAGCAGTGACAGAAAACGTCCACATGCCACCATTTACAGGAAGCAAGAGTCTCTCTTCACCGGTAGATCGCTCTGATGCCTTGTGTTCCTCGCACATAAGGTGGCTGCTTGCCTTTTTTCCCCTTCCCATCTCCTGCACAGGATACACGGCAAAACGCATTGACGTGCCTTTGGCCATTGTTTATGCAGACACGGCGATCTGGCGGAGATACGTGCTCTGCCAATGCAATTCCGATTACACTACGATAGGTCTTGGAGTAAGAAGATTCTACGAAAAAACTTGCCATCGTGGATGATGTACTGAATCTTCTTCAAAGCTTCACTAAGCACATTGTCACATTCCGCAGGCACCACTGGGATGATCCCTGAAACGCATTATGGTAGACGCTCAGCAAGTTGCCAATTATTTCTGGTACACGCGACCTGCAGTGAAGGCCCTAAAGCTGTTGAATAACGTACCTTTTGCTTGAAGGAGCTGAGCGCGAAACCGGAGTTTTCCGTGTGCCCGCTCGTTGCCCTTTACCGACCAGAATAGCTGTGCGGAGGCATAGTACTCGTAAAATAGACGACGAGCTTCATCAGAATATGATTTGCAACCGCTGCTCGTTAAAGTGTTAAATGAGGGCGCAGGAGTGGTGGCATCTGCGATGTTCGCATGATGCTTCGTTACTAAGCCCACAAGGCAAACCACATGCGCAACAAGAAAGTGCCAACAACCATCCTTAGACCATCACTTCAGGATAAGCATGGGGTGTTCACAAGGTGCGAAGACCACTCCTGAAAAAGTATAGAGTGCTATAGCTTTGCTGGTATTGCAAAAAGTTTCCAGGCTCGATTCCAAACCTCCTAAATTTGCTGGTTTCCTAGCGGCATGTACAGGTAAGGGCTTTGCTCACGCAGTCTTTGAACATGCTGTTCGATGGTGTTATTATCGCGGAATAGGGTGACGGTTCCATGGGTAGCCTCATGCATCTTCCGTAGAGACCACCGCTCTACTGCGGAGGCTGCAAGAGCAGCTAGAGATTGGGGGGGACCTTCTCCGGGGGTATATGAATCGCCACCGGTAGGTAACACCATCGCGTCCGTTATACATATGTCATTCTTTGTCCCCCTGTTGCCAAGGATGTAATCCTGAACGAAATAAACCAAGCAATTGAGATATTGGTTGTGCCATGATACCTGACTAATGTGGGTAGGGCTTGTCAGGTGCTAGACGGTGTGGCCGCAAAGGTGTTACCGTTTGAATGTCGTGGAAATGTACGCCGTATTTAGGCTGCTGATCCTTATCCTGGAAGACAGGAAGGCTGGTTAGAGGCACGGTTGTGCCTGAAAGGCCTGGAACTGTGACTTGTGCCAGGTTGACTTTCCCTGAATCCACATATTCCATCCCCCCCTTTCCAAACCTCAGTGCAAAAACGCTTTTGGGCGTTACATCCACTGACGCATGGGGCAACGTTCCAGCGCCCGTCTGGCTAGTTCCTGGAGTTTCGAGGTCATAATGAGTGCCTGTAGATCCTTGCTGTGTAGAGGGGCTACCTTGCGCTATGCCTGATGCCTGACCAGTCTGGCCCTCTGTGTTGCGCACGGGATGCACAGAGATAAAAATTGTTTCTTGTATACCGTGCATACAGGCACTACCTAAAATCGGCTGCCCTTGCACAATGCAGGCACTGCGATGACGGGGTCCAGGGGCGCTTGGGGTATATTGGGAAGACGTGATGCCGCTGGTAGTGAGGCCCTCCCCAATACGGATCCCTGCTTGTTTTTTTTTAAATCGGTAGCACATGATTGTTAAAGGGAGATCTAGAGATCTTACCTGCCTGACCACCAGGCGAAGACACTCCCGCAGGTCCTTCCTGGATCACACCACCACCATAACCCACATACAAAAGCACTTGTGGAAGGCGACTTGCCCGTGGTGCTTGACACAGAAGAAATGACTAGGGCCGCTGTTCTGACGCTAGCGCTGAAGATGCAGGTATTTAATACCGTTGAAGGCTTTCTCTCAACGGAAATTTGCGCTGCTTTGTCCTCGGCTGCTCCCTGTCCCTGTTGTGCCCTAGTATACTTCACAACTGCATCATAAGAATGACAAGAAAAAGCATCAATGTGGGCCCTCGCCTTGAGCATAGCTTGTAGTTTGCGCCACAACCTACAGATGAGAGGCTGGATGTATGCTGAGCTGGCTGGTTTGTTAGAAAGTGGGGACTGCTGCGTAGCTCATTGGCTATGCACCTACCGGTGATATGTTCTGGATCTGAGAGCAATGAGCACACAAGGGCGCAAATTGCATATACCAAGAGCACAAGCGTAGCTCTCAGGTATCCCCATGCTTGCTTTGTTGTAGTGTGGAGGTAAATCGAACACCTCTTCTAGTATGAGGAGTGCTTGTTAATTTTTACACATTCTGCAGAGCCCAGAGTTTTGTGGAAAACTTATTTGCACTGAAGGATGTCATATTTGAACGTACGGTCAATGATCGAGAGCACGAGATCCACAATCTGACTCGCTATATCATCCGGAATAGTATCAAGTCTTCCGCTCAATGCGTCTTGCTTGACCAGCGCACTAATGTCAGATGCTCGGGCGCTGGGGTGGGCAGCACTGACGGTAGCTTTGAGCTTCGCAGTAGTACAGACTAGCGCATCCAGGGATGTCAGAAGAAGAAAGGCGGCTGCGCCGGCCTCTTCGGGCCCTTTTTTCCTTGAATTAATGCTCATGAGGGCATTTTCAATGAAAGATACACAGAATGGGGCCAATGGCTGGGCGTAAGCAGTCCCCTCGACGAGGACAGACCTCAAAATCCCCTCAATGAAGCCTGGATCAAAATCCATGGACGCGCCTTCAGGCAGCGCACCGGCACTCGAAATTTTTGATCCCAGGATCTCTTTAGCCATTCCAGTAAGTAGCAGGCCTAAGCAGCAAAGACAGGAAGGCTCGCGGCCAACGGGCGGTGTGTCGAGGCAGCGAAATCCAAGACGTTACCTCAGCAAGCCACATAGAATTTTCGGAGATGAGCTGGAGGGATGAACTTACTGCCCGATTGCAAATAAGCCGAAGCTGCACAACCACGAGAAGCAACACATACACACACACATGCCAATTCCTTACTCTGTAGCAAAGCCACACGAAATCATGCGCCTCAACCAGCGACTCGCCCACGTTCCTTTCGGCTTGAGACCTCCGTTGTGGCATATTTATGGTAGCTGTAAGTATAGTGATTGTTTACCGTCCAGTATTTGCTGCAGCCGCTCGCTTAGTCCTGAGTCAGCACCTGCAATGGCCAGAGTGTCGTATGGTGCAAAAGTAATACTCTGCGACCACGGGAGGCCAGCTGTCCGCTTCCTTGATGCGAATATAGTTTGCCTTTTCATGCAGAAACATGCGTTACATGGGCTTACCATTTGCTCCACTTCCTTCGTTTTCTCTTGCTACACGAATGTGCCGCTCACGCTCTTCAGTGAGTTCCTTCCACCGAGCTTCTTGCTCTTCAGGCGAGGGCAACTCAACCAAGCTTGTTTCCTCCAGTATCACTGGTTCCTGTGTTCTAGAACCCTTCTTGCCGCTCTTTTTGCTACGGCGCTTACCTAACAGATACAACCGTCGCAGCACCTAATACGGTTCACAATGTTACTGAACTGATTGGCTCGACAAAATGAGAATGCAGGGGCTCCCCTTGGTGCATGTACGTGTGATTCGTGTTTGCTGCCACATGATTAGACACTTCACATACAGCAGAGCCTTTGGTGTAAATTCTCAGGTTTTTGCTCTCTTTTTTACAAGCCCTTTGACTGAATCGGGCCTTACCAGGACGTTTGAGTGCTGATTCCTTGGCTGCTGCGCGGTCCTGTTGGCGTTTTGCTTGCTTGCGATCCTTCAAGGACTGGATGTGACACTGTTGCCCCTCTGCTCAGCCGCATTTCACCTTTTTGAAAATTTATATGCCACTCTGTCCGTGTAACTAAGGCACCAGACGTACGAGGAGGAAAGACGTGCCGCTGCCCGTGGGGATTCCCTGCTTCGGAGCTCTGAAGCTGCCCTGGGACGCACCGAGTTGTTCTAATGCAAGACACGCTGCAGCATATTCTCGTAAGATTACGCAGAAATGCGTTTGGACGTTTTCTGTAGAACTGCAGTAGCCAGCAGGGTCTTGCATGGCAACAATATGAGACTGCATGGTTCTCGCATCCACGTCTCCCAATAGCTGAGCATCTGTGACAACACGGAAGAGATGCATGCGACAAGGGTTTGCCATGTGGCCCGTTCTGTTGACTTCGGCGCGACTCGCTCTGAGATACGGAGGTACGTGCAATCTCGCTGCTGGGCGGGTACCTATTGTAGATGCTGCACTTGCCTGGAGGCGGCAAACGCCCTGGTTCCTCTGGTGCCAGAAAATGGCCGACAACCGCTTTAGCCTCAACTGAACGAGCATAACGCACACCGATCTTTTACACAAGGGACATTCAGAAAACGGCAACTAGGCATCAAAGCTAGCATTTTCTCAGTGTTCTCAGACGAGGCGCGGCCAGTCTTGCGGAGATCTCCAGGTACCTCCATCTGTGGGATGCACGATGATATGTGCTTGCGTAGTGGGAAAATCGAGGCGGGGTATTCCTGAATCGCGTAAGCAAGTGCAAAACAGCGAGCCAGACTTGGAAGTTTATTTACGCTGCCGACTGGGGATGAATTCAGCAGCTTCGTACCCCAGAAGCCATTGTTAAAGCACGCATGTATCCATGAAGCTCAGGGGGTGGGGGCACGATTTCTTGCAGGGCTGCATACCTATGGCATTTGTAGCCAAGGATGGAGAAGTATACAGTGCTGCATGTAGCGCCAGGATGGCCGATGCCGCTGAGGCAGAATGCCACAGCAAAGCACGCAGAAGGGCTCTTAAATGGGGGAAATCCTTCAAGAACAAAATGCCTACGCAACACCGCAAAGCTGAGCCATCCATGTGGGCGTATGTTGTCTCAAAGGTCAGATCATCGGCTCATGCTGCCCGGAAACTCAGGCTCTGCCCCTATAGGTGATCCCTTAGAGTCGTGGGAGGGGTTGGAGCCCGTAGACCCCAGGGCCCCTTCCACCAGCATACAAAACCTGCCATATCCCTATATGCAGCGAAAACGTTGAAGATAGTCTGCAGTAAAATGAAGACTTTTGTGGGAATCGGCATACCACGTAGACGCCGCATCTTGCGCCAAGTCGGCAGCAGGGCGCACACAACGAAACCACCCGAATCCCTGAAATCTCCTATGGAAGGAACAAGCCTATATACTAAAACAATTCGTAACAGGACGCGAATTCCTGCAATGAAGTGAACACCAGGGGCCTTAAATACGGTGCCAGAGAAATGACGTGGCCTCAGAAGAGCCCTGGGCCAAAGCAGAGAGTGGAGCGGTTCGGTCCCTGCAGTCACGTTCGTTGTAAAACGCAGTCGTGATGCTGCCACTGCTCCTTCCCCTTTTACTCCCATTTTTTCATCGATTTTAAATGAGAAAAATAGAATGAGCATGCCGAAGGGTCAGAAAAACCGAGGGAGTACTGGAGTCGATGGACCCTAGGAGGAGCCTGCCGGTCACAAGACGTTTTCTTTGCTTAGAAAAGTGCTGAGGAAATCTCTGCTATTAGCTGGATGTTCGGAGTAAGATAAAGCTTAAAGTGTTTATGGCTCCGGTGTAATGTGAAACTTCCTGCAAGGGCTTACAAATACCCCGATTACCCACCGTAACTAATGTGGACGGATTCTTGCAATATTCCCAGCAGTACAAACTGCATTATTACTTCGTTATTGTAGTATCAGCTCAGATAACAAGTAAGAGGTGATTCCTGTGAAGGACCCGAGCGTGCGTTCGCTAAAGCCTATATGACTGTTTATAATCACCCTCAGATCCTTGAAGGACACATGCTTTAAACATTGCTTTGCTGTGCTCTAGAGGAACAAAACTAGAGGTACCAAGACACATTACACCAGCTTGTATCGCTTGGGTTTAGGTGATCCATAGGGCACCTAGCTGTCGGTAATAGCAAGACCATCAGCAAAGGCGCTTACACAGTGGAAAGTCATGTAGCCGAGCTAGGTATAAAAGTGGAAGCCCTCACGTTTTTCGTGGAAACTACTCTCTTCTGTGGACACTTTTGCTTTCTTCACTAATTTTGCAATGGAGCTTGATGCCAGAAAGAGGAGTACAACTTAGTTTAGCCCTGCTCACTAATTAGGGCAGTGGAGGTCCCAAGAGAGGCTGTACAGCCGACACAGTCCCTGCTATAGATCAAATGGCTCCCATGTGTGGTCTGATCCTATTCATGGAGCATCTTTGTGCTCTTTCACGTACCCTCCTGAGGAAACACCGACTTTGGAATGGGAAGTTCGCCTTCGAGGTCATGAGAGCACACCAAGAGCCTTCAGAGCATGGGGAGTGAGGTATCACTCCAAGAGGTATATCGTCAGGCGGTCAAGCACTCCTGCACTTTCGTAATGTTCTAGAGACTTTAAAGTTGCGTAGACCAGCACTGGGTTGAGGGTGCCTATTAGCGCCGAGGCAGTATGTTTTCCTCGTTAGAGGGAATCGCCCCGCAACCGCCAGCTCCTAGGGCTGTGAAGGCAGAAATGCGTGAATTGCGGTCAGTCTTCAAATTATGCCAACTCCAAGTACTACAACGAGCTCTAATTGGACACTTCTTGCAGCCCTCATTCCTCTAGACATGATGAAAATCCGCCAAGCCTAGATGACGTTTGCTCTTTCAACTAGACAGCGCTGCTGTACTGAATGTTCACTGCTCTGCCTCTGGCACCTCAAAGCCTAGCATTGCTGTACTGAATGTTCACTGCTCTGCCTCTAGCACCTCAAAGCCGCACACTGCATGGGCCAAACAAAATGCCATCAAGTATCTGCCGTCCCTGGAGACCCAACAGTAACAGAACGATTTTACCGCCATTTTTATGCGGGCTACAAACCACCACACACATCTGAACAACTCCCTCTGGTTCTGTGGTGCACCGCGAGCTACCTCTCCTGCGCATTTGGCTGCTGTTTGCCCCTTCCTTCCCCGATAGTGGGGGGAACTGCCTTATTTTGAGAGCCCCGTGGATACTTTCCGGGGACCACGGCGGGAGGCGGCAGCCGAGGCCTCAGTATTGGACGCCAAACATGGGGAGGAGTTGACGGTAGCCGCTGCAACTGTTTGGGAACCACGCGGGGTGGAAAGAACTGAACATTTCCCACTGACGCCACAGCTCGCTTCTGGTGCTCGCTGTCATTTCCTAAGTTCCCTGGAAGACGTGGCGAAGTCGCAACTGCGGGAAGGGGAGCCTGTACTGCTCTAAGCATCTGCTGCGTCCTTTCAGCCGCTTTGGCGGGCTCACGTGGCGTGCTGTGGCTTTCGACCGACGCTCCGGCAGCTTCGTTTGCTGCTGCTGCTGCAGGCAATTCCGAGCCTCTTCCCTCCTCGCCAGAAAGCTCCCGAACAAACAGCGCCTTGTTAATAGAGGCTGCAAGGTCCAGGGCCGGAAAAGACGGTTCATCCAGCAGAGCATGCAGCGATGCCCGGTAGCTCTTCGCGTCCAACTTTGAGTTGCTCTTCGCTAGTAGAGCGGCAGCAGCAGCAGCAGTAAGGCCGTGCGGGCGCTTCGCCTGCGCGTCCTTGGGATTTGCAGGACCGCTTGCCGCTACGCTGGCAGCAATTCCCTCACTTGCGCTCGGAGGACCGCTGACGGGAAGGCGCACAGCTACAGACGTTTCGTGCCCGTGAGGCTGTTGCACTGCACAGCAGTTCGTCTGCTCCACCGGCACTGCCTGTTGCTGGTCTTGCTGCTGCTGCTGCTTCTTCTTGCGCTCCATCGATGAGGAAGACAGAGAGCTCTGGGGCGGTGCCAATGCGGAGTAGCTCGCGCTTCGTCTCGCTGCAGAGATTGCAGCAGCAAGCACAACATCGGCTGCACCCGTTGAGAGACCCTAGTCAGCAACGAGCCGGCAGGAAAAGCAGCAGCGGCGAACCGTGCTAAGCCTCAGAACCGGTGTGAGCGGATGGCAATGCTTCCAAGGCGGCACGCTAGCTCCTCTGCCTTAGCTTAAAGCTCAGAGTCGAAGACTGATAGCGAGACGAGACTTTGTCTTACGGGGGGTACAAGGCTGGTGATGGTGGTGCTCGGGCTGCATTAGAGCCGCGCCAAGCCCGCGAAGGCCTCTCGGTGTCGCACACGTAGCGGCAATAGGATCACTGCATTTGCGGGTGAAATGTGCATGCAGTTGTGATCCTGTCGTTGCGGCTATCGCTGGGGCTTTGAAAGTGGCCCCTTGATCCTTCTTTGGGAGGGCAGCTGCGAAGGGAGGCTCCCCGGGAGACGCTGACTCCCCTGCGGAGGGGGCCTCTTTTTTGCCTCGTCGCTCCTCCTCCGCATTCCCCTGCTTGGGGTCGCTGGTGCTGCTATTGGTGGCAAGCAGGACGGCGTACCGTTTCGGGTGCTGCTGTATATCCCTTAGCGTTTGCTTAAAGGTTACCAAGATGGCGGCTAGCGTCGAGAAGGGCGAAGCACGCATAAGACCACCCCACCCTTCCCCCGCCGCAGCGGCTGCCGCAGCACTCGGCCTTTGTGGCTCCTCTCCATAAAATCGAGCCAACTCTGTGACGCGTTCTTTGCTCGCTGCATACCTCTGCCGGACTCCCTGAAAGCCTAAGGCAGCTTCCCCGTGGAGGCGGCGAAGCTTTTCGATCTCTGAAGGGCCCCAAAACTCGTTCGACGGCTTTGCCTGCTGTATTTGCTGCAAAAGAAACTGCGTCTCGCGATGCAGCAACGCTGCTGCGACATCCAACGCCTCATCCGAGAGGCGCGCTGCCTCCTCCACCAGGGGCATCTCTTCGGGCAAGCCCTCCAGCCTCAAATCCGGCAGAGACGCCATCTGCAAATACATGTACATACATATATATATATATATGTAAACCGCCTCACCAGCATAAATCGAAACGCTTCCGACTGTATTCTAGAGGCTTTGACCTCTGAAGGCGCATCGATCCTTTCGGCCCACCCCACACGAAATCCCTGCTCGCCTATGAATCCCCCAAATATACCGCTAGCTAGCCGTCGCTCCATGCGCGCATCATCGCATGCAAAAAGGAAAGCGCGGCAGCCATGTGTGCAGTCTATCCGCAAGAGGCTAGTCCGAGACGTACCAGATTGACAAGGATGTAGTGCAGCGAGCTGAGGCGGCTGTCGACGGTGCTGCGAAATTCCATCAGCTTCAGGAGAGAGGTCAACGCAAACCCTCGCGTCGGCAGAGCCTCAACCGAGGCAGCAGCTCCTGGCAGCCCTCGTGCACTGTCTCCCGCTGCACCGCCTTCTTCTGAAGACTGTGTGCCTTCCGGGGTGGCAGCAAGTCGAACTCCGTGATTTACATAATTTCCCCACTGCAGCACAGCCTGCAGAAGCACGCGAAACTTGCGGCTGCTGCGACCCTGCGCAACAACAGAGGGGGGAGGGACAAGCGCAAACACGAGTCAGCTGGAAATCAGGTGTACATACACAGCCAAAGAAGCCGGTAAAACGCGAATTGCAGGGGCGGCACGCAGGGGGAGAAATAACAGACGAAAAGGGAGGAAGTGCAGAGGAGCACTGGCACATGTGCGCCAAAGTGCCAGATGGGCAAAAGCGGCAACAGCAAGGAGACTCGCCTGCTCGGCTGCTTGATCCACGAGGTCAAGAGCGTCATTTAGCTCCTTCAGCGTCTTTGGGGCTAAGAGGTCAAAACGGACGACGCGAGTCCGCAAAGAAACTCCAGTAAGCCGCACGAGTGGTAGCATTTCCGCCTCTACATCGCGCAGAGGAGGGGTGGTTGCTGAATCCGCTTTCGGATCCTCGGATGTCTGCTGTTGCTCCTGCTGCTGTAAGTACGCCTGGAAAGCTTCGAGTTCCTCCGGCAACGGACAGACCTGCTCTAACCGATCGAGAAGCTCTAGCGAAAAGCCGCTGCTGTCAAGGCACTGCAGCCGCCGAGCTGCTTCCTGCCAGCAACATCCAGAGCAGCATTACACCACGCCTTCAGCAGAATAGCACTGCAAGCTTAGGGGTTTTGCGCGGCAAAACAGCACGCGAACCGAGAGTGAAGAGCACACTTGTTCAACGAAGAACGGGGTGGGCAACATAGCCTTGCCACAGGCATCAGGGAAGGTACCTTGGTGGAGAGCGAAAGCCGGGCAAGAACTATGGCAACATTCTGAGCGCGCTTGCTCGAGATCAGCTTGACTTGCTGCACTTCCGGCCTCTTCGTTGCCCTCTTCGAAGCCGCTTTTGTTGCGGCTGAAGACTGCGTTCGGGAGAAAAGGCGACTCAGAGCAGCACCGTCTACAAGCGCGGAGGGTCCTAAGGGGCCAAGGGCGGGCATCTCGCTGAAGACTGTCCCCTGCGCAGAGAAAAATCGCGCGCACACGGGGGCACCCCTCGAGTTGAGGCGCGCCAGTAGGGGCAGCAACAGCGATTAAAAGACAAAAAGAGAGCGGCAGCCCCCAAGAATCCCAAGCAACAACCATGCAGCACACCACGAGCAACAGAGACACCCGCATGTGGCAAGAGGACTCCAGCGCGCTCGTCCTGTTGCAGCTGCGCTTCAAACTAAGTGCGTTCCCAGGAGCAGCAGCACCGGGGCGAAGAAAAGAAGGCGCGCGCGGGGGTGAGAAGGCCTCCCTAGCAGAGCAAGAGCAACTGGAAGAAGATCTGGCTTACATGGATCTTATCTCCTGAAAGCGCCTTCCAGTGTATCTTGCGGCCAAGTGGCAGCGCCGCCTCTGCGAGCGGTTGCTGCTTCGATGCTGCAGCCGCAGGCGGAGGCCTCTTTCCTCCCGGAAAGCCCTTAGGCGGAGGTCCTGGTGCCTTTGCGGTGGCTTTGGCGGATGGGGGGGGGGGCGGCTTCGAGGCGTTTGCCTTCCCCGCTGCAGCAGGAGCTTCCGCTGTCGTAAACGGGGGGGGAGGAGGCCTCCTGGGGGGTGGTTGCCCTGGTGCCTTGCCTTTAGATGCGGCAGGAAGGGTTTGGGGGGAGCCTCCTGCTGCTGCAGACATCTGCGCATCCTTTGGAGGGGAGGAGGGGGGGGAGGCAGCGGCGTCACCGCATGCGGAGACTCCCGGAAAGCTGGCCTTGCAGTCCTCGGAGGAGAAAGAACCTCTCGCAAGCGGGGCAGCTGCAATGGGTGCGCGTGTGGCTGCTGCAGCTCCTGCTGCATCAGCAGGCAGGCAGACGGCCGCTGCTGCTGCTCGTACAACGGTGCCTTCTGCTCCAAGATTTGCAGCCACGGCCACATCCGACGGAAGAGACACACGCAGCACCCGTCCATCAGGCAGCTGAATTGCAAGAAGCTGGCTACTCGATCCGGCAGGTCCAGCAGAGGGCAGGGAGGACAGCGCCGCTGTAGTGCCTGATGCTTCTCCACCTGAAGACGCGTGTGCAGATACCAACGCTGCCGGAAAAAACCCCACGCACGGCGTCTTTCGTCCTTCTGCTGCTCCCTCTGGGGAAGCCTCCGCCCCTTCCGAGGGCGGCGGCTCTCTACTGGTCGCTGCTCGCGGCCGTTCTCCGTCAGGAGAAGGCGTCTTCACCGAGCTCGAAAGGGCAGCCTCCAGAGTCGAAACACTCAAGGCACCTAAGATCGAACAGGTAGCCTCATCTGCAGTGCTTCCTAGCGTAGTGGAACTGCTCCTGCCGCCAGCGGACTTCGAGGCAGGAAGCTCTCTTGCTGCGAATGCCCCCTCTGCAGCGGCACCAAGGCTGGCCTCCCCTGACGCTGCCTCCGCGGCGAATACACCTTTCCGAGGCGAAGCTGCAGAGCCAGTCGCAGCTTTGGCTTCGGGGAAAGAGTCAGCGAGAACATGCGAAACAGCAATGCTCGACACGACAGCAGCCCCCCCCCTTTCGACGGAAGAAGGGCCGAAAGGCGCTCCAGGCTTTCCAGCGTCATAAGACATTTCACCGACGTTGCTTAGAGCTGCGACAGTGGAGGCTGGTGGTGAACCCGTAGCTTCTACAGTTCGAGACGCTGCGGAGGCAGACACACTTGCTGCTGCTGCTCTTGCTGCTGCTGCTGCAGTCGGTTGGGCCTGCTGCACTTGCATTTGCAGCTGCTGCGTTTGCACTTGCATTTGCATTTGCTGCTGCATCTGCATTTGCATTTGCATTTGCTGCTGCATTTGCATTTGCACTTGCTGCTGCTGTGGGGAGGGGGGAGGAACTTTTACGCTTGAATACTCCGCCTCGAGCGCCGCAGCGGGGAGCAGTGGCCTTATGGCAGGAGCATCGGATGCCTTGGGGGAGGCGGCAAACATCCCAAGACCGCCTCCCGTGGCAAGGGAAGCCGTGGAGAGGGGCCTCGTCTCTTTCGAGACGAGGCTTCTAGTGAGTACTTGCTGCTGCTGCTGGTGGTGCTGTGCTGCCGCTGCAGCAGCCGCTGTAGGAGACACTGCAGCATTCAATCGTCGGCTTTGCCCAGGCCTCAAAGGCACCGGAGCTATTCGTGAGGGCCTTTGAGAAGACACCGGGGGGGGCTGATGCAAGCTCCCCTGATGATGGTGTTGTATTATCCACTGCTGGTTATGCAAGAGTGGCAACGTCCTCGCTACCCCTGTCGTTGGGGCAGCAAGGCTTCCTGGAATGCCTGTACCAAGAAGCTCCTCCTCTCCATTCCCCCGATCGGCTGCGCAAGCCTCCCCGAATGTCGAGGTGCTCTCTTGGGGATGCTGCAGGGGGGGAGGCGTAATGACTGAAGGCCCTTCTGCTGGGGTCGCTCGCGGAGTCGGCCCTTGCTGCTCCTGCTGCTGCAACTGTAAGTAATGCGACACCTGCCTTTGCAGGAGGTGCTGCTGCTGGAGCCACGGAGGCGGCAGCGCGTGCTGCAGCAGCCGAGTGGCGTGAGCTGCGGCAGAGGCAGCAGCAGCAGCACCCGCAGCAGCGAAGTAATACGAGACCAGGCTCATCGCCATCGAGAAATCGTTGCTGCACAGCTTGAGGGCAACGGCGCAGCTGTCGCTGCTGCAGCCTGAAGCCTCCACAAGCATCTGGAGAAGCCTCTGCAACACCAACAACAACAAGTGCAAGAGACCCGCACCACACGGCACCACAATTATTGCAAAACTACCACACACTGCCACCAGCAGCACCACACCAAGCGATTCAAAAAAAAGGAATGAAGCCTGCGGAGCTACGAGCAGCCGCAACACAAGACAGCTTACAGGATCTAACCGAAGACAATGCCTTGCCGCAAACTCTCGACGGCTCGGCGTAGGACGCTTCGTGATGTGCAGATGTCGCTGGAAGCCTGCAGTCCTGCTGTCCCCTGCATGCGCTGCTGCAGAGGCTGCTGCTGCAGCGCATGCGTGCTCTGCAGCTCCCAGCAGAGAAGCCCCCCCAATATCAGCGCCACTCGTACTGCTGCAGGTGCTGCCGCGGCGGGATGCATGGAGTTCAAAGGCATGCAACTGCTGCTGCTGCCTGTGCTGCAGGTCTGTGCCACTGCTTAGGCCGAGGGTGTCCCTTGGCTGTTGCCATCGCAACAAAGACGACATAATACCGCTGACCAGAGACTTGCTCGGTGGCGATTTGCTGCTGCTGCTACTCATGCTGCTGCTGATGCTGCCAGCAGAGGGGGCTGACCCCACTGTCGAGTGAGCTGCTTCAGTGGAGACGGCTGCGGAAGCAACGAAGCCCGAAGGAGGGATATCCGCGTCTTCTTCTCGCTGCCCTTCTCCAGTCGTTGAGGAGGCACTGCAAGGAGCAACGCGAGAGGCGCTGCTGCTGCTGCTGCTGCTGCTGCTGGGGCCGCTCTCCACATGCTCAAATATGAGTGACACACGGAGGCGCTGAGAAAGTGGGGTAGACGAGTCCAAGTCCTCTCCCCGCAGCTCAATCACGGACTGCTCGGAAGGAAGAAACCCTGAAGCCGAAGGACGCCGCAAAAACTACAGCCGCAATACCAGAGGGCGCCTATTTAAAAAAAAAAGAGAAAGAAATAAAGAAATGAAGACAGAGATAGAGAGATAGAAAGACATGAAGAAAGAAAGAAAAAAATAAAAAAGACAGAAAGAAATGAAGACAGACAGAGATAGAGAGATAGAAAGAAATGAAGACAGAAAAAAATAAAAAAGACAGAAAGAAATGAAGAAAGAGAGAGAATTCAAGATCTCAGCCCTGCAGGCCTTCCCTACGGACGGGCAAAGTGGTGGCACGGCTGCATTCTTCACGCGGCATGCACACAGTTTTGTTCAGCGCTAAGCATCAGGCTGGTTAAACTTCTTCACCTGTGTGCAGCGAGTATGTGGCGTAGATGTGCTGCTGCTGCTGCAAGTGTCTGCGGTGCGAGTTGGCTTTCCGCAAACCCTCACACGCCCCCTGCAGGAGGTGTGAGCCTCCACTATCGGCAGGGTTCTTAGTCACTGGAAGCCTTGGCACAAGCTGCCGTATTGCAATTAAGACATCTCCAGAAAGCACAAGGTGTCGGGGGCTTCCATCTCGCGCGTGTGCAAAGTCGAAGACTGCTGACGCAGATCCGTCCTGCGCAGCGGCATCACACGCAGTCACACCCACTCCCCACAGGGTGTGCGTGCCACGCCACCTCCATTCCTACCACCTAGGTTGGCTCCTGAGGAAGCTTGTGCTGCTGTGAACGCTGCAAGCTTTCCGAGCCGAGAGGAACGGCGCGCCAACCGACACACACAATGCACAGACTTCTGCGTTCCGCCAGGCTTCACGCGAGCCGCTAAAAGGCCACACGGCAGCAGGTGTTACTGGTGATGTTGGGGTTGTTGCACGTGGGGTGAAAGCCGCTGCTACCCATTAGAGAAAGCACGCACCGACAGAGAGTCTGCTGCCATCAGCTGGTAATCCGAAGCGCATGCCTGCAAAGAGAAGTGCGTGTGCAGCTCCCGCTGGTGCTGCTGCTGCAGGTGTCTCTGCTGCAAATGCTGCTGCAGCTGTCTCTGCTGCAAAGCTGCAAGGGCACGCCCAGCTGCAAGGGCCCCCCTCCCGCCTTCGCATGCAGCGTGTGGAGCCTCTCCTGACGTCGTAGGAGACACTGGCCAGTCTGCTCCGGCAGCTGCGGAGGCTGGAGAACCGCCGTCTGACAGAGTGTCATCCGCGGAGCTGCTCCAAGACATGCGACAGGCAGATGCAACTGCTGGACAGCAACACGTTACTCTGCTGCTGCTGCTGCTCAGACACGGAGCAGAGATAGGTAGAGACACGTAGGCGTCGCAGCAAGCCCCTAGATAGCCGAGAGGCCCCCCTGGATCGAACAGCAAAGGGACGTCATCGGGGCTGCATGCGCTCTCGATTGCCGCCACTGCCGATGCTGCTGCACCCGCACACTCCGTAAGCAGCTGTGTCTGCTGTCTCAACGCTTGCAGGAAGGGGTGATGGATCTGAGAGGCATCGCTTGCGCAGCCATCCAGTCTGCAGCACCACACATCGACAAAAAGTGGCCTCCGCAGCACCGAACCATCCAAGCGGAAGAGTAGCCAGCCTCCTAGCAAGCAGTCGACGACACAGCAGCACCCAGCTCTACGCACAGCATTCAGGCAGGAACGTACTGCTGCTGGGATTTTCCGGGAGTGCGTTGCTTCAGAAAGTAGCCGGCAAAGCCCTTACGCTGCGATCGGCTGCCCCCCATATCTTGCTGCTGGGGAAGCTGCAGCTGAGAAGGCTGCGCAGCAGTGGCAGAAGGCATCGATACTAAAGGTGCTTGTTCCTCAGATCCGTTGCTGCTGCTGCTGCTGTGACTTTGCCGAACGGGGTGTCCAAGAGGCAAAGAATCTCCGGAAGCTACCAGAGGCACAGCTGTGGCTGCGCTTCCTGCGCTCGACGCTAAAAAGTGACGGACCAGCACGCTGCTTTGCTCTTCAGATCCTTGCCTCCTGGAGCAGCAGCCGCTACAGCAGCAGCAGCACGTGGCAAGCTCGTACACCTCGACGACAATAAGCGCAGCGGGCGCAGCAAAGTGATCGATCAGCACATTCTTCAGACGGACGCTACGAGCCTCCACTCCTGTCGCCTGCAGTTTGCCTCCCGCGCCTCCTTCTTCTCTCGAGGAGCTGCCCTGCGTCAGAAAAACAATTAGAAGCACAGAAAAACAATGAGAAGCACAGAAAAACAGTCAGAAGCACACAAAAACAATGAAAAGCACAGAAAAACAATGAGAAGCACGGAAAAACAATGAAAAGCACAGAAAAGCAGTCAGAAGCACAGAAAAACAGTCAGAAGCACAGAAAAACAGTCAGAAGCACAGAAAAACAGTCAGAAGCACAGAAAAACAATGAGAAGCACACAAAAACAATGAGAAGCACAGAAAAACAATGAAAAGCACAGAAAAACAATGAGAAGCACAGAAAAACAATGAGAAGCACGGAAAAACAGTCAGAAGCACAGAAAAACAGTCAGAAGCACAGAAAAACAATGAGAAGCACGGAAAAACAACAGCCGCCACGGTGCAATCACGAAAGGGCCGAGAGGCAACATATGCAGGGTTCCAAGGAGCGCCACCCAGGCCTGCAGAGTTAGCGCCCTCTAATCGTCTAGCAGGAGGGACGTGCGAGAGGAGACGCACAAAGCCTTGACGGAGAAGACTCTCAAAATACGAGAGGTAACGCCGACACGAGGGGGGCCAGCGATCGGCTGGCTTCCAGTGCAAAACTCCGCCTCCCCCTTGTCCGCTCACACTGCTGGGCTTGAGATTTCGGGGAGTGAAGGTACAGTCTTGAGCGGCGAGCGAGGCGTTTCCCAGCATCTTCAGGAGCTGGTGCTGCGACAAGCTCCAGCCTGCTGCGCCTAAGCTGCTGCCGCACGCCATGGCTGCGCATGCCAGCAAGAGCAGAGCGCCACAGCCGCTTTTGGGGTGTAAGTTGACAACTGCGAGGTTCAGGTGTCTGTCGAGCTGCAGCCAAAAGCGGAGAGAGGAGCAGAAATCCACAAGCAGCTGCAAGGGGGGGGACCCCACTTCCGTCAAGCTGAACTCGAGAATCTGCCACCCAAAGGCCTCCCCGAATTCCGCTGCCAGGCTGCTAGTGCCGCTGCTGATGGAGGCAGGAGTTGAGGCTACAGCGCTCGAAGGGCAAGGGGCCTGCCTGCTCGCGTTGCCGCTGCAGCTCCCGCTGCTGCGCTGCTGCAAACCGCCAATTGCGTGGCTGCCGCTAGCGCCGTTGTTACGACAACAAGTGGTGCTCCCTCGAGAATAGATATCAAAGACGACAATGACGGGGGGAGAAGCTAAGAGGCGTCCAAGCTGTCGTAGGGCTTCGCGACGCTTCATGTCGAAGCTGCTGCCATCTCCAGTGCCTTGCGCTGCTGGCAGAGGGGATGCAGCTTCTGCAGACTTCCCTCCAGCAGACTTTTCGCCCGCAGGCAAGACGGCACGGCCACTCTCGACTGAGAAGGGGGCAAGAGAGTGAAAGGAGGGAGCAGCAGCCGTGGTAGCAGCAGCTGCTGCTGCTGCCGCCGCTGCCGCCTCCACAGCAGCAACAGCTGCGGCAACAGCTGGCAACGCTGCAGCCTCCTCGCCTTGGAGCTCCAGGGCAGCCGCGTTCTCCAAAGCAGCACTGGCAGCCGCCGCTGCCTGCGCCACTAGTGAGAAGCCTGGCTTGCAAACAGGCGTACTCTCTTGCTGCTTCTTGATGAGGCTGTGGAGGTGTCTGTACAGTCCGTTGAGCAGCGTGAGTCCGGAAGAGCCGTCTGACGGCGTCGGCAGCTGCTGCAAGAAGCGGCGCAGCAGCAGCATCACCAGCTGCTGCTGCTGCTGCGGCGAGGGTGCCTGGGAAGGCGGAGGAGTAGGGGACGCATCTGCCGCTGCAGTGAGGACGCTCATGCCCTCCGCAGCAGCCGCTGCAGCGGCTGCTGCAGGGAGCACTGCAGCGGCAGCAGGGCAGTCCGCATCTCCTAGAGGCATTAGGCCCCCCCACCTGGCAGGAAGCAGCAACGACTGCAGCATGCACAGATAGAGCATTAGCTCGTTGATGCCATTACGCTGCAGCACACCCGAGGTAGAAAGATTCCATGGGCTCCTCATAGCCAACAAACGCGGCCCTATGAGGCAAATTTGCGGCGGAGGCGCTGCTGGCACTGGCAGGGGGGGGCACCATGCCTGCTGATTTTGGAGACACTGCGACTGCGCCGAGCGCTGCTGCAGTGGCTGCTGCGTAGGCAGCGGAGGCTGCAACGATGGCTGATTGCGAGGGTTGTTCGCGGGAGGCGTCCTTGTTCGCCATGCAGCAGATGCATTTTCCGCAATAGCAGGAGCAGCGATTGCCTCCTCGCTAAAGGGCCCTCCAAGCCCTCTTTCCAGTCCCCCTGGCGCTGCTGAGTCTTCTTTCGAGGACGGAGCAGCTGCCTCGGCTGCTCCAGATAACCCCTCTGCTGCCTCAGTTGCCGTTGTTGCTGCTGTTGCTCCGGTAGTAGCAGCGGCTGTAGTCGCTGTGGCGTGCTGCAGGGCCTCTTCTCCGGAGGATATCTTGGACGGCATCAGAGAGCTTGAACACGAAAGCTCTACTGCACAGGTCGCTGCCTCAGTCATAGTCGTAGATATCGCACCCGCTGCTGCTGCTGCTGCTACTGCTGGTGGTGTAATTGCTTCTACCGCTGCAGCATGTGCTGCCTGCGCCGTCTTTGCAGGATAGGACGCAGCTGTGAGATCCTGAGCTGTTGCACCCCCTGATTCGCGGCACGACGGCGTTTCTGGTAGCGATTCAGTTCGTGTCTGCAGCATCGTTGGAGAACCAGCTGCAGCAGCTCCTTTTGGCTCGGCTGCCACACAGGTGGGTGCAGTAAGCGCGTGGGGTCTCTCTTTCTCCTGCTCTAGCGTGCATGTGTCTTGTCTAGTGTCTAGGAGGAGACGGCTTTCCATCGGCAAGCGCGTGCTCTGCAGCAACATCTGCTGCTGCACAGTCCCCGTTTGCGCCTCCGACGATCTAAGAGGAACAGGGCGCTGGTCCTCGTGCTGCGAGCTGTGCTGCTGCTGAGGTTGAAGCTGCAGATGGGTGCCATCTTGCAGCTGTGGAAGTTGCGTGCGTGTGCGCAAGAGCGAAACTGGGTAGCTGTAGTTGCCGCCAAGCAGGCTAGAGCTGCTGCTGCTGCGGTGCAATATCTGTTGCGGACGGTGCTGTTGGAGACGCCGCAGTTGCTCCTGGGGAGATAAAGGCGCGGGGAGGCGCTTGAATGCCTCTCCTGAACCTCCCATGGGGCTGCTTCAGCGAAGAGATCAGTGGAGAACATCATGTAATCTGCCTGTTGTTATCTTCGCGAGGTTTGCTGCATTGCTGCTGGGGGATGCAGGGGGGGAATCGACGACACGTACATATTAACGTCCATCCAGAGACACAGGTGACTACAGCCTGTATATTGGCAATGATTTGAAATTGCTGCGTAGGGTTGTACCAATGGTGCTGGCGGAGAGTGTTGGCTATCGCTGTTGCAACATGTCCTCAATGGGGAGCGACGCCAGGCCGGTCCTGCTCGTGTAAAGGGGATACCGTCAGTTTGATGTCGATATCGGGTGAGGGATTAGCACCTCTTGCTGAATTGGTTTCAGTCAGCACCTGAAACAACACGGCTGTGCAGCAACAGCCGCAGCAGCAGCCGCTGCTGCTGCCGCTTACCTTGCTCTAGTATTAAAACGTCGTCTGTAGATTGACGTCTCCAATAACTTTCTTATTGTTTGAACGGTTATATTGTTGCTGCATGTGCTGGCAGCACGGGAGGGTCGCATGCATCGCACTGCGCTTGAGGCAGTCACCTGAAGCAAGGTGAGGGCATAAGATCAAAAACGCTAACGAGCAGCATTTGCACTAACTTCCCTACCTCAAGTACATTATGTAAAGCAAAGTAGGCAAGAGGCGAGCTTACTCAAGACCACGAAGACACGCGCTACTTTGTTCCTTGAGGGGCCGCCTGTCACCGTGTAACCGCTGCTGCGGCGGGCAAACATGCACAGACAGTAAATACAACTGTAGCTGTATGTGAGTGTATACGCTTCTCACCTTTTCCATGGTTATTTAGCTAATGGCACATTGAATTTTCGCGCAGAACGGGTTACTCCTATAGGTTCACTTACAGAACGTTCCTGCTCCAGAAGTCAAGGTCAGTGTGTGCGGAATCCCGCAGCGCCCAAAGGCTACACATGCTGACACGATGGCGTTCATTCCTTCTTACAAGCCAAAGGTTTCTGAGACGAGGAGTAGGAGAGAAGGAACCCTTTTGGAAGGCGCACAGTTTGACCCTCGTGCGTTTATTGCGCTCCTTACAAGGCATCCCCACATGGAAGCACCCTACGCAACAACATTCCACGAAGACTAACGGGAAAACATCCATTCCTTCAAAAGCGCTCTTCACCCTCTGTGCGCTCACCCAACAGGGTTCCAGCCTGATGAGGTGGAGGATAGCCAGTGTAAGTACATGTAGCTGCACCGTCTGTGTAACGGGCAAAGCTAGACACACTTCCTACTGCATGAGCTATACCTAGATAAGCAATGGTAAAGAATGAGCGTATTGCTTGTCTGTGCTTTGCACCTGTTATTTGCTGTAAAACAGAGTTTCCATACTAGCGCAAAAGGCAAACATACACATTTGGTCTTTTTTCTCTGCTGGCTAGGTTATATTGCAAATTATAATACATCTGCTTTATTTGGCTCATTCAATTTTCTTTTTGATGCAGAGCAGAGCAAGTTTATTACAAAAACAATCAATTCTGCATGCGTGTGGGCTATATGCTCTGTCTACCTAGGCGTGAATGCTCGGAGTGCTTCGAAGAGCAATGCAAACCCTAGATATCCGTCACCCCTCAAGTCGGAGCCCCGTGGGGCGCAGGCTGGAAAATGAAGAAGAACATTTGGAAAGTGCACTTCACAGCTGTGCGATATAGCCTCGTACTAAGATTGGGTTTCAGCGTCTTCCTTCGGAGACCTTAGATGGAGCATTTTATACGGTATTACAGCGGCTTGCAAGCCTGGATCAACTACCTCAACAGGCCTTCCACCAGTGTCAACTTCCATCTCGGAAAGGTATATTTTACCCACGCTGCTACCAAAGAAAAGCAAACTTAAACTACCCGAAGCCCTAACCAGCATCGAATGCCTATTGTAGGGAAGTATGGCATACCATTGTTTTCAGAGCCAGTTGATCTGCTGGGCGACTGCTGCGTCGAACCATGCGGTTCTACCAGCTTTACAGCTTCAGCTAAGGTTTATGGAACGAGTTTGTCAACCCCAAACCCAATTTAAGACTTTGTAGTCAAGAAAGTGACTGCCCTTATCATGCATACATACTCGATTCCCTGCTGGCGACCCTTGGGATTCCAATATGAACAAAGACCACCAGCCAGGTTGCTGCGAACTGGTGCCCCTTCAAAGAAGTCCGAGCATTCATATCTAGCTGCATTGAGCATCAACCGCACTCACATACAGCACACTGTCTTGTCGCTTCTTATTGTAACTAGTTTACAGTACTCTTCAAGCAATGCGATACGAGCGGCCAGACCAAGTAGTCAATTCATTGCTTAGTCCTCGCTGAATATGGCTAGCATAGTAAACATTGATTAGGATTAAGTTACTCCACTACATATTTCTTCCTCTAGTCCCCCCTCCTACCTCATTATGGTAAAAGGACCCCTTTTCCATGCCCGTCAGCTGAGTTCAACTGCGTGCAGGACAGCAGAAGAGTTCCCACCTTATCGCCACTCTCCAGGAGGGTGGAAACCTGAATAAAAGTAATAGTAAGAAAGGCAAAATGTCCACTAGCGTGAATATAACAGTAAAAGGGAAAGGGGGGACCTACTTTAGCCAGCAACATGCATTTTGACCATTCCAATACGATGGCGGCGGTAGGTTGCCTGGCTGTCATGGGGGTGGGGAACCAGGCGAGCCTCTAGCTACGATGTATCATAAGTCAATAAAATCGCCTGATGGGTATCAAAGCTTATGATATATCAGCAGTGTATCCCTTCGTCATCCAGAAATTTGTGCATGCCACTACAGCTGCGCTACGCAGCATAGCCCGTTTCAAGCCCCAAGAGAGGCACAAGCAACAATGTTGACACAACTAACCAGAGTGGCCTCCGCACTAATTTAACTTCATGAAGAGCGTCAACAATAATAATCGAGAACTTTCAAGCGGTAGTACCCATGGATAAAGGTTGCTCCTTCAGGCAAGGAACTTGCGCGAGGGTTGGACAATTTCCGGGAAAAGCCAGTGCAGTACAGGGAGTAGATTTCGATCCAAAGGCAAGCGTAAATGTGTTTGCAGGCAATAAACCCCGGAGCTGCTTTCCCGTCGACCACTAAGGTTGGCGCCCAAGAGAGTATCTCCTTGGAAACTCCCTCTAGCGTCTCCGCGCCCCAGAGTCGTAGTATCCAGCCACTCTACAACTCCCTGTGGAGTTTCTGTCTCCACATTGGCCCCTTTCCTGCCCTGTAAAGGTAATCAGTAATTCAAAGAGTTTTGAATATTCTTCAAGAAGTTAGCGCTGGAAGTTCCGTGGGCCTTCAACATCTGAGGAACTCGCTAAAGTAATAAAGAGAATTCATTTAAGGCAAAACCCCCGTGGTCTTAGCCATCTTGCCGCAAACTATATCGCTTGGTCGCCTTCTGGTACGCCTTGCAAGGCTTACCGATCCACCAGAACTAAGTCTCTGGGCTGCCAACACACAGCCAACTGCCGCTTTGCATCATTACGAGCATATCTGTTTTAAGCTTTGTGCATACGTTCACCTGCACTGGTCAGGTGTTCCCTTACCTTCCTTACTCTCTTTGCTACTAACGGAGGCTGCTGACCATGATTTGCCAGGTCCAGGCCCGAGCATGAAAGTTGCTCCTCGAGGAAGATCATGGTTGCGGAAGAGCCATGGGTAGCGTAGTGTACTATTGTAGTATGAACCCAATCAGCGTAAAAAACGATAATCAACCCAACAAATCATGATTGTGTGGTCATATGGCTGTAAATGCTGCAGAAGTGTGCTATTGGTGCGCTTTAGCTGCCCATCTTCCTCAGGGTAGTTTTCAATGGTCACAGATTAGGGCTAATATTTAGGCAGGTCACAAGGGAACGCAAGAACATACAAACGACCTTCGGTTCCTTATCCGTGATGATACTCCTGCGGAATCTAAAAGCCTTTATAGGATCATTCAGAATAATTGAACGGCTAAATGAGCCGCGAGAGAGCTAGGGCAAGGGACGCGATGGGCATATTTGGCAAGTTGGTATATCATGGTATACGTGCTATGCTGACCCTTGACTTCCGGCAGCTCAACAATGGTGCCCGTAGTCCCATCAGGCGAGGGCCTTTTAAGAGCCGAAATGCTTGCATCAGACCTGATCTAGCAGGGATTTTGTGACTTCAGCTGCTGATCAGCTGGGTATGAGACTTTAGTGGCTTCGCGCGCGGCGCGCACCGCAGGCCCAGTTGAACAGTGAGCGCTTTTTCATTGTAAATCTTACCATGGACTGATTTTCAAAGGTCACGCGTTTTCAAAAGTCGCCACTTTGGGGAAAAAAAGGAGTATGGGACTGTCGGAGTCCCCGAAGTTTTTCTAGTCACAGGTCATCCTCAACGAGGTAAACTTCCCCTCAAATTTTATTCTCGATTTTGCGCTGCATGCAAGTCAACGAAATAAGACTCTTGCAGTGTAGATTGGTACCGTGAGTCACAACATACGATAGGGTTGTTCTCCATATTAATGTCCGTTTGGGCGCTGTGAGAGCACCTAGGCAACCACCGTGGTGATACCCACAAAAAGCTTCACTGTACAGTCGTCCTGTAGGAGGTGGACAGGCCAGCGAAATGTTTGAGATAAGCCAGATCACAACCACCCTGTGCAAGCTGCACTGAAGACTGGTGGTTGACCTGGAGAGCAAACTAACGCCCATGTTAGAAGTCCCGGCTTATTCCGCTCCCCACCATACCGCACGGAGTTCCTCTTTCTGCGATGAGTACCGGTGCTCGTCTTTGATAAAGTGATGAGAATAACAAGCAATGAACTAGTGCTTTGGAAAACTCTAGCTTGATGCAAAAGGGTAGTTAGGACCCATGGGTAGGTCACTAATATCGGCTGACAGGAAGGAGTGACACAGGTAATCGACCAGCCACAGTACTGGAGGAGCTGTGGGGCTGCCGATATTTAGTAACTGCCCACCCCAATGGCCGTGATACGTTCCTTGTTCGAATAACCTTATCGGTGCAGCCATGAGGAGATCTGTCGGCTCAAAAATAATGCCTCTCACCAGCTGTGGAGCTAGCGCATTCACATCAGTTTGCACGGCCACCTTAGCGGGCAAAATTACGCTCTAACACATTCTACTAGTGTAGTGGCATTAAACTAATATTAATCAAGAATTTAGCAATTATTTTGTCTGTTCGTATATCTCATTTTTTGAAGGGTACTGTTAGCTCGCTATAATAAGAGATGATAGTGTGTGCCTGTGCAATAGATGCTATGTGCAACTAGGTGTGGGTGCTTCCAGGGTCTAGACGGTGCAGCTATGCCTTCCCTCGTCATCCATCTTTTCTCGTGCGAAGATATGACAGGCTTGGACAAGAAAAAGGTGAGGGTTTTCGAGAAACATTCACAACTTTCTCTTGATTCTGTATTGAATTTGGTGTGAAGTGTCTCCGACAGCGATTTCAGGTGAAGCGTCACTGAATTTAGTTGCTTCCACCTATACTGATGGTTTGGCATGAAGACTGAGGTTCATGATCGTGCTAGTTTGAAAGAGTGGATGATTCCATCATCATTCATTCTGGCAAAAGGTGGAAGAAGTAAACAGCTGAACTCAATGGCTTCTAAATGTCTACTAGACTGCAATTGAAGGGATTCAGGCAACAATGGACATTTTTCAGTGGGGCAATAATAATTGAGTAAGCTTCAAGCGAGCATTAGTTGCATGTGTTCACATATTCTTCCTTTCGCAAAATAGAGCTAGCTTCGCACCATGCAAATGCTTCAAGTTCTCAGGGGCAACAGCTACTAGAACCCACTTTAAAGTCCCACTCCTCACGCCGATAGCCTCTAGGTTAAAAGGATGGAGGAGAGGATCATTTCAAAAGCACCTATATTGAATTCCTGTGAAGTTTCAAAGGGGTTTTGGGGCTAAGGGCATTCTTATGGATGCCCGACGAGGGGTGGTGTGGCTAGCTTTGTAGCAGCTCGCTGTAACGTATGAATCACTGCAGCTAACTGCACAATTTTGGTGTGTGTACACAGGATTTACTGTGGGACCTCTGGAATCGGTACCCTGATGAGCGTTTTATGCCCTTATGCTAGGCTACCGGGGAGCGCGACTGTCCGATATGCGGCGAGCACAGCCAGCTGTAGCTCCGCTGGCCTCTCTCTTGATATCTATCCCATAGCAAAGCCCGGTGAATACAGATCCCTTGGCGAGGTTTAGGACGTTGTATTACATATTGTAGCTGTCCCCGAGGCTTTGGGCTTGGCACCGCTGCGAAGGGTATTACTCAGAAGCTCATCGTACCAGTAGCATTACTGGACTCATGCAATGTCCGCGAACTTTGTCCCAGCAGCGTGTTATGGCAGTGTGAGCATAAAGGCGTCTCATCAAACGCAATAGCCAAAAGAATTCGGTAACCCAGCACCCTGCTCGACTGGACGGGAACGGGACGCCGCTGCTATATTAAATGACCTAAAGAAGCGAACGCAGATGGCAAATCAGAAGCGAAACTAAAAGCAGGAGAAAAGCAAATCCTTTAATGGAGTTTCACTTGTAGATCAGGAATCTGGCGTCCGGCTGGCGGATCAGCGCCCCCCGTTGAAGAGCATTGGCCAACCGGCCTGTTGAAATATTCAACCCAGGAAATTAGTAAGTTGGGTCAAAAGGATGACTGCTCAAGAACTGATTCGGTCGCTATGTATTCTAAAGTGGCGAGGAGGCAGATATAGCTCGGACACGCAAAGTGCAAACTAGCAGCAGCGTTCGCGCACTCAGCTTTACAAGCGTGGGGAGCGCCCCCCACGTTAAGGCCTGAGCGGCGAGCCACTGAGGCAGCCGCCTCAGCCTGTCAGCCAAATCCTGGTTATAAGAAATTCGAAACGAGCTCTACTTCTCTTCAGAGTGAAGAGGCAGAACTTTGCTGCTCCTGGTTCCCGGGGGCGCCAGCGATCCCGGTAGGCCTTGAAGTAGGCCCGTAGCTGATGGGTTTCGCAGGGAGAAACAGAATGTGGTTTTCCTTGATCCCTAAGAGTCAGCAACTGCAAGACACGCCAAAGACATTACGCAACTGGCGGCCATTTCATCTTTGGTGCCTGACAGCCTAGGGGCTCTGGGATTCCCTCGTATGGTAATTCCGAGAAGCACCCGCCCCTAGAATCCTTCCCTTTTGGCACACTAACGCTTCCTAGTTTCTACACTAGTTGGTGGCACATTTCAAAGTTCCGTATGGCAAGAAGGAATGATTCTGTGGTGTATGTGGGTCCTTCAAGAAGTGTCCCGTTGCGCTCAGGTAGTCTTACATTGCGCGTATGACGCCGACTCAAGACATCGGCGGCAGCGACTTTGCTCTCCTTTCTCCCCGCGGGTGAGCACAGGGCCGCAACCGCCCGCCTGTGTGTATGTTGCAATCGTTGAGGCTGGGAAGACAGTGCGGCCGTACGAAGGCTTTCCCACAACGGTGAGAGTACATCCACTGGTCCTCTATGCACTCAGTACAGCTATTGCATGCCCAAACACTCTTCATACAGTATTGTTTAGGTTTTTCGCCACTATGTGCTGCAGAAGTGCTCCCGAGAATGAGTTCTCAGTCCAGTGCAAGCGCCGAGCTGCAGCACCAACAGCAGCCACAGGTCTCCTCAGGGTTCTTAGCTCAACGCCAGGATGGGCTGTTACAGCAAGATTCTAACAGGGCATCCGTTTCTTCGGTTCGGCTGTCAGGACATGATGCTCCTCGACAGATCAGCGCCACTACTCCTTCGGATGCCAGCAGCCAGCCGAGGCACTCCGGCTCCCAAGACGGCCTTGCTGATGGACTCGTAGACGCAGCAGTTGATTGCTCATTGCCGCTCCTGAATATGCACGGGCTCCAGAGGCCTTCTGTGCAGAGGACTTACGAGCCGTCGGCAACCAGCAGACCGCTACTGTCTGCACGGTCCGACGACCCTCCTCCAAAAGGAGTGAAGAAGGCAAGCAGCTATAGCAGGCATATAGCTGTTGCAATGGCAGCAAAAGGGGCAGCAGGACAAGCGATTCCCGTAAATCTTTTTTCTCAATTTTTTGTTGCTGTGTATGTTCAGGTGGAGCCTGCATACAGTGAAGAGTCTCAGGTTGCTGTTGGTGGACTCATGCAGAACTTGCTGGCAGAAAGCAGCGCAGCGCCTGATAAGGATGAATGTGGCTGCTGTAGGGATTCATGTGGCAGCAAGGACGGTGGCGGGAGCAGGAGTTCGTGTGTATGGGAGTCTGTAGCCAAGGCGTTGTTGCAACAGAGAATGGAGGAATATCACCAGCTGCCAGTAGACGCTGTTTCGGAGGTGCCGCAGCAGCAGCAACCCCCTGGCACGGCGACATCGAGTCAGGCAAGAGACACAGCAACCCACAATGCCTTGCTGGCGCTGATCCATCGGTTCGAATCCAATCAAGATATCTGTTTAAAGTCGGAATTTGAGCGCAAAGCAAGAGAGAGCACCATGGCCTCCCCCCTGACCCGTCCGGCAGTGGGCAGCAGCCCATCTGGTGTTGTTTGGCCTTCTGCAGTGGCGGCTGCTACTGGTGTTGATACCCCGTTGTATGGCCTGAACGACACCTCAGACGCAGCAGCTGTTTCTGCGCTCCTTAGTCTGCAAACACCCAGTAACATCCGCTTATTGCTGAATGAAGGCTCTTCTAGTGGGACGAGGAGTGGCAGCTCCCTACAAACCCTTCCTTTAGCTGCAGCTGCGCCAGCAGGTGCTGCAGCAGAGGACATTGAAAAGCTTAATTTCCGTCGCGCTACCACGACTGCACCGCCAGGCTGCTCCCAAGTGTCCATGGTATTACCGCAGGAGCGGCTGTTTTCTGCCCTAAAGCTGCACGAGCAGGGACAGGTGCACTGTGATGAGATGCAGGTGCAACGCGAGCAAGCAGGCTTGCCGTTGACATGGCTCAGGGATGCGGTGCAGAACGATTTGGGGGAGCTTATAGGACCTCTAGACAACGCAGGAGGCAGCGCTTACTGCCTCGGAACGTCGGGGTTAGGACGGCAACGAGGGCCTGCTGTCGGATTGCCTAGTCGCAGCTTTGCTACAGGCACTGCAGGAGAGGCACCGAAAGCTGTCTCCTCGTCGCAGTCCTGCAAGGAAAAAGAGTCACTCCAGCAGCAGCAGCAACGGCTCCCACCACACCAGTCAGAGAGGGGCGCCTCCCTCCACGAGGCGGAAGCCGATGCACGGTTGACGGCTTTCCTCAGTAGCATGTTTGGGGAAGAATCGAGAGGCACTATGCCTCCCGGCCTGCAGCAGCAGCAGCAGGAGATGTCTGTGAAGATGAGAGCTGGCAATTCTTTTGGAGTTATTGACAACGGCGAGGAGGTGTTCCTACATCATGCCCTCAGCACCCCTGAGGCTGCCTCCCAGCTGGCCACCACTGGAAATCCGAAGCTCTCTGGTGTCGAATTGAGCCGTCTGATATCTGCAGGAGGCATGCAGCAGCAGCTGCAGCATCAGCATTTGCAATACCCGGAACCCAAAGGTGAAGATGGGGGGGGGACAGAAGTGGAATCGGCAAACCGAGCTCTAGGAGAACTGAGGCCCGCCTGTTGCTACTTCCTCCTAGGGAAATGTGACTTCAGCCGATCTTGCGTTTTCTGGCATCCTCCCCCCGAAGCAGAACCGTCCCTGCTTGTTTGTAAATACGGGAGGTATGCTTCACCGCGAACTTGAGCAGTGGTTCCGTTAGCACTACAACAAAGGCACCAACAGTCAGGTACAACGTGCACTGCCTGCCTTTTCTGTGTGCTATGCTTGTAGAGTTTGCAACGCCCAACATGGACACCGCGTGTCCTACAAGGAATTGGCTGCCGTGGTGCATGCCTTTGTTCGGCGCTGCCCCCAATTAGCTCCTGGGGAGTCTGGACGCTTGTATCATTACCTCCGAGTTTCTCGCTCTCAGCCGCAACAGCAAATAAAGCAGCTGGGCGGAAGGCCAGTCCCCACGCTACCTCCTTACGTGAGAACTAAGCTAAGCGGCTTAAATACAGGCTTTCAGCCCCGAGAATCGTTGCCAGAGGTCGCTGTGCGAATCAATGCGATTGTCGCACCGAACGATGCCGGGGGGTGGGTGGGGGACGGGGGGTTCTTTGCGCTCGACAGTAATGCTGCTGCATAGAGTCCTTCCGTTTCCTTTATTTTGTGTGATTGCCAGATTGTACATCACTTCTACAGGATCTTAGACAGCGTGCAAGGCCGTGACCTTTCGGCCGTGAATTCGGTCTGGCGCCGTTTGTTTGGCGAGCCGTTCCCATACGCTATGTGGGTCATGTTTTCCGTGTCCCTCCCTGAAGATCGGGTTGAGACCTGCAATAGTGTGTGATTGTTGTATATATGCATACAATTTTCATGACCCCTACCTGTTGTCTCTCTATTAGCCTTAAGGTGGCTCGGCCTCCGTGTTGAAGTCGCTTAAGTTCCTTGGGATATCTGTGTGCAGGTTTGGTTTTGAGCAGTTGCGCACAGCCATTGCCTCCATCCCAGGTATCCAGCTTACAACGCGCGGTACAAATGTAATTATTAGCCGACGTAGCAGGAAGCCGGCAACTCCATCGGGGGACACTCACGTTTCTCTGTTGGCATTACCGGACCGCTTAAGGCCTCTCATTGAACAGAGACCGCAGGTATCTCAGCAAACGAGTCCTCATAGTCAATCTGCTACCTCCCTGGCACTCATCACTAACACTGCTGAGGCCCTCGTGGCTCAGCAGGCACACCAACTCGTCGCTGATACCTCGAGGACACCCGTGCTGATGGAGCGTAAGCAAAACAAAACAGCACATCTGGGCAATCCTTTATAGGGCACGTTCCCTCCCCCTAGCCCCGCACCCCTCCACCCCTCACCCGCCCGCCCCCCTCAATTTTACGCATGCAGCTTAACCGGGACGAAATAATGCGGCTATGGAGATAATTCTGCAAAAGGGCTCTAATATTAGCGTCCGTAACTATTGTGCCTCCATTGCAGGCATAATGAAACTATCGCAAACTGCGCCAGGTTCACTGTGAAGGGCCACAGGCAGCTAGGAGGCAGCCAGCGCCTCTGTGTACTTCTCTTTTGGGTCCTCGCTCTGTTGTGTAACATTGCATCTGTGTACTGGTCGATCCTTTTGATTAAGGATCTGTGTTTCAGGGCGCATTCCAGGTTGGCTGCTAGAAAGCGGCACTGGTTGCTCTCCTTGGACAAGTGTTGTGCCAGCTGATCTTGAAGGCTTCTGAAATCAGTGTACTATATATCAGCTGTTATTTTAATGACAAGTAATAGAAGCCCAATAAAGCCCTCCAGAGTCCCCACTCCTGAGGCAAGCGCAGCCGTCATGGGGCGCGTGCCAGTGTCTTGGAAACAGTTGCTCCGTTGTAGCGTTGGCTGGCACATACGGGAACCCGCGTCTTCTCTACACCTCTTGTCTATTCTCGAATGCCAGTGAGCTTCTTTACTAACTGTCTTGTATATATATTTAAGGTAGCCTTTTGTGGTACGTGCTTTCATGGTGGGCAGGACAGCTTGTATCAACAGAACCTATCGTTGCCTTTGTACCAATAATGCGTAACACATCAAAAGGGGAATCCTCAGTTAGCTGTTTCACTGGATTGAGGGCCAATTTAGAACAGTAGTAGTGATGGGTATGCAGTTTTCGGCAGAGCAGTTGGGTTCGTCGCTATAGCTATAGCAGCCAAGGCTGTGGACTATAGCTAAATGCCAATAGCGTCTGGGGAAAGGGTGCGTAGGGTTGAACCAGCAGGTGCTGGGCAGAGGCCTAGGGGTGCAGAAATAGGTATTTGTAGGTATTCAGTGGCTATGTGTAGGCAAGAGAACGCGCAAAAGGGGTGGTGCGAAGCAAGCCTACGTTGGATGGGCCGCTCTTGGGTGTGGGCAGCAGCTCGACTTGATGCCTGGAGTGCCTGCTCCCACACGTGGGGCAGTGGCATGGAGGAGTAGAAGCCATGCGTTGTAGTCACACCATTCGCTCAAATCCGTAGTACGGCACATGCGTTCAAAGTGTCCAGCTTGCGTTAGAGCTTCCACTGCTTAAAAACGCGCTATCGGTTATTCGTAGCACAAAGTGCATCCATAACTAGGGTGACCAAGGACCCAGGACACTGCATTCTACCGCAACAGAGGCTGTGAGATTATGCAGCATGCCCGTGTAAGCAAGCAAGCATAACTCCCTTACTAGGTGCCTGGCTCCTGTCAATCGTAAGCTTCATTTTGAATCTACATTTTTGACTCTGCTTCAAACGCGATTAGCACCTGGCTGAGACTCTGTCTGGCATGCAGGAGTGGCGGTCAAGCACATGTAAAATGCAGTATAGGCTAAATGATAACCTCTGCGGTGAACATATGCACGCTTTTTGGCGATCGAATGGCCACAGGCAGCAAAGTATCCCGCACAACTAGAAAATTACGTGCGGGGAGCCGGTCTCTGTACAATTACGCTAAGTAGGTTATTGCTTTGCTACAGAGCCAGATTTTATGTGAAGGTAGTTGTCGGTCCTTGCTAAAGTACCCGAGTATGTGTGAGGATCGAAGATAACATCAAATCGAGGTGAGTCTCCAGGACCTTATTTGCGTATATCCCTATGGACCCCCCTTCGAGGCCATGGTCATGAGAGCCCCATACCCCTCGAGTTCGCAGAAGAAACTCAGACCCCCTTATCGAATTGCTTCAGCAACGGTCGCTGGCTCTTGGGTGTCTTGAATTTGCAGCGCCTTTGGCCAAATGAACTTTTCCAGCTCATTAGCATACTTGTAGTATATCGTAGATGGTCCATTGTAGCGACGGCAGTTGGCGAACATCCGCCTTAGCTCGGAAAGGAATGCCGCCTTCGAGGGGAACTGCTTCTGCACAGTTACCGACACAGTGGCGCAACACACAGCTGCTGAGAGGGAGCAGAAAAAAGGGATAGGAGCTATAGCCCTATCCCGCCATTAAGCACTCCGTAGGGTCATGTTGGACCTAATACTTGAGCATGCGCACGCAAAAGTCGGGAGAAAACGCAGCTCTACCTCCCCAAGGTAACGCTGCACAGCGCCAACTGAGGAGCTGATGCCTTTATCTCTCTCTCTCTGCATAAGGGGAGAATTTCCGCTTCAAAGGATGGCTCGTGCCAGGAGAGCTGGAGCCCTTTCCCTTACTTTCTTCGCTTTTTTCTTCATAGTGGAGATGTCAGTAGGCTGCGTAATAATCTCATAGTAATCTGGAGCTTCGTCCTTTGCTACTGGTTTATGAAAAGGCCAGGCACTGTGATGCCGTGCAAGAACATCTAGAACCTGCACGATCTGCTCGTGAAGCGGCCGAGCCGCCGCTGCCCCTTCACTCCCGGGGTCAGTTGTCGCTTGAGGGGCCCAGCCGTACTCCAAGACACCTGGTACTTGAGAGGGATGCAACACGAGATTCGGCTCTTTCTGCACGCAACCAACAAAGGAGGCTGCCACCTGGACTTTTACGAACAACGGTTATTTAATTTTAGAGTGTGTCGGGAGCGCAGGAAGAGGAAGAGAGCCAGGATCCCAGGACCGAACGACTTGACAAACATCGTTACCTGCCAACAGGTTAGCCCAGGGAACACGCGGGGAGGCTTGAGTCGCATGATGGCTCTCTGCACAGCTTTCTGCTGGTCGTTGAGCATCTCGAAGAGACGCAGGTAGTCAACCTTTGGAGAGATGCGGCATTCCATAAGGGTTCCTCCTTCATAGTCTTTTATGAAGCCGAACCATCTCTCCTTTGGCATCGAGATCTTTTGTGTGAATCCCTGCTTCCGAAAATAACCCACAGCGAAGTTGTCTGTACGCAACACGCACACAATTCGGTACCTAACCACTTTACAAGACACTGCCCCTGCACCCGTGCAGCAAGCGCCACACCAGACAACGAAGCTGAGGGCAAGGGGGTCAACACCTGAAATTTACCTGCGTAAGTCAAAAAGTACTCAATGCCACTCTTTTTCACGTGTTCCTTGAGATGGTTCATCAAGCGGGTGCCATAGCCCTTGACTTGTTCGGACGAAGTGACAGCAAGAAACGCTACTTCTGCAAATTTCTGCAGACGCGAAACAGACCCGTAAAAGACCAAGAGAGACACTCATGACATCTTCGCGCAGTCACCTCTTGACCTTGTGCCAAGGCACGCAAGCCGGGTTCCCTCGCTTGCGTGCTCTTCGAGCACACTTCGGAGCTGTTTCCGAATTAGACCCATCCGGCACCCCTGTTCGAATTTGCTGTAGCTGAATAGATATGCGAGAAATATCGAGCCAATATGCAGCTCCTATTCGGGAGTGCGTAAAGCTCGTCTTCGCAACCACTTGCCTGCTTGAAGTAAGGCCTGAAACAACACCCTCCAATGATTTGCTGTTTTTTGATGAGACAAAAAGTATAGTGGCTCCTATCGAAGACTAGCCGTACAATGTACTCCCGAGGCATCTTAGGGAGTTGTCTGGAGAAGATGTTTTTCGCGGCAACAAGGGCCATGGAATGTAGCGGCTGGCGGTCGTTTGTCAAGCAAGCAAAAGAGATGAGGCCTGACTGCTCCTCCCTAGCGGAACCGAAATCGCGGCTCAAGAATCCCAGTCCCGACTCCGACACCAAGAAAGACTGTAACAACACACACAGGAACAGACATGAACAGGCTCGTCCTTGCCCTCAGCGGTCGTGTTACGTCCACTGACGCCTTATTTCAGCCACAGCCGCTCCAGTGCAGTAGTCATTACTGCGCTACCGAACGAGGAGCAGAAGCTCCCGAAGTGCTCAGATGACCATCAAAGCACACGCCAGCAATTGCCTAGGCTGATGCCTCTGCTATAATGCCACATAAAAGCAGCAGACTTTCGAGGTAGGACTGGAGGTCCAGGGCTGTATGTATGTATGTATATGTATATATATCTGTATATATATATGTATATATATATATATATATATATATATATATATCTGCATATATATAAATATCTGTATATATATGTACCTCAAGAGTGGCATCGTGAGTCGTCACTGACTGAAGCGCTGCGTGTCTGGAGGCTGGGCTGAGACTAGCCTCATCGCAGAGTCTATGGAAGACTGCAGCGCAGCAAAATCCTAGGGGCCCCCCCGAGAGGTCTCGCAACAGCGGTGCACAACAGCAAAGGAGCAGAGACCGCAACATGCCTCGGCCGAACACACAACTCAAGGATGCTCCTGTTGGCTGCTTCCGTTGCAGGAAGTCTCTCCACTCCCTACAAACACAGACATTAGCACCTCAAATAAAGCCGCAGCCGCTTCGATTCTGAACTCTAGGGGGGGTGTAAACCATGGCGATTCAGACACACACAATAGGGACCCGAGTGCACATTTCTGTGGGAGCAGACCCCCCCATCGACACCTCATAAGCGAGAGCGCGAGTTCGTCTACTGCGTTACTGGCTTTAAAGGAGGAGGATGCATTGGGGAGGTGGAATTCTCTGATCGGACCAATAGTTGGTTTCGTAGCTTCTGTCTGGTGGCAGGGCGCTGCACTTGGTCCGCTCCTCGGGAGTCATCAGCTGCATGGTGTTGAGCGCTGCAGCTACAGCCCGAGCCAACTCCTCAAGTGCCTCCTGTCCTAGAAGACGTCCATCGTGAGGCACGAGCACCAACAGCAGCCGGCTGTCTATTGCCTTGGGAGGGTGCAAGGACGGGAAGGACAGACCGTCTGAGGCAGCCCCTTCGGAGCGGCTGCTAAGGCCTCCTGCAGCTGCCGCTCCGGAGCTGCGACATGCAGCAGTCGCAGCTGCAACACCACTGGCTGCTCTGCGGCTAGGCGTGCCAGTGATACTGCCGCTTCCGGGGTTGCGCTGCTGCAGCTGCTGTTGCAGCTGGTCTAAATGCGTAAAGGTGAACGGAGACGGGGGGACAGGCTGCTGAGATTGAATAAGGATGGGCTGCAGCACCTCCTGCGTGATGCGATGCACGATATCGGATATGGAAGCTTCCAAAGGAAGCACTGATTTGAAGGCGGGCACTCCATTGCTGCTGCTGCTGCCATGACCAGTCCCAGGTGAGTACGCAGTAGCGCCTGCTGGATTCCTTTGGATTACTGCGCCAGTGGACCCCACCATGGTGCTTCTGCTTATGGGGAGGGGAGCTGATGCCACTGCTGCTCAAGCGCCTACTGCGATAAGGTTGTGCAGGCCTCGACCGTAGGTGGCGCTCTCGACAATTTCTTCGTTCACCTACGTGTAGCAGCAGCAGCAGCAGCTGCCGCTGCTGCTGCTCCTTCTCAATGTACGCTGCTGCTCGCGCCTCGGGGTCTTCTGGCAACTGATGGAGGGGAACTAATGCAGCAGCTGGAGGAGCAGCAGCATTGTGAAACAAAGGGGATGGCAAGGCCCTCTCAATAATGGCTCTAAAACCGTATTTCAACTTGTTTCATGTTTTCACGAGGCTAAAACAACAACAGTAACCTGAGTTCGTGGGGCCCTGCATGCAGAGTGCTGTACTAGGAAGTTCGTGGGAAGGGGCCCCCAGGAGTGCATCGGCGTCTGATGGCTCTGGACCGCAAGACTAAAGATACCTCAGCCTTTTGCTGTCAAGTGGCATAGACGAGGCCTCTGGACTTCCTCTATCCCTAAGACCACAAGAAACGAGGTATGTGAGGCCGTCCACGTAGAGGAGGAGACGATCCAAGACGAAGTTAGATTCAGTGACAATGCCTCCATAGGCATTCAAAGTCGTTATTTCAGTGAAAGCTGCCTCTGCAATAATAGGAAGGGCATACTGGGAGAACAGAGGCTCGTTGGCAGCATACAGCGAGCTCTACCAGCAGGTGTATTAGCTAGACATACACCACGAGGAGCCAAGGCGGCCTTCTAAACATCGTCGGCAATGGGGAGAATGAAGCTTACGCAAGTCGCATGAAGACTGCATGCCGCTACGATGCGGCAACCTCTTTTCTGCCAGCAGGAACAGCGCCTGCTGGTGCTACTGTTGCTGATGCTATGCACAGCAAGATTACCGAATTGTAGTTCATCAACCGTTAGCAGCAGTGGGCATGAGAGCAAGGTCTTTTGTGGAGGCAATCCAGCCGCGTTCTTGCTGAGATGCCCCTCCATGAGTCCGTGTAGCAGCTCCTCTGATGCGGCAGTGGCAACCAATGCAGCACAGTACCGCAGGGATCTCACTGATGGGCCACATGGCAGCGTGTATAGCGACAACAGCAAACGCCGCTCACAAAATACCCGAATATGGGTGCGAAAGGTATGTATATATATACATATATATACGTATATAGATGGCCACTTAACCTGCATGGAGCAGTCGAGATCGAAGGAGTGCTGCCTTTATCTAGTTAGCTATACAGCATAAGCACAGTGTTTTATGCAGCGTGCGCAGGTGTCTGCATGGGTGCGATATTGCAGTTTTTGAACCTGCGGGATCCTGAGGAGCCCAGGCCTGAGCTGTTCGATGTGCGATGGAAGGACTCTGAGCCGAAGGTAGCATGTAACACGAGTTGTCGCTGCCTGCCTTTGCCTTCTTCTTTGCCTTCGTCCACACAGGTGGCATAGATCCAGTGTGACTCGCCTTACGCTTTAGAATACTTTGACGGATTGGCTATGGTGGAATACTTATACAGGTGGAGGTACTTGCCCTCAAGGTGTCTATGACTTGCGTCTTCGCTCCTGACGGTACAACAGAGCCAGCCACCCTCCTCCAAGTACTGCCAGCTACCATAGTGCAGTTCCTCGAGCACGGAAAAGCCCTTGTAGCTTATGGTAGGTCTTGATACTGAGCAGTATGATGGCTTTGGCCCCGGAGTATCTTCCCCTTTGTGGCTGGGTGTGCATAGCGTGTGTGGACGACTGCTGCATTCTAGAGACTGCCATTTCAGGAACACTAAGTTACAGAGGCACAAGCGGCAAATCCTAAACCATGAGAAAATTAATAAAGCATTGAGAGCACGCCAGCTGTAGGGCTGCTTTGTGACTGTGCATGCTCTCATTCAGACGACCCCCTCCACAGCCACCGCTTCCTTAGGCGGTCAGTGCTTGGGATTTTGCAGCGCGTGGGGAGCAGCGGGAGTGGCGCTACTACTGCTGGCGCCAGCACAAACAACAGCACAGGCAGTGGAAATATGATTGCTGTGCATGCACAGCCAGCCACAGATTATGTCTTGGGACAGATCCTGGACGCCTCCGCCCTCATTGGGGCGGCCCGCGTTACCGTAAAGGGGAGACCCAAGAAGAAAGGCTTTGAGGGAGTCATGCAGCGCCACGGATTCAAAGGGTGAGATTACCTTCATGGCCACCCTCCCATGGGCTGTAGCATCCTCGACCCACCTTTGAGGAGCATGTAGGCATAGTAACCAGGAAACTTGGCTGAAGTAGAAGTTCGAAAACGGCCTTTTGTGTTTTTTATCATCAATTCGAATTTACGACAGTCCTGCGCAGCTGCTCTCTGCTAAGCTTCGGTGCCATGAAGAAGCAGCAGCCGCTTGTGACGCTGCTTCTCTTCACGCAAGAGTTCTATGCTCTACAAGCGCTTGCTGGCTTTTCTGCTTGCAGGGGCCCCGCTACCCATGGCTCAAAACATCACAGGGGCCCCGGGTCAACGGGGGCGGGGACAGACCCTGGACGGGTTTTGCCAGGCACGCGGATGGCTGGAAGAGACCCGAAGCAAACCAGCACAGTGCGGGATTTGCTTCTTCTGGGTGTGAATCTTAAGACTAACGCGCTGTTGGTGAAGGGCGCGGTGCCTGGACACCCCGGGAAGACCATTTTAAAGGTCCAGTGGGACAGAGCGAGGCAGCAGCACCTAGAGCTGCGCCAGCGGCTGGCCAAGGTGGCTGCAGAGGATTTCTTGCAGCAGAAAAAGGGGCGCGCTACCTAGTGCTTTGTAAGCGCTCCCGTGAATAGCGCTTTTCCTTAAGTACGATTTCTATTTCACAGGCAGCCATGGGGGCAGCATCTGCTTGTCCATTTCTAAGGAGCCGCTACCCAGCAAGCCGCACTGCCCCTGAAGGGCGTTGCCGGCACAGCAGTGTGCTGTAGGGGTACACTGCTGCAAGATCAGGAGTGGTGTTGCTGCAGCTGCGGGCGCTGTTGAAGCAACATAGAACACGATAGGATATTCAAGCTTCGCTGAACCTTCTAGTTCAAACGCTAGGCGCTCCATCAGTGTTGCCCAATAACTGGTACACCATATGGGCTCCACACTCCCAGGCTAATATTATTGGCTGGCTAGGCATATGTAGCTTCCCAAACGTCGTGATATCAGTACGGGCAGAACCACCCGCTTAGAAGGCACGGGGTAGGCATCTTCTGAGCAGCTGACATTCTTTTTGATGCTCCAGCCGCGACAGGATGCTGCGTGGTCTTGCTTCACTACCTGAAGTCAGCGAACCAGGCTCCGCTGGCTTGAGAAAGTTGAACGCTTCTCATTCCATGTCCTCTGAACCCTTGAAACTGCAGCTGAGAATTGCACTGCTCCTGCTTCTGTCTGTACTTGCGCTCCTTAAATACCAAATTTTGTGGCCAGGAATTGCGTCGTACGCCCTGCCACTCCTCACCCTGTGTAGGAGAGCCTAAAACTTCAGGTGCATACGCTACTGCCCCCTCACCAGCACCTCCCACTGCTACAGACACAGATGCTGCCTCGGCGTCCACCAAGGTTCCTGACATTGCTGTATCAGCACGCCCTACCCCTGAGGCTTTGGCTTGGCTGCTTCCCTCGATGCAGTCCGTTCCTTCCTTACAAAGCCCACTATTTGGACTCCCTGCAGCCGGAGCAGCAGCACGAACAGTGCGTGCAGCCGCTGCTGCCACTTTTGGCACCTCACTAAAGAGCAATACGTCCGACGCGTGTGGCTGTTGTTGCTGCACCATCGGCTCTTTGCTACTGGAAAGGCTATCAGCGTGCTGCCGCCGATGTGGGTTGCTGAGAGGATTATTTTCAGCTGGCCGTTTTCCAATTTCATGTTGCCGTGCCAAGGTTTTTGTGAGGCTCTGCATCGGCTCCTCCAGCGAACAATGCGAGTGCATCTGCTGTTGCACACGAGTGGCGTCCTGTTGCAGCCCCTGCATCGAGGCAAGCAGTACCTGCTGCTGGCGCTGCTTTCCTAGCTCCTTATTTGCTGACCATTCAGGCAAAGAGTTTATGCTTATACTCCCCTTCGATGTCAATAAATCTCGCTGACAGCTAATGCCCATCTGCGGTCCTGACGCTTTCTGATGTTCCTCTGAAACCTGGCTACCCGTAAGCCACGATGCGTGCTGCTCCGAGACAGTCCAATGCTGCGGGTCAAGCGCCAGCTGCTCGTTGTGTTGCAACTGCAACTCCTGTTTCTGCGAGGAGCCTTTTTCAGCCAGGTGCAGGTCCGCTAAATCCATCAACAGTTGCTCTTGGTGCTTTTGCTGCGCATCCGACAACAAAATCTGTTCGCTGTCGAGGTAAGCAGGCAAAGATGCCCGCTGCACATAACGGCTGGGAGAGGTGCGAGAGGCCACCTGATGCAATGGATTTAAAGGAGGTTGTGGGTGCCACTGCTCCCTCAAGCACTTGTGCTGCTCTTTTGAAATCAGGTACTGCAAGTGCTCTTCCTGATTTTCAGCACTCTGCGAGAGGGGCTGTAGCTGCTGAATAGGCAGCTGCTCTCCCGATTGGCGCAGCTGCTGCAGCACCGACTGAGGGACGTTGGTTCGAGGTCTCTGTTGCTTCTGACGTTGCCACGCACCTGGCAACGGCGAGGTGGCGTCCACCACTGGAGAGTGCTCCTGCTGTGGCTGCTCCACCTTGCTGCTGCGGCTGAAAAAGTCTTGCCGCTGGCGTAGGAGCTGTTGCAGTGTGTCTGGTAGGTGCTGCTGCTGCTTCTGCTGTGGAAACAACTGGCCCCTGTCATGCGCACCGTTCTCTTGGAAAACATCAGGCATACAAGGTTGTGGCTGGTGCTCATGTGGCAAGTCTCCTGACTTATCTGTCTGCCGCAGCGGCACGGTGAGATTCAGAAAATGCAATCCAATGCCTCTGCCAGCTTGGTCCTGCCGCTGGTGTAGCTGCATGTGATTCAGCATGTTTTGCATGCGATCATGATGCTTCTGTCGGGGCTGCGGCTGCTCCCTTGTTGAGCGCTGCCTCTCTTTCAATACGGGCGAGCCACGCATTTCCTGTTGCAGTGGGTGTACTTGCTCCTGGACAGGCAGGGGTTGGCTACAGCGTTTTTCTTGAGTCACGCTCCTTTCCTGTTGCAGTGGGTGTACTTGCTCCTGGACAGGCAGGGGTTGGCTGCAGCGTTTTTCTCGAGTCATACTCCCTTCCTGTTGCTGCGCTGGCAACGTGGCAGCGGGCTTGCGGTGTACTACGGCTGGCAAGGCCTTGTGGGACTGGCGGCAAAGGCTGCTGCTGCTGCGAACGCCTATTTGAGGTGCTTCTGAAGGCGCGATTCTTTGGAATTCTTCTGAATGGCCTACCTGCTTCGCAGCGTGCAGTTGCACGGGCGGAGATTGTTCACGACGCCTTGTGGCTTGCTCCACTGGTTGTTTTCGTCGCTCCTTCACCGCTGATAGACGATCTGGCGGCGATGAGCTTGCCGAAACTTGGAGTCCAAAGCGGCAGGGGTTGTCACGCAGCCGCAGTTGTTGCAGTTGTTGCTCAGAGGCAGCGGAAAGCATGGACTGGCACTGAGCTCCGAGTTGAGGAAGTTGTGTGTGACCAAGCCGTTCGAGCAGGTCGGCGAGGTTCGCTGGAGGTGCCTCAGCTAGCGACATCCTCCGCTGTTGTTGCTGGTGGTGCTCATGCACAGCCAACGGATAGACCGTCCTGGCTGCTGACTCAGACACCTCTTCAAGGGCAGTCGATTGCTGTGGCCGTTGTGCTTGGCCAGAAGTTCGCTGCGATCTGTTTGACTTTGGCTGCTGCGCGCTCTGCAGCCTCTCTTGTTGCCTTAGTACTTGTTGCCCACTGCTGCTGCTGCATACAGGCTTCTGGAAAGTCAAGTCTTCATAGTATTCGGAGCGTTGCCTGTCCACGTCGGGAGGTCGCTGTTTCTTCTGGACGGATGCTCCCCGCTGGTGCTGGTGGGGATGAAAGTGCTGCTGCTGCTGAAGCTGCGAAGACATCTTTTGGGCTGCTAAGGGAGGACTCCCTGCTGACGTGGAGCAGAGGAGAGCGCGAAGAAGCAGTCGATCTTCCTGAAGTTGCTGTTGATGATGAAGATTCTGAGCACTTTCTCCCCGCTGCCGCTTTTCCCAATCCTCTATAGCGGCGGCAACAAGTGCAGGGTCAGCAAGGGAATGGAGTGGTTCATCTGCGTCTGGCAGAATAACGCGGGCTTCCTGTGGAATGAGGCGCAGCAGCGGCCAGAAGATAGCGGCAGGCAGCGACGAAGCAGCAGACTCGAGGAAATACAGCCGTCGTTGCTGCTCCTGCTGCTGCATGCGTTGTAGTACTGCTTGGGCTGTCTCAGCAGCCTTTCGAAAGGCCCCCGCGAAGACGAGACGTCTGGTAGTCTCCTTGGCTGCTGCTGCGAACGCCGACGGGCATACATACAGCCGCCGCAGCTGGAGCAGCGCAGAGGCAACACGCTGGGCTCTGTTGCTGCATGCTAAGCCACGCTCATGGTACTGCCGCAGCATCAGACGTCCCCGCAGACAGGTGCACAGAAGTTTTCGCTGCTGCGAGCAGTGCCCTGCCCATCCCTGCCGCTGCCTGTGTGTCAAAAGCTTTTGCTGCTGCTGGAGCCGAGACATCTCTTCCATCGCTGCTTCCTGGTCAGCTGCAAGGGCCTTCAGCTGGTGCGCCGCAAAGTGGGAATACGCAATAGGAGGGGCAGGCGTCGCTGCAGCAACTGTGGAGAACGCTCGCGTGTGGAGGGACGTCAGTTGTTGCTGCTGGGTCAGCAGATCCGAGAGAGCTCTTTCTGTGTCAGCAGTGGAAGAAAGAAGCTGCTCGGCTGTAGCTTTAAAGCGTGAGGCGGCTCCTTCAACTTCCTGCTGCAGCTGCTGCACCTGCTGGAGTACCGCCGCGCGGTCTGCAAAAATCGTAGCTGCGAAGGCGCGAATGGCTGGGATGTTGATCAGGGATGCCGCTGAGAGTTGCGCTTCCTTTGAGCTGCTTTCGCCGCTCGCCGGCTGGCTGGCTGCTGCCACAGGATTCCTTGTGCCCCCCCCTGGGGGCCTACTGCTCTGACGAAGCTGACTTGCTGCAGAACTTGCCAGTGGTCCAAGCATAAAATCGACGAGGTGGCTGCTCCCCCTCGATTCGTGAGCACTCAGAAGATCTGAAGCGCCTGTACGCGCTGGTGCTACTCCCACTGCCCCGACAGCGGAAGGAGTCGAAGGTCCACTGAGTGGCAACCCTTCGCCTGCAAGAGCAGCAGAGACGCCAAGAAAAGCATGAGACGTAGCGGAGGCAGGAGAAAGCCCTTGAAAGGAGGCCATATCTGCGGCTGCATCCTTTTTTCCTGCATCTCGTTTGGCACCTTCGGGGAGAGCAGCAACTGGCATTTGCAGGGCTTTCCCCAGAAAGCCTAACTGCTGACCCTCCGTGTTGTTTTCCTTCCCTGTTGAACGCTTGTCAGCGCAATGCCTAGTTTCTGCAGCCAGGCCGCATAGCTCAGCCTCTACGAAGGCACCTGGTGCGGCACGACAGGCGTCTGAAGAGGGTGGCGTGGCCAAGTCTTTTTCGGGGAACTGTACTGTCGTGTCGGAGGGTAGCCGTTGAGGCATCGTGGATAACGGTATACAGGCACTTGCATCAGGAGTTTCCATCCCTGACAACGCTGTTGCAGATCCTGACGCTGCTGATGACGGCATTTGAAGCGCAGTCCCAGCAAGGGAAGCAGCAGACGCGTCGACTTTTGTGTGGCCCTCCTGAGCGTGTTGCTTCCGAGCAAGCTGCACAGAGGCAGCAGGGTTCGGCAAAGGCGTAGTGGTTTCAGCTCGTTGCTGCAGTTGCTGAAACTGTTCTTGCTGCAGTCCATCGTCCTGACTGAGCTGCTGCAGTAACAACAGCACGGGGTCAAGAGGCATGTGCTCCAGTTTAAGAAGCGCATCGTTAAACCCGATAACAAGGCTCTCTTGAGCTTGCGCCTGCTGGGAGAGACGCAGCTGTAGAGCATCAGTCCACTTACGGGTTAGCTGTGCGTGCCTCAGGAAGGACTCCAAGACAACCCTTGCAGCTCTACGTTGCCCTTGAAGACGCACCCGGAGATCGGCTGCCACAGCAGCAGCATCGCGAGCCGCGCTAAGGACCGAGGCAGCTGCCACTACGTTGCTACCAAAGGATTTAAAGGACACATCCCCGTCGAGCAATGCAGCTGCCCTGAGAACTTTCAGTTCCCCACTGGCAAGCCGCTGTTGGGTTTTTGCCCAAGGAAACTGGAAGCAGCCCCTCCTGCTACACATGCACTCTGGATGTTTCTCCTGACGAATCCCAGCACTCCCTCCTTCACTAGCAATTGAGGAGGCACCTGCATGCGCTTGTCGAGGGTCTGCAGCCGTGTGTGCGACAGCCACTCCCAATACAGGGCCTGATGGAACGTCTACTGGAGTGGCGTGTGTCTCGGCAGCAGAATCGAGCGGCAGCTGCGCTGCAGAGGACCCTGTCGCTGCCGTTGCCACTGCTGCTTGCACCTCGGCATTACTTATGCTATGCTGGAGGCACATCAAAAGCTCTGACCTGAGTAGAACAAGTCCAACTGGACCGTCAGACCGAAGCAGACTGTTAGTGTACACTGTGTTGCTGCCGCTCCCCTCCTGAGCTGCTCTTGCAGCAGCAGCCTCTGCTGCTAGGCTTCTCCCTGTGGCCTCCACAAGGCAAAGGCATCTTCGGGGCTCTGAAAGGCAAGAAGCACCTCTTTGATATGTTGTTTTTCCTCTCAGCTGATGGGGTTGCTCATCCTCCCCAGTCGTGAGAGGAGGAAGGTTTGGGAGAAGCTCGTGCTGGATGTGATGCTCAAGGCTCAGCCACGAGCACACTTCTGAGCCCTCGAAGGAACAATCCTGACCACCAGGTGTTGAATCATGCGGTTCCTTGCCAGAAGAACGGAGCGGCAGGGAGAACCTAAACGTCTCCCCTGTGAGGGCATCCAGCAAGACTAGCTCACGCGAGCTCTTCGGATATCCTTGGCGGAAAGTCAAGCTCTCACTTGTACCCCCGGACACTCTTAGTACACTGAGTGCCCTCATAGGCTGATATATGGCTTTGTAAATGGAGAGAGAAAGCGTGTGCTGCAGAATTGGTTAGCTGGTCTGAAAGAGTTGTTTGCGTTGATGGCTGCACAATAAGAAAAGAGAGTTGAGCCCTGATACAATTCCCAAGGAAAGACCTTCTTAGACTCCTTTCAATGGCACTGTTCTAATACTAGACAGAAACGTTAATCAAGGGCGATACCCCCGGCTCGCCTCCGAACGTAATGGAGACAAATCTATCGAGTCACAAATGCTCGTAAAAGGGCATTCCACCGTGGCACCTAGAATTCTGCTTACTAAGAGGTCCAGATCGCCACTGTGTGCGCTGAATCTGCAAACTGGAAGTAAGAAGCACAGTACTTCATGTGGAAGCCTCCTTAGCACACCACTGGTCAGACCAACACGTGTGCGCATGACCATCTTGCAAGAAGCCCCATACTCGAGCCACATTGTAAATAAGATGAAAACATGTTCTTTAATAAGACCGGATTGACCGTAGCTCAGCCCACTCTACAGCCCTGCTTCTGGCGCATGCCCACCAGTCAGGTTCGGTTGCTCGGGAAAAGCGCTACTGTTCACCTCAAGAACAATTTTTTACACTTCTTATTGAATGATACTTGAGCATATTGAGCCAACATGATGACCTTTATACCATTTGAGGCCCATGGCTGCATGTAAACTAGTGCGCGTTCTTGGACAGCGGCCAATTCAACGACTGCCAGACAGCGTTGTAGCCGCCGTCCTAGTAGGCACCTCCTCGCACACATACTCTATAAAAAGTGACCCTATAATAATGATTTAAGCAGTGTTCTATCTGCACTGGGCGCAATCTTGGCAAGGCACCCTCACAATTTCATGTAGAACAGGGCCTTCTGCACGCCTCACGACTGGTAAATCCTGTTCAATAAAAATTTTATTTCCCCGCTTATAATTTGCCAAACACTAGAATCACCTGACCTTTACTTTATCCTTAGATAGCATAGTTATGCCAAGCTTAGGATAGCAGCTGCTGTAGGGTGGTTCCTTGTCTTCATTTAATGTAAGAAAACTCAGCCCCCAAGTTATTCTGTTTGTCCCTTCACATAGGCCAGCCTGTTCCATGAGAGATTAAAGGCACGGCTCTAAAAAGTAGCCAGCGCGCGTATGTGGCTCTAGTGTTAGAAGCACTTAGGGGGAAAATCGAAATACCAGATGCCCGTATTTCCTGTCCATGTTAGGCTTGGCACCTAGCTTGCTACAATAAATCTTGCGCTGAAATGTCATAATGCTCCCCGCGGATCTCCATTACGGGACTCTCTGTCAAATTTTCTCAATTAAACTAAATTTGATGTGTCCATTCAGAAGGTCCCGTGCTACGAGAAAGCAAAAAGACAGGACAAATGTAGATGGATCCTAAATACACACTAGTTCAGTAGTTCTTAAGCACGTTAATACAGCTGGTACTTGAGCATGATTAATTTCCGAGCCCAAACCCAACTATTCAGAAGGTAAGGACAGCACACCAGGAAGTGCCTGCGCACGAAATTCAATTTATAGAACACTGTTACACTAGTGATCAGAACCCGCATTAGCAAATTGTCTGATAGACAACATGGACCAACTATTTTCTCAGGATTCGACCTCACAATCCCTTGATTACAAAGCCTAATTCACTTTGGCGTCAGGCACCAAGTGGCGTTCCGCACTCGCACTCGCTAACTCGAATATATGTTTGGACTTGCTTTCGCCCTAATCGAACTGCAACCGCAGGTTGTAAAAGGTTTTATGAGCCTTTCAAGGCGAGAGTGGCTGGCCCTACAGATGACTATCTAATATTTAGCTGAAGTATTCAAGAGCACCTACAGCACGTACGGCTTGCGCTTCAGCTGTTGCATAAGCAGAGATATGGGAAAGCACTCAAGTATTTGTTTTCCGTGAGACTAATTGGGTTCGTGAAATTCTCCGTGTCAGATGCAGGAATCGAGGCAGATGTAGCGAGAATTGAATCAATCATGGCGTGGTCGTTACCTTTGTGTACTTGCAAGGTCATCGAGAAGTCATTCGGGCTTGCGTCTTCCTGTCAAAGTTTCATACTAAGTTTGCTCGCATTACTGCTCTTTTGATTGGTCTTGGTAAGTAGTGGCATTCTGCGACCTGGAGAGGGTAGGTTAACCGCGCAGCAAGGGCGCCTATTAGCCGCCTTGCAACCCTAGAGTGCTCGCGCTGACCAATTATGCACGTGATGTCCTGCTAACAACCGGACCTCCTGACCTATCAGTGGGAACTATTTTCTTCCAACATGCTACGGGTTCTCGAAAGCAGAAAATTATTGCTTCTCCTTTTCTCGCTTTCATGAAACTAGAAGCGGCGGTGCCGACTGAGGGTAAAGAACTTAATACTGTGTGGTAAGGCGTACATAATGCCGGCACTTACTATGTTGGCGTTATTTTACAGCTTATCCAGCTCTAAGTCTTTATTTTGGCGTAGAAAGAGTTTCTAGATTTTTGATAGTCATGAACCAACTCGCTGGCTTGGGTGGCTTCTCTAGTGAACTATATAGTGAGGCTTTTTGAGGGCATCACCACGTGGTTGCCAATTTGCTCTCCAGGCGGCGCAAGGGTCAATATTGTGTTGCGCACCTGAACTTGTCGGTGACTATTTTCTGTCTCCATTGAAACGGCTTGATACTCATGCGTCCGCTACTAGCGTCCGAATTCATTATATCAAAAGGTTTAGCACCCCAACGTCGAAACTTACCTGGCGTAATCTAAAAGTGCAGGCTTCACCGCTTATGCATTTCGAATTCACCCAAAAATTTCGCGTGGCACAAATGCATAACCATGCTAGTCCGGGCTATGGTGGGATGTGCACTAAAGCAGAGGAGCTCGCAGGGTCCTTCTGTCGGCCTGAGATGCGTCTCGCGGAAGAAAAATATGCAATACTATGCTTAGAATTTCAGCAGATGAAACTCCGCGTTTCTCCTCAATACGGCGTTTTGCGTAGCCTTTCTGCTCTGAAGTCAATCGGCCTGATTTGACCATGGACTTCGTTGTTGGACTCCCGGAGGTCAAGGGTCGATAGGGCATCTACATTGCCGAGAGAAATGATATATTTCCCCATTCCACCTTGTGCTTCAGTTTCCTGATGGCTCAGGAAGTCGCTAATTTATTTTGACATATGTCTACAAGCTTTATGAATTCGTCAGGAGCATTACTGCAGCCAAAGTGCGCTAGTGCGTTCGTGTCTGTTTGGCCCACGTATGCCCGGCCGTATTTTGACCCCTTCAAATCGCTTGAGGTACATGGGCAGGTGGGTCTCACTAGCCGCACTCTTCTGCAGTATAAGGGGTTTCTTTCCACGTAAATCCAATATCTTAGCTTGAATGTATATCTTCTGCTGTGTGGCTTTATCTACAACAGTGTACTTGCCGGCACGTAGCACATCCCTATCCCAGGTCCATACTGAGACACCCCTCTGCGATCCGAGACTGGGCCTGGTGTTGTAGGTCCCGCAGACACCTTTCGCAGCGAAGCTATTAATATCACAGCAGGTCAATACATGCGGAATGCGCAAGGCTTTAGAGAGACGTGAACGGAATTACGATAATTGGCGGTGGGCCGTGTATACAAGAAAGCAAGCAGACGAACAACTATGCAGGTGGGTGTCAAAAGATCATCCGCCATTCTCTCTCGATCAATGCTCTTTAGCATTGTCTCGAGTTCCCTGCGATTCGGAGTTGCTATAGAGCTTTAAATTGATTTTCTATAGCTGTTCTAAAATCATCCTAGTTATTCGCGAATTTTCTCGCGCAGGCAGTTGATATGTGTAGACGCGGACTCTTCGCTAGGAGCCATAGAGGTGCTGGATTCTAGGACCAAGGAGAGCCAGGGACGCAATAGACGAAAATATTTGGTGGAATGGGATGGGTAACGCAAGTTGCGGGCGTTATTATCAATCGCACCACTGATTGTCGCTACAGACGTTTCTCCTTTTGTTTTTTGATAATTGGTGCTCCACAGCGCGTTTTCTGCCTGGAACACCTGTCTGGCTTCATTGGATATTGGTTGGGAAGCTTCGGGCTTTAATTAAGATGTACGTCCCCTCGGATGCACTTGCAGAAACTCTTCGATATGCAGGCTCTATATCCTTCCTCAGAGACTTTTCGGTGAGGCGAAATCGATCATGCTGCACACGCCGGGTGTTTAGGCTTCCAGATATTGTTCCACGAGGCTTGGAGGCATTGCTGAACTAGTGAGTACTTTGATTTCCTTTTTACCTTTAACATTGCTCTGTTTTCTTGTAGCAGTGCTCTGATGATGGCGAGTTGTCGCGCTCGGAGTTTTAATGACTTGTCCTCTGGGTCGTTTTTGGCTAGAGTGTGTCTCCTCGTCCCCTTCTATATCTTTCTACAGGCCGCAACTCCCTGTACCGTTCTCATTTGCACTGTTTTCGCGTTTCTGTCTGCCTGTGTGGTGGATCTGAAAGGAAACATTACTGCCCTGCACGCAGTTGGTCTCGACCGACAGTGGCACAACACGATGGCATAGGTTTCGAAAAAAAGGAAAATGTCGGCTAGGCCATACTTTGGCACCTTCTAACCCATAGGTCATATTCAATTTAAATGAGTAAACTAATTGCTTTGTTTGCTTATTTTTACAGAGCAACGTCAGCTCGATGCATGAAGATGAATTTTTGTAAGCTTGTGCACCAATGGCTATGAGCATCTAGGTATGCATGCTTAGAGCACTCAGAAGGTGCAGCTGCGCCTCCCCTAGCTGTCCTTGTACCCTTATCTCAAGAGCATGGAGGGCCACGGGTATGAGTGGGAGGAAGATTTTGGTCTTAATTTTATTACGCTTCTATTTAACTTTTTGTTGACATTGAAGCTGAGTGTCTCCCTACGAAGAGCTTAGATGGAGGGTTACCCTAGTTGTCATTGTAAAACAGCGACCCAAAGGTTTTGCCGTATGGAAATATAATCGGGTTACAAGGACCTTCCCCTCTCCTTGAACTGCCTGAGAGTGTGAGGTTTGGTTTTTATCAGGTACTAGCCCGCTACTTTAACCTCGAATGGCTGTCCCCTCCCCCTGCTTTGTAGCGCCAATCATGCGCTTCACGGTGTTGACACGCTAAGTCACTTCCTAGACATTCAAGGCTCACTAAATTTCGTCTTCGGCTGCCTTCTTATGTCACCTACGTAGGAAACATTCCAACCGCAATATAAACTCGATAGAAAGCTATTGTGGTTGTTCGAGAGAACTTCCACCTTCGTTGCCTGCGGCCTTTAAAGTTTCCGATATGAGGGGAGAGGGGCAGCTATGGTGAGAGTAGCTTCAGCATCTAAGCATTCAGAGCATTTACAGGTAGTTGCGCATGGTGTCAAGCGTACACGCACACAACATTGCGGTTCCATGTATTGAACTTACAGCAGTACCGAATAAACACTTTTTACAAGCACACGCGACCAAACAGTACACTTTTGAAGCTAGCTTATACTCAAGTCAAACTGGTGTAGCAGAAAGTGTCGAAGTGTGGCTTTGCTCTCTACAATAACCAAGGGGCATTCCATGCCAAGGAGCCACTATGGTTGTTGTGTCGACCAAAACACATTTGTAAGAAGTCAGTAGGGTCCACAAGAGAAGCACCAAGTATCAAAGGGTGTTTATCACTCCTGATGGAGGAAAGCTAGCAGAAGAACGCACTGAGAGCATCTAGGATTTGCGCATGTCGTATATGCGGAGCGTTACATTGTGGAACATACACTGTTCACTCCCTATAGACTGCACGACGCACAGAGTAGTCATTGGAAGCTAATTCTACACAAAATATGGCAATAGGACAAGGGTAAGAACTAGAGTGCTAAGGGCAGAAGCAGAGAAGCCCTACTGAGGTCCTGCAGCCGACTCCCCCTCCTCAGTCGGACAGGGGGGCCCTACATTTTATTTGCCATGTGTTACGAAATCAAAGACATTTCCTACATTTGGTTTAGCTAGTTTATTACTTCTTCACGTTATTATTCCACCAGTCTGCTGGTGCAGGCGGAAACCCCAGCAGACTGTTTTTCTCACAGTCGCCTCCGCTTGCGTCCCCATGCTTCTCCATGTTTTGCCTCCCGTTCCCTCCCTCCTACGTTGCTTCTAGTCCTGCCTCTTCGATCGCAACAGTGGGAGTGTTGGTGCTGCTACTGGCTTCTGCATTAGATAGGGGAACTGCATGCAAGCTTCTCTTCTAACTTTCCTGGTGTTTTACTTGGGACCCCTTAAGGTAAACCTGACTTCAGCCCACAGCAGGAGAGAAAGGGGTCTTCCGAAACGCCCTAAGGAAGTGTTTCGGGGTCCCCATTAGCTCCTTTGTAAGACAAGTTTGTTGAGGGGATGTTCTCGGAGATTGGCTCTTGGGTTCACGACGAATCAGACGGGCCTGATATCGATTTGGGCACCCCTCATCCTCCAGAGGTATCTGGAGGAGCAGGGGAAGCAGGGGGCCATCCACTGGATCTGGACGACTTTCTTGGGGACTATGAACAAGCACAGGCGCCTCAATGGTCTGCATCAGACTCATCCTTACCGCCACATGCGGCCGTCAATCAGAATATAGCTGTGGAGGCAACTCCCAAAGGAGTCAGAGATAACTGTCCCCTCCTTCTGGAAGAGGGCCTTTCCAGCAGTCACCCCAGCTCGCCTGCAAAGACTCCAACGATGCGCTCTGGGCTTGCGTCGAGTGCATCATCTTTCCCGAGTTCCCGAGGACTCATGGGAAGATGCAACCACTATGAATCTACCTTTTCTTCCCAGACAACAGGAAAAGGTCTTGGCGCTATTCTTTCGTTTTTGAAGTGTTTGGGCAATCGTTGGAAGAAGGGAATCCTTAGGGGTCCCCTATGTGCAGCTGGGTTTCGCGGATTGTGCAGGGCGGTCTATTACTCAAGGCTCATGGCTTATATGTATATTGGAGTCCTGGCCCTCAATGCGTGGATACTGATTCGCTACATTCTGTGCTCCCCAGTTGACTGTCCCCTCGTAATAGCTGAGGCATTCGTCAGCCTCATGCTTCTCCTGGAGGTAGCACTGCGGGCGCTTGTTATGGTAAGTGGTCCACCACGTAACTATAGCGTTTAAGGAATCATCATGTCTGACCCCTGTGATTTGTGTATGTCTCAGTGAATCTTCACTGTAAGGGTATGACCTTGCGTCCCATATGAGTCCTGCCATTCCTCCTTTATTCGTACTTGCGTGCCTGCTTGCTGCAGGGCCCTGCATTTTTCTCTTCTTGCGCGCATCTGTTTGACTGCGGCGTGACAGTCCTGTGCTTGGCTTTGCTTATTGGCAGCGGGGACCTTCAATCCCTCAGCCGGAGACCAAGGGCCCCTCCCGAGTCCCCTGATGACGTGTTAAGGCCATCGTTAACCGCCCTAAGAGTTTCCACTCAACTCATGCGCATCGTACCTCTGGCACTTCACCAGAAACGCGCCAGGGTAGGTTCGTCCCGCAACAGAACATGGCCTATACACCAATGGGTTTTGGTTTGTTTTGTCTTGGATTTAGAGCATGGCCCTTCTGTGGAAAATTTTGCTTTTAATGGGGAGTGACTAGGGGGTGCAGCTTTTTGCCGATTGCATAGAGTGGAGGAAGTAAGGCGCTCCACTGTAGCATAGCTAAATGCGTGCCCCTAAAGGTGCGTCTCTATTGTAATTGATGCAGCTGCCGCGTGACGAAGTTGACTTCTCCCGATTGGGCGTTGAAGACGACCTCTGAGGCATCACGCGCCCTGGAACCTGATAACCATTTGGGGCTGTCTCTTCCCAATGTTTGTCGTCGTTCTGGAGTTCACCGTTTACAAACATAACCTCGTCTTCTCATTCCCCTGTTTTTTCTGTTTGACAGTTCCTAGGAGTCCTGCTCGTTCCTGAGAGAGCTCTCCTTAACCCGAGGCTTACGCTGGCGTTAAGCTCCCGCAGTGTTGTCGAGAAGATTGCGACCTCTTGGCTGGTAGCGAGAGTATGAGGCCTCCCGAGGTCCTCAGCTTCCCATTTATTCGATTCTCTCGCCATCCAGCATAGCTTACACCCAATGAACCAGGATGTGGGCGAGGGCCAAGACCTCGGCGCCACCTTCATGTGAGTGATTTGTAGTTGTATCGTTTGTCAGTAAGCTTTGGATATCTCTATATGATTTTTTGTGCTCATTTTTAGGATGTGCAGCAGCTACTCAGCTACCGCAGAGAACCCATTACGCTACAATCTTATTGGGGTAGTCCTCTGCTGGTAATTGCAGCGTACGGTAGCCATGCAGACAATTTACTTGAGCAGCCACGAGGGTTCCGTGGCCCTAGGAAAGATGTCTGCAACTGAGACTCACAAATAAGGGACGCAAAAAGGGAAAAAAGGGAAAAAAGAAAAAAAGGGGCAAGATATTGAGAGGGGCAATCGAGAAACAGATTGAAAGACGGCAGTTGTCCGTTGGCCGTAATGGGTGCAGCATAACGACCTCAGACAGGATTCAAGGACAGAAGCGCCTTGCGCTTGCGAGAGCATGTGGCATGCATATAAATTCATCTGGCCGGTCTTTTGTCTCTTCACCCGCCTTAAAGAGACCTGGGACAGCCACGTTGAGCAACAAAAGCGCAGCATTCTGGCAGTGTCCTCCGAGAAGCTTCGGCCAGTTTGTAGGCGTAGCACACCACTAAACGGCGTCGTCAAGGGGCTGAGCCCATAAAGGAAAGTACCGGAAGCGCAGCACTTAATAGAGGAGTGGCAGTTTCCGGCACATAGAGATATCTGTGTGGACTTCTGGAGACGCAGGAAGAACGTTCACACTGTGCAGCGAAGGTATATAGAGTACAGCTGGTCAATGCATGAAAATGCGTGCGCAAAGCTCAAGGGAGATAATGCTGGTAGTGGCGTTTGGCTTTGCATTTCGACGGCGGTTATTTGGTTTCGGTGGATCAGCAGGCTTTTTGTAGCTGCGCCTAAAGGTGAGCAGACAAAGGCCCGTGCGGCCAGCTAATTAGGACCATTTGCCATTCCCTCTAATCAATACACGTTCCCACTCTACCGAGTCCCACGCAAGTTGGACGTGCCATGAGACTATTATTTTGGCTCTTTGAAGCAAGTTCAAAACTCCCCGTTATTATCGGACTCTTCTGCATACTCACTTAGCCCGTGTGGAGGCGGAAACTCCGCAGGTAGCGGTAGAGGTGCCCGGGTTCAGGACCACTCAGCGCTGATAATACACGACGGGGGATTCTATCAAAATGGGGTATGAAAGCTAGTTACAGTGGCTGATGGAAGAGTAATTTGGGTGCTATTGTCTGCGGAAGCAATTGTGACTCTGCTTGCCTCACACTGCTAAACTCCACGGACGGCACTCCTTGAGCTTCCTGCTAACTACGTTTCCCTCAATGCTTGTTCTCTGGATGATATGCCTATTTTTATCTATGGGTACTGCTTGAGAAACCTTCGACTTTAATTGCAAATGTGTCGAGTAAAGTCAGGTTTATGAGCAGGCGCCCTCACATCTGTTGTCCCTGTATTCTGCCTTTTGCCTCCTTTGGGATTTGAAATCGACTATGCTGCATACACCAGCTGCATTTGCATACAAAGTATTGGTGTATGAGGTGTGGAGGCACTGATGAGCTAGTGCGTATTTCAGTTGCCTCTACATATTTTACTGTTCTTTTTTCTCGTAGCAAGAGGCTCACACATTCGAAGACTCCGACGAGAGCGATTTACCGTGCCGCCTCATCCGTGATGCTCTGGTGCGTTGCTCCTTGCTGGCTAGTGTGCATGCTTTTCTTCTCTTGTATATTTTTCTATGGGAGTTGCTTACTTTGCTTTTCTCATTTGCACCGTTTTCCACGTTTCTGCGTGCGTAGGGAGGGGCGCGAAGGCGGGGACCTTTGCGCGGTGCTGTGCGTAGCTACTCTTCCGGAAAGGAATGGAGTGCAAAGGCGTATATTTGAAATTGCTGTGGGTTTGGTAAGAATCTGGGCGGCTGAGCTGGTCTACTGCACTTTTCCAACTTAACCCATTAAGTAAGAGTTTATGAAATGTTGACCGATTAGATTGTAAAAGTTCGCTTTTCTTGTGTATTGCAGGTTGGCGTTAGCTCACTATTATAAAACGGAATGTTGCGTGTGTGTGCGCTAAAAGTGAAACTAGCTTCGGGTGTATGGAGAGCTGAGTGGATGCAGCAACACGCACCCTTGCTATATTTGTCTCCTCATATCGAAACCCTGAGTGGTAGAGACAGGGGAAGGGATATCTTACAGAAAGCACTAAAAAGCCTAGTTTTTTTCATCATGCAGGTAAGCTTTTTACGGACACCTAAGACTGCGCTCTACATAATACCATCTTCTGCACACGCACGCAATATTGCTTTTGGTTGTATTGAGCAGTTGCTACGCTCTAGTAATTCAGATCTGCCAACACTTAAACCAAAATGGAGTTTCGATTCTAATTCTTAATGTGTAGGCAGTGTAGAAAATGGTGCCTCACGGCTGCTGTGCCTGCTACACTCCTAGGGAGTACAAGTAAGAAATGGAAAATTAACATTAGTGACGCCAGTGGGCTTCTACTTCTGGGCTTTCGTAATTCACTTTTTTCAATCCAGCCTGTGAATTCTGAGTCACCAAAACGCAGAAGCTCATTAGAAAAGATCGCCATCACGTCTAGTGGATGCTGAGGAGGTGCTTGAGGTTTAGAATCATACTCGAAAATATTGGTGTTTCGGTGCCTTGTAAAACCGCCTCCCCAGCAAACAACCGCGGGAGCACCCTGCATCAATCTGATGTCCTAGGATTAGTTTATCTCAGAGACTTAGTGCTACTGCAAGATCAAAGGGGGCACCATCGCGTGAATGCGCACTTTGTCTGCGAACGATGCGTTCATTCCTAATAGATTGTACTATTTTGCCTTATTGTCCAACTAATAGGCTTATCCTCATCACTTAGCGTGAAGCATGTGTGGTATGTGGGTGCCTGTGTTCTGCTTATCTTGTAGTTCTTCGTGCAACCACCTGTTTTTACACTTCGCTGGTGTAGACGGCGTTACAAAGAACTCAGCTGCAGAGGCCCTGTCGTAGCCGAATATAGCTGATTCTGATTTCTGTGAAGAAATCAATAATTCAGAATTCGTAACAATGAACTTTGTTTCATGCTGGTGCTAGAACGCTGCCGCGCTGCCCCTGTGGGTTACTGCCACAGGGGTGTACAGAAAACTCGGCTAGTGAGCAGCAATCCTTGTAGTGTCTTTTGATGCTTCTCCTAGTGTTTTTCGTGATTTCAGTTTTACTGTGAAGTAAAATTAAGCACATTGCAGGATATATCTGTAAAATTCGAGCACGTCTGCACCCAGCTCCTCGTCTTGCCTGCTCGTGTCTACTGTTGGCTGTGCTCCGCTATTCTTGGCACTGACGCAACACCAGGTACGCAGAATTCCTCGGTAGGTATTCTCTTCGGTGCGTCTAATGGACAGATCTTTAGATCTCTTTAGTGCCCTGGGGCCCACCGTGTGCATCCTTGGGTGTTTCTGTCCTGGGCCCTTAACTTTTCCTTTGGCATCGAGCTTCGCAGTTGCTGTCCGTTCTCCCTAGCTGAATTACCATCCCCCTCTCCGTTATGTGCCATTTGGAAAGGCTCAGGGATATCACATGCTTCACGAGATTATGCACACACGCACTTTGGTGCTTCCCCTGCTGTTGGTGCTAGTATTGCTCAACCCGTCTGTGCTGAGCTCGTTCCAGTTGATTGAGCCGGGTTTACTTTCGAAGCACTCGTTGGGGTATATTGGAGGACGCATGCCGGCGTCAGCAGCAGCAGTAGCAGCGTCAGTTATGGCATTTAGACCGGCCAAGATGCAATCAGCAGTTCATGCAACACGCCGCTGCTTGGTACCACTGTGTGATGCTTCTTACTTGGGCGTCCATTCTCTTTGTACTCGTGGCTGTTATCAAGGATCCCCGAGACCTCTTCATCCCTCTGGGGTGCAAGTGCAGCGCAGCGTGTCTCTGTTTGTCGCATCCAGAAAGAAAGGTGTCGCCACAATGGTGCAACCCCAGCCTCGCACAGTCAAAACTGACCCTGAAGAGATGCCTCTTACGGCGTGCTATGGCGCTACAAAGGTACAGAGCCCTTGCTTGCGTTTGGTGTTGCTGCTGTCGTGTGAGATGCCTCCACAGTAATTTCAGCGCCTCTTGTCTCTTTCCTTTCTTGTGTAGGTGTCCTTTTCAGTAGAGCCCCTTTCTGCCCTGAACAGCTACAAGGGAGACTGCGTGGTGTTCGTTTGCCGGGGATCGCTTCCTTCAGAGGCCGCGGAGTTCGATGCCCAACGAGGGGGCCTCCTTGCAGGTGCCCTCGCAGAGTCCGATTTCAAGGGAGATGCTGGGTGTGTTATATGTCCTCTTGCCCCTGATACCTTCTACCCCTCACTCTTTGATGGTGGTTCGCGTCAATGGGCTTGTTTCTGTCGCAGCCTCTCGTATTGTCTGTTTCTTTTGCTCATTGCCGTTACGGCTCTTCGGGCCCCTCGATCCGTGTATGCGCTGCTGCAGCTGCCTCTGTAGCGTGCGTGTGGGTGAAGACGGCCCTCGTTATTTGTGTGCGGTTGGAGTCGGGGAGCACAAGACATTTGATGCCACGGTGGTTGGTACTGCTGTTGCTGCTGCACTGAGAGAAAAGAACAAGCTGACATCTGTGGCGTTATATATCCCGGATCTCTGCCAAGGCTGCCCCTGTCCAGAGGCCCCGAAAGTCTTCGCCAGAAAGCTTCAGGCAGTACTAGAGACGATTCTTGTGGAACTGAACGCAGATAACAGGTCTGGTGCCGATGATGTAGCTGATAGTTTATGCATGCGGGTTCCGGAAGGTCACTTGGGCTGCGGAGGGCGTCTGGGGAAGCCAGTGTGCGGGGATCCTATGAGATGTACGACAGTTTACGGATATTGATTTCGGGTTTGTCCTCTGTTTGCGACATGCAGATTCAAGGGTACAGGCACCAAGAACCCTAAATCTTCCAGTTTGGAGAGGCTGACGATCTTTACAGCCAACGAGGAAGGGACACGAGTCGTTCTCAATGTGAGAAATATTGGGCGTTTCACGCTAGGCTTCTGCCTGCACGCTTCAAGCTTTAGAGCTTGATATCTGAAGGCTTTGCTGTTTGTCCGCGCAGTCTGCCCGCCTAGTTGCTGGTGGGATTCATCTGGCTCGGGAGTTGGTAAACGCCCCAGCAAACGTCTGCACCACTGTCACCCTCGCAAAGGCTGCTGAGAAAGTAGCAGCTGAGGTGAGTTCCTCTAACACTTTCATCTGGGCCTCTGCTGGAGTCTCTCAAGACTCAGTGTGCTCCATTGCGGTTGAACAAAGGCCATAATCTGCGCACGCCACATCGTATACGGTAGCAGGAGTGGCCACGAGTCACGAGTCAGGGCTCGCGTAGTTTAATTTCTTTCACTGGTGCATATGTGGAGTTCTTGAGGCAAGACCATCCTCATCTAGCATCTTTTAGGTGCATTTATGTGTGAGTGCGTATTGCAAATGCGTTTCTAGGGGGGATTGGAGTGTAAGATATTGGGTCAGTCTGAAGCAGAGGCCCTGGGGATGGGTTGTTACCTGTCTGTGGCCAAGGGTTCCATGTATCCTCCGCAATTTATCCATTTGACTTACAAGCCCCCGGGTGTCTGCAAAAAGAAGCTGGCGTTTGTTGGCAAAGGACTTTGTTTCGACAGTGGGGGCTACAACATTAAGAGAGCGGAAACGAATATAGACCTAATGAAATTTGATATGGGCGGCGCCGCTGCCGTGTTGGGGGCAGCTAAGGCTATTGCGTCTCTGAAGCCAGAAGATGTGGAGGTACACTTCATATCGGCCGCGGCAGAAAACATGGTCTCAAGCCGATCCTACAGACCCGGTGACGTCATAACTGCCAGCAACGGGAAGACAGTGGAAGTGGGAAATACCGATGCAGAGGGACGCCTTACTTTGGCAGATGCTTTAGTGTATGCGGAAAAGTTGAACGTTGATGTCATCGTGGACGTTGCAACGCTTACTGGCGCCTGCATCATTGCTTTGGGAGAGAGCTATGCCGGTCTCTTTAGCCCCGATGATACTCTGGCTGAGGAGATTCTCAAGTGGTAGGCGTGGGATCAGCACAATCCTGTTCTTTTTCTCCGTATCTGTGTCGTGTCTGACTGTTCTACTGGCTGCTCGTACTTCACATAGTGGGCCTTTGCATCTGTACCTGGATCTTTACTTCCTTGTAGAAGATTTCTCTGTGCCCTCATCTGCTTCAAACACTCCTGGTTGTCTCGCCTTCCTTATTATCCTCCCTGTTGCTAGACTGCATGGATTGCACTGTTTTTATTGCTACCCTCATGCCTCTTGCAGTGCCGACCGATCCTGCGAGAGATTGTGGAGGATGCCTTTTGTCCCGCGGTATCGAGATCTTCTAGACTCGAAGTGCGCAGACCTCAATAATGTGGCAACCAAGGGAAAGGGAGGCGGTGCCATCACTGCTGCTGTTTTCTTGAAGGAATTCGTTGATAAGGTAAATCACAAAGAATTAAGCCGAGGAACCGGCGATGCAGATTAAGAGGAGGCGGGAAGAAAGTGCGAAATACAGGAGCAGCATTTTCTCTTGGATTTGTTCGGTCTTCACTTGTGTGTGTACCTTGTTTCTTTCTCGCACCATACGCCTCTATCTTCTTGACCGGACGTCTATATTCTCAAATAATGTTTGTGTTTATTTACCTGCCTCAGACTCCCTGGGCCCATATTGATATTGCCGGGCCCGCATGGTGCTCCAAGTCCAGCAGCGGTACAGGCTATGGGGTCAGAACTCTTGTAGAACTCGCTCTGTCGGCTACTAAGTAATCCAAGGCCTCCAAATAAAGCTCCAGAGGGGCCTTCATTCCTCCACTGTTGCCCTTTGCAAAGGCCGTCTTTGTGTGGGGTTCTCTGGCATCCGAAGTAGCCACGCTACTCAAATAATACCGGAGCCACAGTCAGTGGATGCATTTGCTGCTTGCCGGGGTAAGAGCGAGACGCTGAAAGGTGGGGGTTCTGGGAGACTCAAAGGTCTCACCACCTTACTGGTCGCTTGTGCATTAGTTTCTGTGATGGAAGTTCTTTCATGTTTGGCTGCGGCTTAGGGCATAAATGCCTCATGCTGGGAAGATAAGGGACTAAATGCTTATTGGGCAATGCGTTTGAAGTCGCAAAGCAAACAAAACGCGCGAACTACACAACCCATTGAAAGATACGACCGGTAAAGAAAGGGCTCACCAAGACCTTGTTGCTTTTGATTGAAGTATCAGGAGGCTACCACATTTGCCTCCCATTTCAAGTTCAATCGTCTCTTAAAGACAATTTTAGTAAATATATTTTAGCCCTGTCTCTATGTAGCCGTGCAACGTGAGACAAGATGCTTCGAAAACGGTTGCGTCGTCTACTCACTCGTCCTGCGCGGTTAGGAAGGTAATGGCCAGTGGCATGTAACCAACAACTGCCTCGATGTGGTTTTGATGCACTTACTTTTGAAACTGATAGGATGCTTTGTAACTCACCAGGGTTTCAATATTGTTGAACATACTTCCTCCGCCAGAGCGGGGCACACACACGGACCAATTCTGTTCCTGTCCATCTAGCCGGATAAAACACCATTTTCTTCGTCTGTCAGATTTAGTGTAAGTGGAATAGTGAGCAAGCAGTTTATCAACTATGCATGCAGAGGAACGTTACCACGATACTAGGGCTAGAATTCCCGGTGCGCATGTGGGTCCTCCATTGCCAAGACGACGGGGCTGACCCTCAAGCTCAAGTTCGACGGCCACCGGAAGAGCCGTAGCTGAAGAATCTGGTCACTTATAAGGAAAGCCACACTTGTGCAGTTTCGACCCACGATGTCAGGTGCTGCGTGGTTTGATGTTGTCAAAGTAATGGGAGTGGCAACAGGGTGAAATAGTTCAGTGTGCTGTTGACATGCGGCAGAAATTAACGCAAAGGAATAAGTATGGTGTCTTGAATTAGACTGACACCACGTAGAGCACCTGGCGAAACGCCTGCAGGCATGGAAAGACCACTGAAGGCTCTTGCGTAAGGAGCATGCAGACGAAGTCTGCCGCATGGGTGTGCTTTGAAAACAGCGTCTCTTTCACGCCCTCGCAATACTTCTGCCCTCTCTTAATAAACGAATGGAAATAGGCCATAACAGACAAAAAATATAACAGGGTCCTAACTGCACTTGTGTTGCTTCACTTACAGCATGGATAAAAGAGTCACATGCCAAGAATCCATTAGTCCTGACTCTTGATTGTGGAGTGAACTGGTATGATGCTGAGTGCAGGCGTTTCGTGCAGTGTTTCGTACAACTCATTTTCAATATAACTTGCTGGCGATCTGCCGCTGAGCCCGAAGTCCTCCCACACGGTGGGCACGCTCACTATATCTAAGCAGGCGTCACGGTGCGTAGGCCAACAGGTACACGCAAGGGAGCATTTCGTGACGGAGTGCAGCGTGCAGTGACATCTACCTTCCCCTGTTACACTAGGGCGCGCCGGAGTCCATCCCCGCTTGCACGGGGTGCGATGATGAAAAGGTCTCGGAAGTTCCATGGAATTCGATTGACATTTCAGGGGGACGCAGCTCTATCATGTGGCAGATTTGCTTCTCATGAAGCGCATCCTGATAATTTTATCCGACTACCCTGAAGTGTCACGCCAGGTGGTCGCGCGGCAGGTAGCTATGCAGCGAGCAAGCAACCGAAGGAGTAATTCAGCGTTTGGGAGCAGACTAGCTCAACGTTTTGTCTTTGGCGGAAAAACAAGAGTCAAGTCGGGAGTTAGAACCTACATATTTGGGCCAAGCCTACAGGGCAAGGTGGATGAGGAAACAGAGGGAATTAGAGCTTTGAGATAGCTTCAGACAGCCGCTCAACAACACATCAGCTTCCATTGTCAGAAATTCCGGCATATGTTCGGCAAGTGTAAGAGCATTCAAAGATCCTAAAAGTTTGGACAACGGGACTGACCCCAGTTGAAGCTGGCTGCCTGGCTTGCAAAGACGGAGCATTAGAAGAGCGGCAAGCCCCCTTTAAAAAGTTTTAGTGCACTGAAGCCTTCAACAGTGGACCAAGCCGCCGCTGAACATCCACCACGCGTCGATTCTGTGCTAATACTAGCTCAAAACAGTGTCTAATAATTGATTAAGTTACTTGACGGTGGATGTGGAATGGATCTGCTATCCGAGGACACGGGACAGTAGTGCGACCTACCTATCCACTCGCCAGCACAGTTCCCAACGCTTGAATGTGCTCACCGGCGACAGAACAAAGAGGTTGGCCAGGCTACGGCAGTTTATAGCAGTTTCGAGTCAGGAATGTTTTAATTACCATGTTTCGAGGCTTCTATGCTGAATTCTTTCAACTTGATGCAATGCTATGTTTGCCACGGGCCACCCAGGGAATGCGCCCACGCAAGCAAATCTGCGTGCTGTGGAGGTTAGTGTGCCACACAGCTCTGACTAAAAAGCCTTTCTTGTCTTCTCCACAGCGACTGATCCATCCAAAAGGCGAGCGGGGTAGACTTGGTTCCTCAAAAAGGTGAGGGAGTGCCTCCACTCAGGCGGCTCAGCAAAGCATTAATAGACAACGGCTTCTGAGCATGCATGCTACCTTCGTAGCCCTGCATTTGGATTTGTATTGATGAGCTTGATTCTAATTTATAGCAAACAAAACCAGGAACGGGCGAATATCGAAAAGGAGGTGGCGAATGTGCTAATTGATGACGAGCTGCCGGAAGGATCGCAACTCTCTGGTGTACCAGCACAATGAAATAAGATAATGCTCGAGCCCACTCCATTCCATGTTTCGCAGTATTAGAAGCCCTCATGAGACAAAGCGAAACTGAGACCTGCCGTATAGTTGTTGAAAAAAGCAAAGTGCAGGAATCTACTAGCACATTTCAACATGAACCGGTGTTGCTGGCGGAAGAGGAAGAAGGGTAGTGTGTGTTCTACAACTCTAAGCCCCTAAATATGATCACTCTGAGGTAGAAGTATTGAGCGCCTCATTTGGACGGAGTAGTTACCCGTTAACAAATTATTTTACACATGACTTCGCAGACGCTTCGTAGAAGTCTTTGTTCGCCGAGACAACAGGCATCAGATGGCGTTTCCCGTTTGCTCTGCAAAATGGAGTGGAACTGCATGCCGCTTGGAATTGTAGATACCTCAGGAGCAGCAAGTGTTTTAGTAGCTGTAGCAATTAGAGATGTGTATCATGAATAAGTGGACGACTGTAAACACGGACGATGTCTTCGTTCTCTGCTGCAATGTTGGAGATCACCTACAACAATACGGCTTGCATTGCAGCTGCTGAGGAGAACAAGGTGATGTATGAGGCACTCAGGTATTTGTTTTTCATAAGACCACTAGTGGTTTGGGGACACTCTGTTTTGGCTCCATGGATCGGACCAGATCCGGCAACAATTAGAGCAAACGGGGCGTGTCCTCCACCCTTACAACTTCACAGGGGCACTGCAGTGCTTCCTGAACTCGCATTTTACCACGGAGATTTCCCTCTTATTTTGCTTAAATCGCTGCTAGTCTGATCGACATAGTTAGAATAACGCACGGCGTGATATGGATAGAGGAAGGTGATGCAGCAGGAAAGACGCATATCGGTCGCCTTCTTAACTTCTTTGGTACTGCCCTCTTACTAGCGTTCTGCCCAACAGCCGATGCTAGCAACGTATCAATAATTGTTAGTTCCCACCAGTAGCTCCCTCAATATAGTATGAAATTGTGTAACTTTGACACCAATGTGTCTGGTATTTTGGGTCACATCCAGCAAGGCAAAAAGGCAATGGACTACTACTTGGATAAATGCCTGCTGCGGTTTAGAACAGTACTCTCCATCGCCTGTACATTTCAACTTCATCCCGCAGTGCTTTGTTTGAGTGAAACCTATATCCACGCTCTGTGGCGCGATGAGCGAATTCATTTTTACGATGGCCAAGCTCTCACAGTCTTTTTGGTGACCTGAGATGCGTCCCGCGGCGAGGGAGTAAGCACTATCATGACCAGATTGACAGCAGCGGGAAGCGGCGCAATTCTTCCAAGCCTACAACTGATACAGTCGCTCAGTTCCTAAGCTGATTTGTATTGATTTGGCCGTCGTCTAGTGTCAGCAGCCACCTCTAGCAGCAAAGGGGTTCACAGAATAAATGTCTGGTGCACGTGGATGTATGCGCACGCTTTACAAGCGATGATGGAATTATGGCAAGCGATGACTGATATGTTTCGAGCCACTTTTTCTAGTCCTGGTGGATCGGCACGGTAAACTATGTCCACCAAAAGGTGATCAGACTCCTAATTTTGCGCCCAGGTGGCTAGGATCATTTGCTGTCCTCTGTTGATTTCCTCGAGTGTTGCAGTTGCCACCGAACTAATAGTATTGGCTTCCTGAAGGTGTTATAAAGCTCTCCCAATCAATTGTGGACTTTGCCGTGCATGCGAGAGGCTTCTGTGGAGGCGAATGATCCACATGCGACTGTTCAAGTGCTGTGCCATGCTAGCCTCGGTTGTTGAATGAGAAGTCGATAAGCGGGCTGTGCCACCTGGGTTCAGAATTCGTGGATTTGTTTGGCGCACAACGCGTAGCGCTACAGAGGATAGTTTTCCAGTTGGATGGTATCTGTGCTTCTCCCGCTTGTGCCCTATGGGATGTAGCTACCTTTGTGTGTGGGTACTTATTGCAACATTCCCAATAGTAATTGTTACGGTGCTACACATATGCGCAGAGCCTCTCAGGTATGCTGTCTCTGCGCTCCTCGTTTTGTTATGGGGGCTGGGAAGCCGACTCTGCTGTATGCACCCGCTGTATTGGCTTGCAGACATTGCTCTTTCAGATGTGAAGGCACTGCTAAACTACTGCGTTTTGATTCGCTCTACAAAACCTTTTGTGATTAATTCTTCTCGAAGCAGAATGCTCGCATATTTCAGTGCTCCTGGCTATCGAGCCATGGCACCCCTGCCTTCGCATTACATGGCTCCCTTGCTCGTTTTGGGCTAGTCCTCGTGTTCTTATATTCATTGATTTCACTTAATGGGCACACTTTGCCTTTCTCATTCGCAGTCCTTCTGCCTTCCCATCTGCATGGGAAGTGGCACTAGGGTGGAAACGCTTCCGTGTCTCTTCCGCTTAGACGTCCAGCTACGGAACACGCAGGCATGTGCATGCGCAGGGAACGAGACGAGCTTCTTTGAAGTGGGAGTCGACAATCCTCTATTAAGTTCGTATCGGCTCTGGGGCTAATCTCCTCCCTCCACAGATCCTTATGTAGCTCTGCAGCACGAAGTGCCTTAGTTTTATGTGATATTGAGCGACAGCCGGTTTGAGACAAGAAGCATATTCAAGCAATTGAGCTTAATATTAAAAATTTGATAGATGACTGAAAAAACTAGCGTTGAAGAGTATGTTCAAGCCTAGGTTGGCCTAGTGCAGTATATATACGTGGGACGGCCAGATGAAAAGGGCAAGGGCCACCAGGAGCCCCTGCCTACTTCGTTTTTCAAGCCTGAACGCATAGTTTAGTTCATAGGTATTTGTATGAGGGCAAAGGTGTCAAGGAGAGAAGGGATCTAGGGCCTTGAACACAAAAACAGCAACTGCAGGCCCCCAGGCACGCTGGGAAAACCAGGCACATAGTGCACTCCTGTTTGCTACGCTGCAAGAAATCTCTAGCCTGTTGCGTAGAAAGAGCAGCACATGGCATTATCTTGAAAAGGTGGAGAATTCACAGAGCTTAACTTCGTAGGGGGCCCCTCTTGCTCACCGACCCGAACACCATCTTGCGCTTATTGGAGATACCGCTTGCTTGCCCAAGGCCCAGTAGCTGCTGCTATTTTCATCCCCTGATCTGAAAACTTGTATTACCTTTTATGTGTTCCTTGGAGCTTAGCGAAAGAGCAACAGCGAGAATAACGGGGCATAAGGAGATTCCAGTTATATCTGGACACTGGGGGGAGGGGGGCCGCTACTATCCTGGTGCAGCTAGGGGTGGGGGCCCAAGCACCTGAAATGCGCTATTTTAATGGAAAGCGCGCAGATAAGAAGCGCCCAAATCCTGTGGCTGCCACACTGTGCCCTCTGAGGCCACGTCGGGCGGAAGGGTCTGTTCTGCTGGGGTCTCCAGAATACTGAGTCTCCCCCCTGCTAATTCGTTCCCTCGGTTCCGCTGATAACTGCCACGAATGAAGGCCACTTCAGCTCCGCGGATAGCCCCCCTTATGGCAGGATTTCCTGGGACGCCGTCAGGCCTGAGCTCAACGGCCTTGGGGGCCCTTGCCACAGCACCCCCGCCACTCAGTCGGACTCTCGGACGGCTGGGCACGGGTTCCTGGATGCGTCTAGCCTTAGAACGGTCGTCGGCTCTGATCTCTGGGGATGAGAAACTGGCTTCTGTGGATCCTCCCGCTTCGCAGCAAGTCGGCAGTCACCAGCACGAGTCCCCTGCACAGCCAGTTGCTGCTGAGAGGCAGGACCCCCCGACAATTCTGGGGGAGGGCCCTGACAGGCCCGCGTCTTCGTTAGATCAGAGGAGTAGACCCCTTAAAGGGAAGCGAGGCCGCGTAGGGGGTGTGGAAGCCGCCTCTTTCGAACCCGATTTGGAGCACCAGGGCACCGAAGGTGAACCTAATGAATCCGCAGGGGGAGCACAAAGACCCCGGAGGCAGGCTCCGCCTACCGGGAAGAAGCACAACAAGAAGCGTCGCAGAAATCTTGAGGAGGTAGCAGAACATGCTGGAGGCACACACAAGGGCTCCCGCGGGAACTCGCCAGCAACAGCAGCATGCGCAGCAGACCCTAAGGTGGTTGCTCTGGGGAAGGAACGACAGCAGGAGGAGCAGATGGAAGCGGCAGACGCCCTCGCTTCAATCAAATACGATGTGGATCTCCGGACAGGCCATGTACAGGCCCCCGAACAGGTGGTACCGCCTCAAAAATACCGCATTAGCACCAAAGGACTCCAGAGTGTCACTAGGTCCCAAAGGATCCCGTCAGAGATGGAGAGTGACGCTACCTACACCGAAGTGCAGCAGCGGTTGACAGACGAAGGACCATCACAGAATATTCCTGGAGGAAAGTCGCCAAGTGCAGGGGGGCCCTCCACAAGGGCCCCAGGAGACTTTTCCTTTGTTGTCGGACTCATTGGTGGTCTCGCCGTCCCTGCCGCTGTTGACTCTGCTACGGGGTCTCCAGAAGACGATCAAGAGAAGGAGCGGCAGCACGCAGAAGCGCGGCATGAAAAACGCCGTAAAGGGCACAAGGCGACGAGACGGAAGCACGATGAGGAATCCTCACACCCTACCCAGGGCCACCCCACAAGGGGTTCGTTGAGGACCTCGAGCAATTCTACTGGCACTGCCTCCGCGCAGCAGCAGTCCCAGCAGTCTGGACAGCAAGAAGATGTGGCAGACTGCAAGCGGCGCAGCGAGCGGCGTCAGAGGCGAAGGACCATCGAGCGCCGTCACCGTCGGCCTGAGGTTGCCTTCTCCCCACAAAGGCTTCCCCAGCTCTCGCATTCGAGCTCTGGAAAAGGCCCTCAGGAAAAATCGATTCTCTCGGTAACATCTGCATGCCCGACTTCGCCCCCTGGGCCTTCATGTGCCTCGGTTGGGATTCAAGCAGATGCGGCTTCCTGCCCCTTCTTTCCTTCGCTTTGGACGGGCGACTTTGCTGCTGCGTCTGAGCGGGCCCACAACGAGGAAAAACGGAAGCTCATGAGGCTCCTGGGCTCCTCTGAGGGGGGGGCTTCCCCCCAGGCTCCAGATCATGCACCCCAGTCGGCAAACCCTGAGGGAGGGGCCCTCCTGCGGCAGCCGTGGCCGCTCCCCGCTGCAGTTTCTTCATGGGATGGCTTTAGGAACGAGAAGGCAGCTAAGTGCCCTGTTGGAGATCCTCTGGACGAGGAAGGCACCTCTTCTAGCAGTGACTCTCCTGCAAGTCCCGCAAGAAGCTCCCAACGACACTTCCAGGGTGCCCCCGTTTTCAAGCCTCGTTACGTTTCTTTCGGCGGCAGTGTTAGCTGCACCCTGTTTGCTGCTGGTGGGGCGGCAGAGGCACAGAAAGAGAGAGACGCGGATGCCTCCATGGCCCTTGGCTCAGGCCTACTGGCCTCACCTGCCCAGTGGAACCCAAGCGGAGACTCTGCTCGCCTGATGAGGGCCCTCAGAAGGACTCACCGCCGCCTAATCCTTGGGGGCCAGTCTGCAGTGCTCCGCAGCGACAGCAGTAGTGAAGAAGAGAGTAGCAGGGAGCCATCGCCATGCCCCTCTGTGGAGGCACAAGATCCTGCCGCATCTGATGCTCCGCATGTTCAGGCTTCACCAGCAACTCTGGTTGAGACCGCTACTGCCTCTTCAGATCAAAGGGCAAAGGCGAACGAAGGCGATTCTGTGGATCCGACGTCCTCAAGGAAGATTCATCTGCAAGAGGACCCTGTGCTGCAAGATACAGCAGCAGCCACTGCAGCATCAGTTACTTTGCCTCCGGCAGCCTCAGTAGTTTTACCGCCAACAACAGCTCCACCCCCATCGCTGGGTGTGGCGAGCGGCCGAAGCCGCCAGCCTCGCAGCAGTGCACCCCCGGCATTCGGCTCCCACTTAAACTCCTGGAGACTCTCCAACAACGGCAGCGACTCGGATGGAGAGGCAGGGGCGAAGCCTTTGCAGCTAGATGGCAACAATATCAGCAATGACAGCGGAACGACCAACAGCAACAACGCGGTGGTCGCAGCGGGAGCTCCCCTGTCAAGGCAAGGTCCTTTAAAGCACCAGATTACAGGCCCAATGGAGGCGGCAGGAACACCAGTGGCTCAACACTTCAGCTGTGCTGCTGCTGCGGAGGCAATGGCCGACGCTTCCACCCCTCTGATAGTGGAGGCCCCTGCCGTTTCTGGTCGATGGGAGCCTCCGCAGATCTCAGTGGCGCTTCAGAACGAGCAGCAAGAAAAGCATAAGACGTTGATACCATCTGCATCCGCCGCTACTGAGGAGCTCGTCTTGGAGACCCCTAACGGGCATTCTAATGTTGTTTCTGCCATTGACCAACTAGACGCTGTGGCCATGGCGAGGCATCCACGCGACTCGCCGCCAATCAATCTTCTGTCATCTCCACGAAAGGAAAGGTCCTCCGAGGCGGAACCTATTGGGTCCCTCTCCCTTGAGGGAAGCCCCATGGGAACGTCTAGAGAAGAAGCTACAGAAGTAAAGGGGAGGCATCAAGATGTGTCGATTAATTGTTCAAACAGGTACGAGGGGTCTCTAGAGGCACCAAAAGATTGCCGGATATCTCAGGAAGCACAGGGGCCTTGTGAGGAGCCCCATGAAGAAAGCCTTCTTAAGAAATGGGAAGGCGTGGACGTTGAGGGGGATGAAATTGTTCTATCTGATGGGAGGAATCCCGAGGATGCGGAATGGATGGCCTCACCATCTCGGTCCGCACATGCCTCTCCCCTGGTGGTTTCGGTTCCAGATAGTGAGGTAGAGGTTGCTTCTCCACTATCGTTGATGCTTGAGGAGCAGCTGCAGCATCAGGCAGCCGTGAGAGATGCCGCAGCAGATACCAACGAGAATCTTCCACGGCAGCAGCAGCAGCAGAACTCGAGGGGAAATACCACCATCTTCGAGGAAGCAGAAGATAAGGCTCAGACCTTATTTGCGACAGCGCCAGCGGAAGCGGGGAAACCAGGCCTTTCAGCCCTTTGGTTTAGAAATTTGGGAGAGATAGGCCTTGATGAGCATCGCCCCGCTACAGAGCCCCGAGTGTCGCGCTGTGGCAGCCTGACTCCAGGTAAAGGACAAAGTGTCTACGGAGGCTTTTGAAGAGCCTCCAGCAAAGCCCAACCCGTAAGACCCAAGCACATAGCCGTATGGCCAAAATCACGTCGTTGTTCTGTGTCTGGTGTGCACTAGAAGATGCGGAAGAGGCAGAACGGCTGCTGGAGAGTTATGTCGAGGAGCCTCTTAGAGTACGCTACGGAATTCCCTTGCGCCGGTAAGCCCCGATGGAGAATTTCTGAATGCCAGATTGGCTGTATGGCACCCGCAGCCCCTGAATGCAGGGGGGCTGGAGGGTTTCCTTGCGACCCCTCTGGCTGACCGTTGTTGTATGTGCTGATAGTGGGAGGCCTGAACATTGCGTTGTGTGTGCATCTGGACTCCTGACTGCTATATGTTCTCAGACAGACATTGGAAGCAGTGGGACGGGGGGGCCTCCTAGATGACGAGGCAATTAATCTGTACTGCTCTTTGCTCCAAGAAAGAAACAACCGAGCACTGCTGTGTGGCGAAAAGTCAGACTCAGCTCCACCTATTACTCGGGAACTGCACGAGATGAGGCTCGGGCACGCTCATGGGTTCACGCATCGTATTTTGGAATTTGTACGACTCACGATTAGGAGTAACATGATTCAGGAGTCTCGGTTTGTGTTGCTTTGCGGATTGCAGAGTCCCCCGATGTCTGTTGCTGCCCTCCCACTTCTACAGTTCCCTTGCAGCAAATGGCTTTGATGCTGTCCGGGTAAGAGCGTAGTCACTACGTTCTTAAGATGCAAAGCTGCGTTTCTGAACTAGTGTTTAGAGTTGTAGCACTGTGAGGGCCTGACCACCATGAGTTCCTTCGTGGGTGCTTAGGGGACCAGACCAACCAACACTCTAGGGCTCTCCAACAAGGATGCCGAGGTACCGCTTTCTTCATAGCGTGGTAGCATTCACGGAGAGTTTGAACTCTTTATTATGTGTCTCAGCGATGGACTCGGCGTGGAGCGCTGGATATCTTTTCATATGACATGCTACTACTGCCAATCCATGTTCCCCATAGGGCCCACTGGGCCCTCGGCTGTGTACTTCCGAAGTGGGCAAAAAGGCCATGACGGGCCCCTAATGGGGCTTTTAAGACCGCTTTTGCCCTTGTTTAGCAAGTTGCTGGTGCTGATGTCAATATGGCAGCGGTAGCAGCCACACTCGCTGCAGTGTCCCTAGCACCAGTTAATTTATAATGGCTGAGAAGCAGTAAGCGGTAGTACATAGTTGCGGTCTTGTGTGCTGGAGAGCGTTCTCAGGCAAAAGAAGATTTTATATTTTGATTCGCTGAAGTTGGATCAGGATGCCATGAAGTGAGGCCCTTTTACGGTTCTGCACAGAAGGGAAAAATTCGGTGTTTGAGCTTTGGGATTTTGGTTCGCACTTTGGAAGTTCTGAAATATATACAAGTATTGGATCTACGTCTTATGATTTAGGGTTTCGAGTGCTTAGGTTCTACCGGACTGTCTGCAACTACTTGTCCGCGGAGCACCGAGACAAAAGGGGGGTCTGCTGCCCTCGCTCAGCATGGCGTGGTATCGTTCCGGTAAGTGTAGGAAGTAGCTGTTAAAGTTTAGGGACAAGAATTTTGTGCGCTTGCCTATTGTCCTTTTTGGAGTTGTACTTGTTACTTGCGTCTTTTGAACGGTGCTTCCTGAATGGAGATTTACTGAAGTTTTTTTCGATATGTGCAGCACGGGATACCTCAGCAGCACAATTCCGTGGACTGCGGAATCTTCTGTTGCGCATTCGCGGAATTTCTCTCGGATGGCCGAAAAGAGTTCCCCTCTCTCACCCCGCAAGCGATCAGAAACCTTCGACTCCACATGGTGTGTCCTTCAAACACGAGGCTTTAGACCACAGTCTGGGAATGATAATAGCTGCCTTGTGCTGAGGATAAATTTTTTATGAATATGATCGTATGCGCACGCCGTTTTCCTTCGCTGCAGGTCCTACAGCTGCACAAGGGCCTCGTAGATTAAGATCCCCATTTCGTTCGGAGGCTCTGTTTGGGTCTGATGTGGTCCCCTCCCGTGAGGCTTAGACCTCCATTAGGGGATATCGGCTTTGTTCTGAGTCGTGCTACGCAGAACATCATGTCTTTCCGCTGTCCAGAGGCCTCTAGTTCCCCCGGCGCTCCTGCCTCGCCCCCCACAAAAGGTCGACACGGATTATCTCCGTTGGATCACGAAGGCTTCTACTGGGCCTTACCCGCCATGCCTAAGGGAGCATAATAAAGCCCTTTGTGGGCATCCCTATACGTAACATTTGAAGTGGTTATTGAATTTGTTAGTAGTAATGCGACACTTTCTCCATTTGGCATTAAATCTTAGACTTCATCGAAAGTACTCTTCCTCGTACACAGAGCAACGTCTGGGCCTCCTCGAGATAACACGCAGAGCCCTGCAGTCTCTATACTTGCATTGTTTCATAATGACTCAGCTCATCTTCTTGAGGAGCACTGCAGAATTATCTAGCGAAGAGCAGACGATAACAAGAAAGGAAGCGAGGGGAACACATCCAGTAGACACCTGGACTATTACGGACTTAGTGGAAGTTAAGAGAGTTTACAAACTCCCAGAGGTGTACAGATCTTCTATGTGCTGTCAGGACCCTGTGGAATCTAAGGGACTCGCATGGGCTCCATGGGTGTCGCTGCCCAGCACTAGAGGACGTGTCGTAAGGGCGGTGGGTGCTTTCGTCTCCGGGCACAGCAGTCTCTACAGTTTCTGTGCTTGATCAGGTAGCATTCTTTCATTATTATCAAGTATAGCACGGCCACCAAAATCTACTCCTCTGACTAGTGTTTCCATACGGAGACACTTCGCCTTGAATCCAATGCAAAACTTCTTGAGCGTGTTGGGCTTAGCTACAAAAAGCACTTTCCACCACACTATAGCCAGCTGGGAATTAGTGAAGCATGGAACAGTTGGTTTGTCTTTTCATGTGTCTTATTGTCCCGAGGTAAGGCTTGGACGATACAAGAAGCAAAGGCGTGTGTATTTACTATATGTTATGTCCATGTAGCTATGACTACTCAAATTGCTTTACAGATGCAGATACGCGCACCCTAGCTGAACCGCTGACCCTCATGTTGGGTCGGGGAGGAGGGGGGCCGGAAAGTATATCTTTGGAAGTACTCAACAACGTCGATTAAGTGGTGGAGTCTGCAGTAGAGTGCTGCCTGCGGACAGCTGAGATAGAGCGTTACATGAAGGCTTCTCTAAAAAAGGCCTCCCTTCTTTCCTTACCCTCGCCTTGCCGCGTTGCGAAGTAATGGGAGAGGCGCAGCTAAGGCGAAAGCTCCTGTAGGCTCGAAACACTCCAAGCATTCACATCCTGCTGCATCTTGCAACTAATATACACAGTGTTGACTCTCATGAAGTTGCGCTTCCTTTGCTCTAAAAAGGATAACATTTGCATTCAGCAATAGCAGAAAATCAATTTTTCTGTTGATTCGTATTTCAATACAGCTATTATTACAGAAAGAGCCCACGTCTTGCTTGGCACGCTGGATCAACTAGCTCTATCGCTTCCGTTGGACAGTAAATAGCGAACGCTGAAATAGCTGCACTCGCAGCAGCAGTACTACGAAGGCAGCGAACCCAACAGAGCATGCAGCATAAGGAGACTTAAAAATGTATTTATTTTTCGCATTTTACTGAACAAGGCAATTTTGGACAAGTATGCAAGTTTCCTCCTGATGTGTTGATATATCACTGAAATTATTTTTAAATACATATGAGCTTTGTTGTTCTGTTAATACCCCCAAGATCTTTTATGCCTCTAGTACACTCTGCTGGGGGCCCGAAGGGGCCCTATAGAACCCCCGTGGGGAAAGCGTAGTGCACAGCAGGACCTCTCTATTGGTTGCGCGTGGCTGCCCCTCGGCCTATGGGAGCTTAATTTTGGTGAGAAATTTTTTCTATCACGGAATAATAACTCATCAGGGGCCCAAAGGAAGGAGACACTCTTGCGCCCCCCTCCAGACATCCAGCACAGAGGAAGGGCCCCCTGGGCCCTTCAGCTGTGAATAGGGATCTACACTCAAAAAAATCCCATCGAGGGGTGTCTAAAGGCCGTGTTATGGGGCAATGGGGGCTCCACAGGGCCTTGAATCGCGAGAATTCGCCCGTATGTTTCGCAGGGCATCGCCATGACGTCTCACTTGGCTGGTATGCTCGGGCTCTCCTCAATCCCCTTGTGTGTCTGCTTTGCTCTTCCCTTTATACTCATAAATAGGCTCCACTAGGGGCCATGAAGGCGGGGACCAAGCACACATGGGCCGTCTACACTGGGTTCTCTTGGGGTCCTTGCTTTTGCGGCAGCTCACCGCTGCAGCAGCAAGGTACTCTATAGTGATGGCCTCCTCTTTAGCCTTTCAAGGATACCCTCTTCCATGCGAGCTGCGTACGAGCTCCTTTCCCCTTCCTAATGTGAACTACGCCGGGAAAGGGCCTCGCTGCTGTGGTCGGTTTCCTCTAGGGGACTTGCCACAAGAAAGTGGAGGCTTTCATTCCTTACCGACCTCCTCAAGTACGGCCATGCATGCAAAGGGCCGTCCAGGGGGAGGAGGTGGTGTGGGAGCCAAGAAGAAGGCGCAGCCTCAACAGAAGCAGCAAAAGCAACAGCAGCAAAAGCAACAGCAGCAAAAGCAACAGCAGCACCTTGGAGGGTTTGACAAGCATAAAAAGGCAAAAAAGGCAGCAGGAGGTGGTCAGACTTCATCGAGAGACTCAGGCGGCTCGCATGTGCGCCGGAAATTACATCGTGCTGCTGAATCTAGGCCAGAGGCCCCAGATATCTCGAAAGCAAACCTGCAGGCTCGGGATCTGCCATATGATCTTGTGGGTTGTAGTCCTTTACGTGAAGACACCTCTCACTGCTGCCCCCTCTTTAATGCATTCTCTTTGAGGCTTGAAGTCTTGGATGTGGAGCCCACAATTGGGGTTGTAGCTTGGCTGTAAGGTTTGGGCTATTGTGTGACTATCAGGTGTCTCCCGATGTGTTTGAGGTATACAAGGCCTTTGGGAGGTTGGCAGATCCTTTTGAACCCCACGGGTCGCTGCCTCCTTCTCGTCGACTCTTCATGGATAGGCTTTTTAAAGGGTTCACAAGGTAGAGTTTGCACAAAACGCCTAAGAACTTCGGGTTTACGGGACTGCTGGGAAGAGCGAGTGTTACCTTTTTGTACCTCTCTCCTTCGTGCCCCTCTGATGCGCCTCATGTGTTCTTACGCTCTCCCTTTCCTTCTGCGTATCACTCGCATGTTGTCCTATGGTGCTGCCTTCAGGCTTGAGGGAATCACAGAGGACCAGTTTCGCATCCGGTTGGAGTATGACTGGCGTTTTGTCCTTCCTCTGGCGAAGGACCCTCTCGCACCTCCGCAGACTCCGGAGGCTCCAGGAGGTTCAAAGGCCCCTGAAGCTGCTGAGGCCGTGAGTGACGGGAAAACACCAGAGGATCAAGTAACCATGGATACAGCCGCGTCATCGCCATCTCCATTTGAAGCTCTTGACCTTAAACTATGCCAAGGTCTGCCTCTCCAGTCTTCAGGCAGGGGCCCTGCTGCCTTTTTGGCAGCCCCTGTACCCTCAACCCCCAAAGCATCTCACAATACCCTTGAAATTATCCAAGGAGAGATCTGTTACCAGGGAGGGAGGCCCCCTGTGGGAGATGCAGTTCCAGCATTGTTACTGAAGGGGGGCAGGACTAGCAGGGAGACCTGCAAATTATCCACGAGGGCATGAAGTGATGGATTAGCCGCGCTTTGGTTGATGAAGGTAGCGTGTATGCTTCCACCACCACGATCTTTTCTCTTTATGATGCTGCGCTGCAGCCTGGGCAGCAGCAAGGGGCCTCCCACTCGTTGAGGAGGAAGCCACTCGAAAGCAGCGCCAGGTGAGCTTCTTTCCCTCTATCATTCTGATCCCGCTAATAAGCCAAAACTTTTGTACCTCAAAGTCTCCCAGTGTGTGTGCTGCTAATGGTCTTACCTCAGCAAACCAGGGCCATGAGGCTGAAAACAGCCTTCCTGTGGGCTTACAGCCGCTTGTCTCCTCCCCACTTAGGACCGCAAGGAACTCCTGAGGCTTTGAAGGCTCTAACACCACCGGAGCCCTTGCCCCCCCGTCAGGTGCTAATGCAGGAGGCACGTCGCCGCATCTCCGCAGAAATAAACCAGCAGGGACTCCATCCAGCGATTCTGGAGGCCCTCTGGCATTTCTTTGCACAAGGAAACGCAAGTAAATGCGCATATGTTAGGGCCCCAGTCCCACGGATTGCTCAGGAGCTCGCGTCAGGGGGGTTGGGGGGTTGGGAGGCGTCTGCAGAGGTATGAGATCAGGAGGGGTTCACCGTACATATTTGATAGACCACGTCAGAATAGAAAACTTTACGTTCGTGCGGGATGGGTTGGCATCATGTCATGTTAAGCCTCTACGTCTCATTCGTCGCTTCTGGAGAGCCCTACTTCATATCTAGGGCCTGAAGAGCCTCCCTTCTATCTGGCGTGGCAACCCCTCTCTTGTGATCCCTTTTTAACACGAGTGTGCGTGCTGTCCGGCCTATTTCAGTATTAACAAAGGATCAGGCAGCGGAGCGTATGGACTTCTTGATAGGGGGCCCTTCAGGGGGCCCCCGCCTGTGGCTGGATGCATCTGAGGTTCCTGGGCTGTTGGAAGGGGGGCAAAAAGGAGCTCAGAAATCGGAGGCCCTGCATGTCAAGCATTTGTTCTTCCGTGGAGGCCGTCTGCTCTACAGGAACCCTGCGGCGGTGTCTGCCCCAGGGAGGAAGCCAAACCCAAGGGGCCTTCCCCCGCGCCTCTCGGTAGAACGGTTTTGGGGCTGTCTGGGACAGCAAGTCAACAGGCGCATGCAGAATTTTGATTGGGAGGCCCTCGAGGCACGGGAAGCGCAAATCGAAGAGGAAAGGACTATGTTTCTCAGCTGTATCCGTAAAACCATCCGTAAGCTGTGCTGACGCCCCGAATGCGAACGCCGCTGTTCTGCGGAAGATAGCTAACCTATAAATCTAGCAAGCAGGCGTTTTCAAAGGGAAGCCAGAGAGAGATTCTCTGTGGAGAGGGTTGATCTTTTTCTCACCCTAGTCTTTCTCGAGGTGTTGCTGGGGCTTTTGTGTCTGGTCAGCCTGGGCTCTTTAATGTATCTGTGTGCGTTTCACTTCTCAGAGCTACGACAACAACGTCGACGGTTTTGTATGGCTTCGCGCCGCCTTTTGGATGGCATTTGGCTTTCTGTGCTCCATTCGAGAAATACTAACAAGGCACACCAGGAGGCACTCACTAACGAGGCCCTCCTCCTTAAGGTTAAAAAAAAGAGAGAACACTAAGCAGACAAACGCATGAAAATTGCAACATAGGAATCTTCTGGAGGGCACTAAAAGAGTTCGCTGGGGAAGGCAGAGGAGCCGTACATGACACTGCCTCTAAAGTTGCAGTGAACTGCGCGGCAGCAGAGGCAGTGTGAAGCCATCGGATGTTGAGGCTTCAGTAGGGAAGCGTCTCGCTGAAATGGCTCACATGGTTCTTGACAGCAGTGTGGCTACATGCCGTGCATCGTTTTATTGCCGCTATCTCATCTTAAGCATTACTCGTATGTAAAAAAATCCCCAAAACGAAACAAGAAAGTTGATATAATGTACAAAGATGCACCTTCCCGAACCCCAATCACTAGGTGTTGTGGATATGACAGTGTGTCCGTTTTACCGGCTACGAATGCAGAGGCGTAAGCGTGTGAGAAGTGACAGTGATGTCGCACAGAAACCATTGCTGAAGGTGTTCTTTCTTTGTGTTCGTACTGCTTATGTTTTAACTATCGCTTCATCCCCATCCCGAAAGCCCTCTGGGGGGTTGGCTAGATCCAAAGACCCCCAAAATCGATGCTGTTGCTGCTGGTACTTGAACTATGGGAAGATTTGAAAGTTTCAAATAATTCTGCTCCTATACCAGAGAATAAGCACATAGTGGCATTCCGTGGATTACAAGGGTTAGAGCTTGAAATAATCTCGGGAGCGTCCACCCTAGCGTAAAGTGGGCCGTCCGAAGCCTCTTTAACTTACTACACAGCAACGAGTAAGTACTCAGCACAGTCCAATCTTTTTGGGAGAGTTTAGTAGGTAGTATTCCTCCGAAAATGGCGCTAGTGCAGTGGAAGTTACGGAGACTACGGTGTCTGGAGTGCATCAAAACAAGTGGGAGTGGGGCTATATTATGGACGAATAAGGCCTATGAGGTCCCATGCGAGTTTTCAGGCACTAATGCAAATGTATAAGGCTCCAGGCTGGAGCACTTGCTGAATAGCGTGTATGCTTTAGGCTAGCTGTTGTCTGCGTGCGAGCTAATGGATGGCTGCTTGCTGTCTGCAAACTTCGTGGGGAAGGGCCCACTCAGAAATCGAGGAATATGGCCTTTGAAGTCCTAAATTGCAAAGAAAATCCTTAAATACAGTAACAGAAAGGGGAAAGGCAGCTTAAAGTCGACTTATGGGGAATATCACCGAATACCAGTGGACCTCAACTAGGTGAAGCCTTTCTTGACTTCCGAGTGCAGCGGATGCTGAGGGGTTCAATTCCGTTCGTCATTTTGTTTTGTTTGTATTTCCAATCCTGTACCTTATTCTTTATCCTCAGTTCATACAGACCTGGGAAATGCCGGATAAAACAGCAAAGATTGCCGGGGACTATACTTGCATTGAGGGCCTAGCCCTAGATCCTTCCCGAAGTTATTCGACTTGGGAGGACCTCCTCTCTGCTTTGCCCTGGACAACCTCACGGGTTATTTCTATCTCTAGGGCCTCACATTCTCGAAGTTCTTTCAAATCAGAAGCCCTAACCCCCGCAGCAGCACAGGCCCCGTCGAAGTCCTCAGTAGCTGTCTCCAGCTTGTCGTCTGTGCCTGCAACAAAAATAAGCCAGCATAAGCCACTGAAGCGAAAACGAGGCATCTGCACCCACCCAAAGGGACTCTAGGGCCTCCGAGGTCTCTGCAACTGGTTTTAGGGCCTGGGCCCATGCAAAGCTGCTGGCAGCAAGGGCTCTGTAAGGCTCCTTCTTTGGATACTGTGCACTGTACTGCAAGCCACAGGACGCTTGTCTTCAAAGTGATGGACCTCTCACGGAGGCTCAGCTGCTTGAACACAGAATGCCATTGACCTACTTTGCGCCACAGAGCTTTTGCCATGTGTCCCCCGAGACAGCAGAGGTGGCCTTTTAAGTGCCCATGGCACCCAAGCTACCTTCCCTTGCATTCTGCGCCCATCTGATGACTTTTATATGGTTGGTTTGCTTACCTGCTCTCCCCTTCCTGCAGGCGCTTTCCCTTGCCAGCAGAGAAGAGATTACGGGAATTCTAGGAAGGACTGTTCTGACCATTGGCTGTAGCTGTCCTGGGGCTAAAACAGGACCCCCAACTAGAAAACCCACTAGGAACATCTGCATGAACGTGCAATTCGCGAACAAGCCGCTTGCTGTATCCGCAGTGCACCACAGCCTTTGCGGCCGTCTTCGTTGGGGTGACTCGATCGACGGTTACCAAGAAACTGCCTTTCTGCTTCTTCATTCTGAGAGCTTTTCTGCAACAGATGTGGCTATACTACTCAATACGGGCGGAGCCATTTTTGGTTCAACCCAGTGGGCAGACCCACCGAGGAAGCTGCAGACCTTCCCTGGTTTAGAGCTTCCCGACGCTCCTTTTACTGCCCCGCTACGCGCGATATGCAACAGTCCCACCCCTTGGTCTCTTGTGCTGTCTTTAGGGGGTTTTCTTTGCCGCTTATCTGTACGTAACCTATCATCTCACTCTCTGAAGAAGCCTTGGGCTCTTCTTTCTTTCGTTACCATTGTGCTTGCCAGTTTTATAGCTGTTGCTACCGTTGCTCGAGGTACGGCCTCCTTAGAGCGTTATAGGATAGTCTATGAATTCATTTTAGCCTCCCGGTCTAGTAGACACTTAAAGTGGAGCCCGGCGTGCCAACGAGGCCTGAGTGACCTACATGATAAGTCAGTTCGACGGGGTCATTACTCTGCTTGCTGCTCTCAAGGGTAGTATTATTTGTCCCCATCTGAAATTTGATCTTGAGCTACTCTCCAGTCGATAATATAGCTACGAGTTCGCCTATTATATGCGGAGTAGTTTTGCCTTGACTCTGGTGGAACTTCGACAGAGACCTGCACATGTAGACCGAGGACATCAATCTCAACATGGCAAGAATGCTGCTCATGCTCATGGGGCTGCTGCTGTAGCGACGGGCGCTACAGTTGTGAATGCCCTTACGACCTATGGCTCTGCTTTTCCTTGTAAATTTTCTTGCTGGTGCTGTTCGAGGTATTGCATTTCCAGTGACTCCCGTGCGACAGCTGCTACTAAAGTTTTAAGCTGCTGATATCGCTTCGCCTCCTGGAACTTTAGATCTTTGTGGTCGCTACAGCTCAGACGGCGGGCATCGGATTTGGGACGGTGGCTCTCTATTATCTCCCCTCTTGTCTTATAGCCTAGATGCTGAATGCCATTCTTCGTATGATTTTTCACCGTGGAACAAGCACAACATGCTTTATTCCGCTGGTGTCGTCCACGCGGAACAGCAATATATACAGGAGAAACCGAACAGAAGCAAGCACGAGAGACACTGGATCCTTATCTCTTGGCAGGAAGTAGGGTCTTCAGTATGGTAGGCAGTGTGTACATTGAAGAGAAGACCGATTTGACGCAGAACACTGATGGTAACACCAGTGGTCCTGGTATAGTGTGTTTTTTCGTGTGTTCGGGGCCCCACTGGTGGCCCCCCTCAAATGTGACTTGGTGGGTCGCGGGGCCTTCCCCCGGGCAAACCTTCGGTCAAGAGCACCACTGAGAACAAATCTAGAATAAGCACCAACATAGCCTTATGTAGGTGGACACACTCACCACGATGATGAACATGCAACTTGAAAGCGGCATCTCGAAACCCATGGCAAAGATGAAAATAGAGACACTCGCGAACAGCCCCGCAAAAAGCCTTATCGGGGCCCCTCAGAGGGATCAAAGCGCTTGGCTACTTCATAGCACATCTGGTGACTCTTCGGGACCATGGAGTCAATACGCTGAGCCGGCGCTCTCCTGAATGTCCAAGCTCGAGCTTGTCCCCACCGCATGTTCGGCGGCAGCTGCGTTAGCGTCAGGATCACCAAAGCGGTGAAGAAACTCTCCATGGTCGTCCTGGATGTAGGGGTAACTCTGAAGTCCCCAGCACCTGCAACACACCGGCATTTATTGATGGTGTCCACGTATCTTCGCTCTGCTGCCTAATGCTGGCGGTAACGCTTTCTCTCCGAGGTGTCCTAGGTGGACATTGCACAAAGGTAGAGGGCTTCTAAAGATCCGAACAATATCCAGTATGACCGTTGCGAAATGTTAAACGCAGCTGTTACGGCCACAAAAAAGGCCGTCGCTGGTTTGGCTCTGTATATCAGAACCAAGAAAGGCTTTAAAGTGTGACTGGCGCGGGGCGGGCGACCAGGGGGTCTCCTTAGAAGGACGCCCGCCACACACTCTGCTTCGACTCGTTTGCTTTGTCCGGCAATATGGTGCTCCGCATTCATGCTGATGACGGCACCAGAAAATATAGTAACCGTCGGAGTAAGAGGCAGCCAAAATTGCAATGTGAGCCCCAGCTGCCTGCATCAGCTTTCAAGGACTCAGGAGAAGATAGGCACCGCTCCCGATGGGCACCCTTGCACTACACGTGAAAATATGTGCGACTTCTGGGGACCTTGCAAACGGACAAGGCTAATCAGTGGAGTATGGCCCCCTATTGGATGAGGGTCTCTCTCGCGTGCCAGAAGCACTACTTAGGTTCCTGCGGGCTGACACAGGGTTTCGAGAAGGGCTTGATTGGGGACGCCTTGGGGCATTGTCACCGCTTCCTCACCGCCCCTCTTCTTGATCGCCTTTCGAAGGGAGAAATGGGCACAACGGTGCTCCTTCTGCAATACGAATTTTTTTAGATCTGCTCAACATACGTCGACAGGAGCATGTGGAGCCCCCCGATGATTGTTCAGATCCTAGAGTCACTGATACCAGATATTCTCAAGCGTCCGTCAGGTTCAAGGGGCGACCTTGGCTGCCTTCTTCCTCATCGACAGGGTCGACATTCCAAGGCCCAGTACTTTATTTCTCTCTGCACTGTGGTACTCTGCGGTCTGTCGATACGGAGACCACCGCCAAGGGACCTTCAGGGCTGCGATGGTGCTGACGCAGCCTCTAAATTTGAGGAGAGAGATATGTCCATGGAGAAGACTGCGCTGCCACAATGTCTCATGGAGGGCTAAAATGCGTAGATCTAGCTTCTGAAAGA